CTTGAATTCCTCCTCTTTTACTTTTCACCTGTTTTTTCATTTTATTTTTATTATTTTTTCGAGAGGAAGTCTTGCTCTGTTGCCCAGGCTGGAGTGCACTGGAGTGCAGTTGCACCATCTCGGCTCACTGCAACCTCTGCCTCCTGAATAGCTGGGATTACAGGCACATACTGCCACACTCGGCTAATTTTTTTGGAATTTTGGTAGAGGTGAAAGTTCACCATGTTGGCCAGCCTGGTCTGGAACTCCTGACCTCCAGCAATTCGCTTGTCTTGGAGTCCCAAAGTGCTGGGATTACAGGCATGAGCCACCATGCCCAGCCACCTGTCTCTTTCTCGTAAGGACTCTCGTGATTACGTTGGGACCACCTGGATAATCCAGGCGATTCTTAATTTAATCACAACTACTAAAAGTCCCTTTTGCCACGGACGTTAACATATTTACAGGTTTGGGTATGGACATCTTTAGGGGGTCTTTATACAGACTACCACACCTACAGACTTGACTGTCTTCACAACTTTGGATTTTTGTTTGCTGTTTTCCTTAAACGTGCAAAGAAATAACCGTACGTGATTGTGAAATTAGGAAAATCAAGACTGAAAAGATGGGAAACTCCTGAAAGAGAAAGAAGGGGAATAGAACTTGGGGACATAAAAGGAGACTTGAATTTTATCTAGAGTGTTCATTTTAATTTTAATTTAAAAATTTGAAGCTAATATGCAAAATGTTAGTAATAATTCTGAATGATGGGAAATGGAATTTTGCTAGGTTGTACTCTACATTTATTGCATTTTTTTTTTTTTTTCTAAAAAACACTGAAATCCTCTACGTGGATGAACAAGGGTCTTGGAAGGCGAGGGAATGCCGGCTGGCTGGGGCACCCAAAGCTAGTTACTTAGTGGCTGTATTTTCCTCCTCTGTAAAATAGGTCGCACAGCTAATGAAAGCTGTATAGGTTGAGATGGAAAGAGCCCACACATGCAAAGAATGTGTAACAACGTTCAGTGATTTTCCTCCCTGAACCCTTGATTCTTAGATCGCGAGGGCAAGGAGTAGGCTGTGAGGCCACGCAAGGCTACAGAGGCGCCTTGAGCTGGACAGATCGTCTGCAGGTTGAGGACCCAGCTTGATTTGGTGCAAACTGGGGCTCAGCGCGAGACCCCGGCCCACCCGGGAGGAAGAGGCCGTGCGAGAGCGCCCCCACGTGGCTATAGGCAGGATCACGCCCAAGGAAACCGCAAAATCAAATCCAAACACGTGAGGATTTAATATTAAAAATATTAATGTTTGCTATTTAGATTTTCTTCGTTTTAATAGTGCTTTCGTAGTGTATTTACTACTGCTGATCGCGAGAGCACTGTGACTCCAGGGTTCCCCGAGCGACGCCGCAGACGCCGGTTCCGTATTGAGCATGCGCAAAGTTTGAGGGCGGGGCGTCTGCGTCATCACATTAACATAGCTGCACAGAAAATTGTGCAAGCGGTTGGTAGCGTGGCCGAGTGGTCTAAGGCGCTGGATTTAGGCTCCAGTCATTTCGATGGCGTGGGTTCGAATCCCACCGCTGCCACACCCCAGGCGGGTCTCACTTTTCCATCCTTAACCCTTCGATCTCTTCATGTAGTCCTTCTCCAACCTCTCCTCTTTTTTCCAAAGCTTCAGATTGCTTATAATCTTGTTTTTTTAAATGGAAGGGGGAAGGGAGGAGAAAAGGAAAAAACGGTTGTGCAGGCTCTTTCACGCTGTAGCCCAGTACACAAACCTCTCTTTCACCTACCCATCCAGCTCCCTCGAAGCAAGACAAGAAACAAAAAAACACGTTCTCCAGGGGAAAGCGTCTGAGCTAGCTTGAAAAGTTCCCAACAGTCTGTCTGGGTCTTTCCAGGGTTAGTTGGGGGTGGTTGTAATCATGATCTGAGTTAGGGAGGAGGGGTCCATTTCTGGCCTGCTCCGTGTACTTTAGAGGGCTCCAGGGACCCCATAAACCTCTGTTGTCAGGTGATGCTGGAGTAGTAGGGGTCTGACCCTACGTGGAAGTGCCATTCTCGAGGGCTCTGCTTCATTGATTCACCTCTTACTTGGTTTTCAGGCTTGATTTAGGGGCCCTCATTTATAAACAGTTGTTGAACTGTTTTTGAAGAGCCTACTATGTGCCAGAAACCCTGAGGCTATGGTGGTATACAAGGCATGTTTTCGAACCCATAGATTTTGCAGACATTGCCATTGTAATTGATTATGCCTATGAGGAGTGTTAGGCAGTAGAGCATGCTAACCTGGCTCCTGGGAAGCAAGGAGGTGATATTTAGTTGGGTCCTGAAATTGAGATTAGCCAAGTGACGGCAGGGGAGGGGATTTCCAAGAAGAGAGAACTCTAGAGAACAATGAGAGCCTGGTGAGGCTGAGACCTGAGACGCTGTGAAGGCAATTCAGGGCAGCTGCACAGAGAGTGGTGGCAGAGGATTGGCAAGAGGCGAGGCTAAAGCGATAGGCAAAGAGGGCCATGAATGCCGAGTTAAAGCTTTGAACTCTGTCCCTTCCCGAGGGTGATGGGAAACCATGGAAGGCTTTTGAAGAGTGGCATGTTCGAATGTGGAATTTAGAAAGCTCCCCAGCTGGGCGCGGTGGCTCCTGCCTGTAATCCCAGCACTTTGGGAGGCCGAGGCAGGCGGATCACGAGGTCAGGAGATCAAGACCATCCTGGCTAACACAGTGAAACCCTTTCTCGACTAAAAATTAAAAAAAAAAAAAGAATTAGCTGAATTTGGTGGCAGATGCCTGTAGTCCCAGCTACTGGAGAGGCTAAGGCAGGGGACTTGCTCGAACCCAGGAGGCAGAGGTTGCAGTGAGCTGAGATCATGCCACTGCACTCCAGCCAGGGCGACAGAGTGAGACTCCATCTCAAAAAAAAAAAAAAAAAAGGAATGATACAGATTTGGGAGGCATTAGAGACTGAGGCCATAAGAAGGGATGAACTCACCCAGAAAAAGCTCACAGAGGGAGAAGAGGGGTCAAGACAGAGTCCTGAGGGCCATCACCTTAAAGGGAGGGCAGTGGAAGAAAAGCCCGTGAAAGAGATGGGAAGGACTGGCCAGTGATACATGTGGAAAACAGGTGTGGTTTCATAGAGACCAAGAAGAGTGGATCAAGAAGGAGGGGGTGGTTAACTATGCTGAACACAGCTAAGAGGGTTGTCAGAATAAAGACTGAAAAATATCTTCTGAGTTTATGACTTATGGACAAGATCATTGATGATCTTAAAGCCATTTTGGAATGGGTTGAGGAGAAGAAATGGAAACATAAGTATTGTCAATTCATCACTAAATTTGATTTTGAAGAGGGGGAGCAAAACGAACAGTTGTGGGAAGGGAAATAGGGGAATCAAAGGAGGATTTTTTTTTTTTTAAAGACGGGGTCTTGCCCTGTTGCCCAGGCTGGAGTGTAGTAGTGCAATCATAGCTTACTGCAGACTCAAAACTCCAGTACTCAAGTGCTTCTCCTGGCTCAGCCTCCTTGGTGCCACCACACCTGGCTAATTAATTTTTTTTTTTTTTTTGGTAGAGGCAAGGTTCTCGCTATATCACCCAGGGTGGTATTGAACTCCTGGCCTCAAGCAATCCTCCAGCCTTAACCTCCCAAAATGTTGGGATTACAGGTATGAGCCACTGCGCCCTGCCGGGAAGATATTTTCAAGATGAGAGAGACTTGGGCTGGGCGCAGTGGCTCACACCTATAATCCCAGCACTTTGGGAGGCCGAGGCGGGTGGAACACGAGGTCAAGAGACTGAGACCATCCTGGTCAACAAGGTGAAACCCCGTCTCTACTAAAAATACAAAAATTAGCTGGGCATGGTGGTGCGTGCCTGTAGTCCCAGCTACTCGGGAGGCTGAGGCAGGAGAATTGCCTGAACCCAGGAGGCGGAGGTTGCGGTGAGCCGAGATCGCGCCATTGCACTCCAGCCTGGGTAACAAGAGCGAAACTCCGTCTCAGAAAAAAAAAAAAAAAAAAAAAAAAAAAAAAAAAAAAAAAAAAAAGCTGAGGTTTGGCACTAGTCAAAAGATCTAGAAAATAATGTGAGCAGTGTGAGATTGTTTTTCCTGCTCTAAGAACAGATTTCCCAGGATTAGGAGGGAGAAGAAAGAGAGGAAGGAAGTTTTGATGTAAGCATGTTATTGAGAGGAAAGGAAGCCCAGGACTGCCAGCTTCAGATAACCCAAGGTTTGAGGATCTGAGAGAACGAAATCAATCCCAGACTTCAAATGTAAGCCTAGCATGGCCACGGTGCAGAAGAATAGAAGTCACCCTGTGTTGTGTTTAGCTCAGTGGGGGTTCAGGCGGTCTTCCTCCAGATTTCCCCAGCTGTAGAGCAGAAACCCTCACCCTCTCCTGTTCTTTGGAATGAGACAAAGTCCGTTTCCTTCATCTATAAAGGGAGAATAATAAAGCCTATTTAAGCGTGGCTATAAGAATTAAACAAGATCATATAGATGAAACCCCTTTCACACTGTCATGCATTAAACAGACATAAAGGATTATTACTGATCTTTAAAAAATTACATACACACATACAATTCAGCCTAGCAGAGAGGAGCATACTGTTTTTGTTTGTTTGGTTTGTTTTTTTTTTGCTCCTTCCCAAACTGCCCACCTTGTTCAGCAGAGTGGGACACACTCTGCGGTGTCCATGTTGGTTCTGATGAGCCCATTCCGTCCCCTCCACCTCAGGCTTGGGATGCTTTTCTTCTCTGCCAGTCCCGCGTGTGCATATTATGATCTATACATGGCTGTATTTACACACTGATGTCTTGGTACTCACAACTGATAACTGATACTAAGACGATGGGGGAGAGTCTCTGTGGAGAGCAGGGCTGGATTAAGAAGTTTTGTGACGTTAAACTTTAAAGATTATGACGTTTACCTCTCAATGAATAGAAACAGTACTAAATAATGAAATATAACCCACTAAACTCTATTTTTCCCATTATAACTTTATTGGTACTTCATCGAGACATCCAATTATTTTTAAAGTTTTTTTTTTTTTTTTTAATGCTCTTTCTGGTACTGAAACCTGTGCTTACTGTGCTGTTATCTCCAGGCAGGAACCCAAAACGGCCAAGTAGGGCTCGGCAGAAGCTTGAGTCTCGGTTTTTCCCCAAGCCCAGGCTGTCACACATAGATCTGTGTGAATGAGAAGCCAAGAACATTCGGGTCGGGGTGGATCCAATGCAATGTTACCAGACAGAGCGGGTCTAACTCGGGATTCCGAGACCATCTCAGGACAAGCCCAGAGAGCCTGGGCGGGGAGGAGGGTTCACTGTCCCAGAGCAGGAGCCGACGGCGCAAACTCCTGACGACGCCACCATAGCCTGCATTAGCCCATAGCGACTGCGGCAGACAGGCTCCAAGGAGAACCCACCCAGGAGACGGGGCTGGAAAGGGGTGAAGCCAGAGAGGGAGGGGGCAGGGCCAGGACCCAATTAACGCGAGAAGGGCGGGACTGGACTCAGAGGGATGAGCAAGGCCAGACCCAAACGAGAAGCCAAAGGGTGGGCTCAAGCGCGCGGGGAGGACCAGAAAGGGAGCAAATACCAGATCTGGGGAGAGCCAGGACTGGGCACGGACTAGGAGAAAGGCCGGAAGACGGAACAGGCTGTGAGCCTTGGCCTGTGTCAGTAACCGGGCCAGGCCGGAGGGAGGAAAAAGGAGGCAAGGCCAGGACATGGAGGGCGGGTCATGGGCGTAGCCAAGACTCAGCGGGCGGGGAGAGGGGGGAAGTTGTGACTATGATTCAGAAGGCGGGCGAAAACATGAAGCGGGGGGAAGGGGCGTGGCTATAACACGGGGGCGGGGTTAGGCCTGGAGAGCGGCTCAGGAATAGGCCAGGAAGTCAGGAGGCGGGGAAGAGGCGTGCCCAAACCGTGAAACGGGCTAGGTCTGGAGAGCTGCTCAGGGAAATCAGGGAGCGGGGCACAAAGTGCCCAATTTGAAGGGCGGGGCCAAAACACGGAAAGGGGCTGGAGCTAGGCCTCCGGGCTGACCAGGGGCGTGGCTAGGATTCAGGGGGCGCAGCGGGAGCGTGCCCACTTCGAAAGGTGGGGCGGGACAGAGGCGGGACCAAAACACAGGAAGGGTGCGAGGCAAGGTCTGGGAGTAGTCAGCGACACCGCCAGGACTCGGGCGGCGAGGCTGGGTCTGGAGGGCGGCTCAGGGGCGTGGCCAGGATTCAAGAGGCGGAGCGGAGGCGCGCTGAAACCCGGAAGACGGGGCAGGGGCTGGTACCAGCCGAGGGAGCTGGGCGAGGGTAAAGGTGCAGCAGGGACCCTGGCGGGCGGCGGACGGTGGACGGTTAGAGGCGCTTCATGGCGGCTTGTAGAGGCTGCAGGCCTAGGAAGTGCAGGGCCAGGGCGAGCAAGCCTAGGAGCAGCAGCAGTCCGAGCAGCAGCCGCAGGAGCGTCTGCGCCGTGGAGCTGCGGGGCCGCGGGCTAGTGGACTGCACGTATCGCTCCACGACGTCGGCTAAGCTGAACTTGTCTGGCGCATAGCCGAGCTGGGCGCGGGCCTTGGCTATCTGGAAGGTGTGCGTCACGGCCACGCTGCACACCTGCGGGGACAGGTGGGGCATCCGAGGGTGGGGCTCGTGGGAAGGGGGCATCCTCTACCTCGCTGTTCACGGAAAGGGAAAAGAGAGGGCAAGAATGTCCCCTCCATTGCACAGCGATTTAAAAGAACCCAAGTGCAGCGTCCTGCTCCTGCGATGCCCTCATTAGGGAGGACTTCCTTCTTACCATCTTCATTTTTATTGGAGATTGCCGCTTCTGCATCGCCCTCTCCAGCCTCGCTGAATTCTCACCCTATTTAAGCCCTTGATCCTTAAAAAGCAGAGATCTCACCCCTACACTCCTATTCCCAGCCTAGCACGGTGCTGAGACTCAGGAGGTCCTTGATATATTCTTAGGCATCCGCGAGGAGAAGCTGAACACCTGCCAGAAACAGATCTCCAGGAAACGACCTTGGCTTCCTGCCCCCAGCTCCAGACCAACTGTGGCTAGGCTGACCCCAGGCGCGGCCGTCACGCCCTCGATCATTAACTAAGCTTCCTTAAGAGAGGAATTCGATTATGCAAAACTGATTACTCTCTAAGCTGTGTTTCCCCTGCTGCCAGGTGGCTTGGAGCCCACTGGTTTCAAGGGTAGTAATGACAGCTGTCAGTTAAGGAACACACACCCTGCACTTGGCCTGGGCTAAATCCTTTCTATGCCTTACCTCATTTAATCCTCTAAGGTGGTACTAGCACTGTCTGTTCTGTGTATAGTTGGAAAACGGTCAGAGAGGTTGAGTGACTTGCTGGGGGTCACCCAGGGGAGCCAGATTTTAGCCTAAATCCTTCCCTGCTGTACTGGCACCTGGAGATGCCCTCCCACCTGACTCATTTCTTCTTCTCTTGTTCTTCAGTCGGACCCCGGGGAAGAGTTCACCAGCTGCTGGATTCTCCAGTGCCACTGAAACAGCCCCTGGGGTCAAACCTGTGGTCTTGGATGCTTAATGGGGGGTAAGGAGAGAGGCCAGTATTTATCTCTTTTTGTCCCAGTCAGCAGTGCAGGGCTTTGCGGAGCACAGGAGTTGAGTTATGCTAGATAAGCAGGGTCCCTAACACACCTAGATGTCTCTAGATGTCATCTCCTCTGGGAAGCAGCCTCTGACTTCCTCAGAGTTGGCCAAGGTGCCCCTTCTGTGTGCACTGGCTTTCTCGCGATTTTCCCAAGAATGGCTCTAATTACAGTGTTGAGTTGCCTGGTCAATGGGATGTCTTCCCCTTTGGACTAGGAGCTCCCCGAAGGTAAGGGCTGTGTCTTCTTGCCTCCATTGCTTAGCTCAGTGCCTGGTACTACAGGAAATGCTCCATACATGATAAATGCATAAAAGGCTGTAAAGTCAACCTGGAGGGCTGGTTGTTGCGTCACACAGTGACCAGCAGAGGGTACCCGAGCCACAGCCAAGGAACTTCCACAGTTAAGGACACTACCCCAGGGCTGAAGAAGGAAATTTCCAATTTAAACAAGAGGGAGAGGAGCCATGTCCCTGCCTGATCACAATTCAGCAGCAGCCTGGCAGCTATTTTATGTGGATGCAATTCCTAATGCATTTCAAAAGCTATTAGTTAAGCTTGAAATCACTGAGGTCTGGGTTCAAATCCTAACTCTGCCATTTAAGTGAGTGATCATGGGCAGGTTATTTCACTGTGTGTCTCATTTCCTCCTCTCTGGAGTCTACAACTCAGAGTGGTAATGAAGATGAAATGAAATAAAGCACAGTGCCTGGCATATTGTCATCACCCAAGAGATAGTCACTATCATCTTATTCTCTCCTCTACTAATCTAGATGGCTCAAAGAAGAAGTCACTCCTTCTTTCTGTGGCCCATTCTGCACTCTCCCTCTCTGACTCCCCTGGTTAAAGAACACTAAACATGGAGTCTAAAGCCAACTCCAGTATGGTGTGGCCCTGGACAAATCACTAATTTTCCTCATGCTCAGTTTTTCATCATAAAAAGGAGATCACGATCTTTTTGACGTTTCTAACTTAGCAGGGCATCAGAGAGAATCAAACAAGAGTGGGCTGGAAGGATTTTTGCAAATAACCTCAACCACCACCTACAGCTTTGCTATTTACAGTCTGCGATGAAAACATCCTCTCTTTTAACTAAGCAAATACAAACCTGCATCATCATTCTTATGAGAGTAGTATTCTGAGCCAGGCATGGTGGCACATGCTTGTAATCTCAGCTACTGAAGAGGCTGAAGGGGGAGAATCACTCTCTCTCTCTCTTTTTTAGGGGTAGGGTCTCCATCTGTCTCCTAGGCTGAAATACAGTGGTGTGATCATGGCTCACTGCAGCCTTGAACTCCTGGGCTCAAGCAATCTTCCCACCTGAGCAGGGACTAAAGGCACGCACCATCTTGCCTGGCCAATTTTTAAATTTTTTGTAGAGATGAGATCTTGCTATGTTTCATAGGCTGGTCTCAAACTCCTGGCCTCATGGGCGTGGCCAGGATTCAAGGGGTGGAGTGGAGGCATGCTCAAACCCAGAAGGCGGGGCAGGGGCTAGTACAAGCCCAGGGAGGTGCTTACAAATGATCCTCCTGTCTTAGTTTCTCAAAGCACTGGGATTATAGGTGCAAGCCATCACACCTGGACAAAAGGATCTCTTGAGCTCAGCAGTTTGAGACCAGCTTGGACAACACAGTGAGACCCTGTCTCATAAAAAGAATTATATTCTGTATACAGTAGGTACTTAACATATACTTATTCAGTAAACATGAACTATCAGCTGTTTTGTGTGTGTGTGTTGAGAGTTGGTGGGATTGGTAACATTCAAAGGAATGAATGGCCTGAAACTTGCCTTTGGGAGACCCCAGTCTGGCTGGAAAGACAAGAAGCTTATGAATGAAAGAACAGTGACGATGGATGGGCTTGGAGCTGTCACATTTCAGACCCAGAGGGCACAGCCTCAACAAAAGCTCAGAGGTTGGGGTGATCATAACAGAGCTAGCACCAGCTTTGGACCCACATAGAGACCTCAGACAAGCATCTGTCATCATGGCATCAAAGGGGTAAGGAGTGGCAGCAGTGGGGGTGGCGGGGAGAGGTGGGGAGGGAGGGAGGGAAGCAGGACTGGGGCTCCCATAGCAGCAGCTCACTTACCTCACTCCGGGTGAGCAGCAGTGGGAGGTTGCAGATGGGTCTCAGGGCCAGATGCAGGTGCTCCATCACTGCCGCTGTGGGAAGGGAGGGGACCAGTGACCAGGGTCCTCACATTATGCAGACTCCTGTGAGGCCCTCAAGGACAAATCAATGGGGGGCATTTTGCTTTGCTAGACGTCACTTTGCAAAAGTCATTGGATTCCTTTAAATCAGCAGCCCGTGCTGGGGTGCCTTGTTTAGCTGTGAAATAAGTCACAAGTAACTTGTTTTTAATATTAAAGGACTGGGCTGGGTGCAGTGGCTCAGGCCTGTAATGCCAGCACTTTGTGAAACCGAGGTGGGTGGATTGCCTGAAATCAGGAGTTTGAGACCAGCCTGGCCAACATGGTGAAACCCCGTCTCTACTAAAAATACAAAAATTAGCCAGGCGGGGTGGTGGACACCTGTAAATTCCAGCTACTGGGGAGGCTGAAGCAGGAGAATCACTTGTACCTGGGAGGCAGAGGTTGCAGTGACCGGAGATTGCCCTACTGCACTCCAGCCTGGGGAACAGAACGAGACTCTATCTCAAAAAAAAACAAAAAACAAACAAACAAAAAAACCAGGCGCGGTGGCTCATGCCTGTAATCCCAGCACTTTGGGAGGCTGTGGGCGGATTATGAGGTCAGGAGTTCAAGGCCAGCCTGGCCAACATAGTGAAACCCCGTCTCTACTAAAAATTCAAAAATTAGCCAGGCATGGTGGCACGTGTCTGTAGTCCCAGCTACTTGGGAGGCTGACAGGAGAATCACTTGAACTCGTGAGTCGGAGGTTGCAGTGAACTGAGATCACGCCACTGCACTTTAGCCTGGGCAACACAGTAAGACTCTGTCGCAAATAAAATAAAATTAAATGCAAAATTAAAGAACTGAAGCTCTAAGAAAAAATCTGAGCAGATTCAAAATTATTTATATAATAATCTCTGTCTCACTTCTACTCCTTTGCTCTCTAGAATAGGAGAGAAGGAGGTTGGAGTAGCAGTCTTCAAACTGGGCTGCATGTGGGACCAATTTAAAAAACATACTGGTTCCTGGTCTATTGTGATCTACCTATTTTATTAAAAAAAAATACTGGTGAGAGCCAGGTATGGTGGCTCATGCCTGTAATCCCAGTATGAGAGACTGAGGGAGGAGATCTTGAAGCCAGGAGTTCAAGACCAGCCTAGGCAACAAAGTGAGACCCTCCTCCATCTCTAAAAAATTTTTAAAAATAGTCAACACAGAGGTGCATGCCTGTTATCTCCACTACTCTGGAGGCTGAAGTGGGAGGATTGCTTCAGTTCAAGAGTTCTATACCAGCCAGGGTAACACAGCAAGACCTCCATCTCTATGAAAGTATAAAAATTAGCTGGGCCTGGTGGAAGGAGCCTGTAGTCCTAGAGGCTTGAGAAGCTGAAGCAGAGGATTGCTTGAGGCCAGGAGGTTGGGTCTGCAGTGAGCTCTGATCATGCCACTGCACTCCAGCCTGGGCAGCAATGCAAGACCCTGACTCTAAAAAAAAATAAAAAATACTGACGCTTCCCTCCCGATTCCTCCCTGCTGATCTCAATTAAATTGGTCAGTGGTGTGGCTGAGACATTTCTCTGTTTTAAAATCTCTCAGGCGACTGTAAAGTGCAACCCGGGTTGAGAAGCACAGAGTTACTTTTAGCCCACTGGGAACTGGGAACGCATTTACAATCCTCTCCAAGTGCCCACAGCTGTGGCTCAAGGCCAGGAGTGCTGCTGATCACTGTGACAGTGCTGCATGTGAGAAGTTGCTCTGCACGTGTACCCTGGTGAACACAAATTTGCAAGCCCCTGCTTTTAATAGCAAGCCACTAGATGCATTTAAAATACAACAGGCGTCCCTGGAACACAGCTATTTGGGCTAGAGGGCTACCATCCCCTCAGCCTGGTCACTCCATGTCTGAACCTGCTCTGCCTTCCAGCTGGGAGGAGGCCAGTGGATGGGTGCTGGGGACAGAGGGAAGGGCAGCAGCCAGGAAGCACTGTCGGGGGTGGAGGTGGGAGCCAAGACTGACCTTCAGGGACAGGAGGAGAATCTGGGATCAAAATGGGGAGTCTCTGTTCTAAAGCAGCTCTAACTTCAGAGTGACCCTGGGGGACAGAACAGCCCCAGGGCTCCCTGTCCTCTTGACTGGCATGAGACCTCCTAGCAGCGCCACGAGGAGCCTGCCAAGCCCAGGTGTGAATTCTGCTCTCCCACTTTCTTACTGTGGCACTTTGAGCAAGTTGTGAACCTCTCAGAGCCTCAGCCACCTCATCTTTACAATGGGCCCATTATAGCTGCCTTGCACATGGGAAAAGGTGGGACTAGGGTGTGGAATTTAAGGAGGCACTTGCTCCCAGCACCAGGCAAGTGCAAAACCAGGCTTGGAGTTGCTGCTTGACCTCCTTAAATTTTGCGTCCACAGTGCCTCACTGTCCGCATCTTAGTCCTGGCCCTGAGTTTTTTTTTTTTTTCTTTTCTTTTTTAAAATTTTGAGACAGAGTCTTGCTCTGTCACCCAGGCTGGAGTGCAATGGTGCAATCTCTGCTCACGGCAGCCTTGCCTCCTGGGTTCAAGCGATTCTCCTGCCTCAGCCTCCCAAGGAGCTGGGATTACAGCAATGTGCCACCACACCCGGCTGATTTTTGTACTTTTAGTGGAGACAGGGTTTTATCGTGTTGGGCAGGCTGGTCTGGAATTCCTGACCTCAGGTGATCCGCCTGCCTCAGCTTCCCAAAGTGCTAGCATTACAGGCATGAGCCACGGCGCCTGGCCCTAACTTTCAATTAAGGCTATGCAAGGTACACCTGGGACACAGAGGGCTTTACTACCCACACTCCTTTCCTTACCTGTCAGGTAGACCCAGGAAGTAGGCACCTGGATCCGGGGCTGGCTGTACCCCAGCTTCTCAAACTGCAAAGAAACACGACCTGGGGTGAGAACAGGTTGTTGAGGGCCTGGTGTGGAAAGGCCACATGCTCCCTCTACTGGGGCCCACCAGAGGTATCTCCTTTCTCCCCCACACTCACCCCAGGGGGCAGACCCTGCAGCCAACCCCAAGTTTGTGCCAGTCTTGAAAGGAAATCCACACCTTGACCCAGAAAACCCAAGGAGGAATTGAAAGCATGGGATAGTTAAAAAAATATTGTTTTGCAGAGATTGGGGGGGTTTCACTATGTTGCCCAAGCTGGTCTCAAACTCCTGGCCTCAGGCAATCCTGCCGCCTCAGCCTCCCAAAGTGCTGGGATTACAGGCATGAGCCGTTACACCTGCCAGGTAGCTTTTTAACGTGGGATTATTCACATAATTTAATTATCACCTACATCTGTCTGTATCTGAGACACTCCAAGGCACTTACATAGAATCTGATTTTTCCAGAATTGACTTTTCTGTTATTAAAGAGAAAATAACAACCCAGCATGTGTGTGGAAGGCCGCAGGAGATGCAGCAGAATGGGCTGGTGTGGGATACAGTGAGCCCTTCACTGGCATAAAAATTCTCCAGGTCAGGCGAAAAACTGTGTCCTCTAGCCTGGGCTTTCTGGTCTAGCCCTTCCAGACAAGCCTGGCTGCTAGGAGTCCGGGCTGCTCAGAGAGGACACCAGAGTTCCTGGGCTGCTGTGTGGGGAGCCCCCAAAGACAAAACACCACCTCCCTTGCAATTTTATCTCTTCCACATACCTCTTTCAGAGCCTCAACACATAACAGGTGGTTCACAAGCAAACCTCCACAGGGCTAGAAGCCAACATAAATCTGGAAGCATCGAGACCAGCCTGGACAACATGGTGAAACCGTCTCTACTAAAAATACAAAAATTAGCCAGGAAGGATGGTGTGCACCTGTAATCCCAGCTACTCAGGAGGCTGAGGCAGGAGAGTTGCTTGAACCTGGGAGGTGGAGGTTGCAGTGAGCCGAGATTGTGCCACTGCACTCCAGCCTGGGTGAGAGTGAGACTCTATCTCAAAAAAAAAACAAAAAAAAAGCATGCTGGGTGTGGTGGCTCACGCCTGTAATCCCAGCATTTTGGGAGGCCAAAGCGGGTGGATCACCTGAAGTTGGGAGTTTGAGACCAGCCTGACCAACATGGTAAAACCCCATCTGTACTAAAAATGCAAAATTCGCCGGGCATGGTGGTGCATGCCTGTGATCCCAGCTACTCAGAAGGCTGAGGCAGGAGAATGGCTTGAATCTGGGAGGCAGAGGTTGTGCTGAGCCATGATCGAGCCATTGCACTCCAGCCTGGACAACAAGGGTGAAACTCCATCTCAAACAAACAAACCAAAAACACCTGGAAGCAGGGTGGAAGAGAATTGCAGGTAACTGAGGAGCACATGGTGCCCCTCAAGGGTTTCAGTTCCAGCCCAGTCAGTTCCAGTGTTGCCCAGTGAATACTATTGCCAGAGCTGTTTTTTAAAAAATTGACTTTTAGAGACAGAGCCTTGTTCTGTTACCTAGGCTGGAGTGCAGTGGTGCAATCTTGGCTCACTGCAGCTTTGAACTCCTGGGCTCAAGAAATCCTCCCACCTCAGCTGCTCAAGTAGCTGGAACCACAGGTGCGCCACCATCACATCCGTCTAACTGAATTTTTTTTTTTGCAGAGACAGGTTCTCGGTTTGTTGCCCAGGCTGGTCTCAAACTCCTGGCCTCAAGCGATCCTCCCGTGTTAGCCTCCCAAAGTGCTGGGATTACAGATGTGAGCCATCTCACGGGGCAAAGGATTGGTTTTTAACATGAAATCTTCTGGCCGTTTAGAAATAGAAAAGGACAAGAAGAGAAGGCCAAAGGCCGGGCGCAGTGGCTCATGCCTATAATCCCAGCACTCTGGGAGGCCGAGGTGGGCAGATCACTTGAGGTCAGGAGTTCTAGACTAGCCTGGCCAACATGATGAAACCCCATCTCTAGTAATAATACAAAAATGAGCTGGATGTGGTGGCATGCACCTGTAATCCCAGCTACTCAGGAGGCTGAGGCACGAGAATTGTTTGAACCTGGGAGGCAGAGGTGCAGTGAGACGAGATTGCACCACTGCACCCTAGCCTGGGTGACAATAGGGAAACTTCATCTCAAAAAAATAAAAAAAATGTTTTAAAAAGGAAGAGAATGTCAGGGATCCCAGAATGATCATTCAGGGTGGGGGGCATCTGGGCACCTACCAGCGGGGCCATCCACTCAAAGAGGTTGACGCTCTCCCCATCGTTGATGTAGTATGCCTGCCCACTCTGAAGGGGACAAGTGGGAGGGGACAGTCAGCCTTCTCTCCAGCAGCCTGGCCCCACCCTTCCAGATGGCTCCCAGCAGGTGCTCTAACCCTGAGTTCTCTGGAGCAGCCCCAAGACCTGAGGACACACCAGATCTATTCCCCGTGAATTCCAGGATGACCACACTGACTAGCTGTGTGACCTCCATGGAGGTGCCCAACCTCTCTGTACTTCAGTTTCTTCATCTGAGTAATGGGAGGATAATATTGGGATCTCCCTCTTGGACCGCTGTGAAGATTCAAGGAGACAGTATGTGTGGAGGCTTCGAATTTGGCACCTGTTATTCTGGGATCGACAATGCCAACCTCACATGGTCATAGAGAAGAGCTAACGACACTCTATAAGGAATTCCGTGCCCCATCTACCTGCTTCCCCCCAAGCTTCCCTGGGCTGAGAGTCCCACCAGCCATCTGAAGTTGGGGGGAAATCTTGTGTGTCATCCAGGAATCCCCTAGGGATGGGGTGCCCTGCCTGCAGCCCTGCAGGGAAGGTGGTTGGGGCCATGACAGAGGACTCACAGCCACGTAGCCCTTGCCCACGGTGAGGGCTTTGGCTGCCAGCACGTGTGCCTGCACCACATTGTGCACATGGACCCAGTTCATCTGTGCCTTGCGGTCCCCAAATCGGAACATGAACAGCCTCTTCTTGATGTGGCCCTGGTGAAGAGGGGTGGGTGGTAAACATAGGCTTGTGCCCAGAGTGGCTTTACATTCCATCTAGATGCTGATGGAGCCCCAGGTTCTAGCTCCAGGCCAGATCCCTCTGTTCCAGGCTCATGTATCCGATGACCTCTGGATATCAACACCAGGTTGTCTAACAGACAACTCAAACTCACCAGCTCCTGGAGCAAGCCTCTGACTGTCCCTCCCACCCCACGCCTCCCTCCCTTCCCAGTGGACTGGTCAGTTCACTGTGCTGCTTGAGCTAAAACCCTAAAGCCACCTTTGACTCTCATTTGTCTTATATGCCATGTTCAACCCACCTGCAAATCTAATTGGCTCAACTGTTAAAATCTGTCCAGAATATGATGGCTTCTCGCTACTCCGACACCCTCTTCTCACCTGGACACATAGTTGCTTCCTAACTGGTCCCTCTCTGTCCACCCTCAGCCCCTGTAGTCTGTTCTCTGCCCAGCGAGGCAGATTCTTTTTTTTTTTCTTTCTCCTTTTTTTTTTTGAGACAGAGTTTCACTCTTGTTACCCAGGCTGGAGTGCAATGGCACGATCTTGGCTCACCGCAAGCTCCACCTCCTGGGTTCAGCCAATTCTCCTGCCTCAGCCTCCCAAGTAGCTGGGATTACAGGCATGCGCCACCATGCCCAGCTAATTTTTTGTATTTTTAGTAGAGATGGGGTTTCACCATGTGGACCAGGATGGTCTCGATCTCTTGACCTTGTGATCCACCCGCCTAGGCCTCCCAAAGTGCTGGGATTACAGGCTTGAGCCACCGCGCCCAGCCTCTTTCTCCTTTTTACCCAGCCTCCTGCAGGTAAGATACTTTGATTTCTTTTCTTTTCTTTTGAGATGGAGTCTTTCTCTGTCGCCCAGGCTGGAGTACAGTGGCGAGATCTTGGTCACTGCAACCTCCGCCCCCTGAGTTCATGCAGTTCTTCTGCCTCAGCCTCCTGAGTAGCTGGAATTACAGGCGCACACCACCATGCTTGTCTAAATTTTGTATTTTTAGTAGATACAGCGTTTCACCATGTTGGCCAGACTGGTCTCAAACACCTGACCTCAAGTGATCCACCTGCCTCGGCCTCTCAAAGTGCTGGGATGACAGGTGTGAGCCACCACGCTCGGCCTGAACATACCTGACAATTGAACATGTTCATTGTTTATTATCTGTCTCTTCATGTGAGAAGATAAACCCCACAAGGACAGGAAACAACTGTTTTATTCACTGATCTGTCCTCAAACTTCGAACAGTGCGGGGCACGTATAGTTCGATATGCATTTTTTGAATGAATGAATAAATGAATGGGAAGAGAGTCACTGGGGCTGACCACATCCCTTAAGAGCCCAGTTAACTAAATAAATAAATAAATAAATTGCCAGGTGCAGTGGCTCACACCTGTCATCCCCACAACTTGGGAGGCTGAGGCAGGAGGATTGGTTGAGGCCAGGAGATTGAGACCAGCTTGGGCAACATAAAGAGATCCTATCTCTACCAAAAATAAAAACAGTCAACCAGGCATGGTTGTGCACACTTATAGTCACAACTACCTGGAAGGCAGGAGGATCACTTGAGTTCAGGATGTGGAGGCTGCAGTGAGCCATGATCACACCATTGCCTGGGTGATAGTGTAAGACCCTGACTATAACAAAAAGACATAGCCAAGCAGAGGAATGTTTTGAAACTGCAGACTGGAACTTCTCCCCACTAATAACTCTGGCTCCTCATGATCCTGCACTCCCAGATTGAATCCAGCCACAGGGACCTCATGCTGCTTCCTAAAACAATCATGATCTTTCTCACTTCCAGGTTCGTCCCCAAGCTGTCACCTCTGTTTGACCTATCTTCTCTCTACCACCCAATTTCCTTGGTTAATTCCTTTCTCTCTTTTCCAACAACACAGATATCACTTCCTCCAGGGAGTCCCCCTGGGTTTTCCCTGCCAGGCCCATCTTCTTGTGCTCCTCTCTCCACAGCCCTCCCCATACTGAAGCTATGACTGTGGTGTCTGTCTCCCTGAGAAATTTGAGGACGGGGCCCAGAGCCCCTTGTAGTTATATTTCTGGCACCTATATTTCCGGCAAGCCTTTAGAGAGAGGCTTTCTGTATGAAGATACTTGTGCTCCCAGCATGGGAGAAACCAGCCAGGCTGCAGGGAGCCCCCATGGGAGTGAGGGCAACAGGCTCTCTTCTGCCTTTTTGGGGTCACAGCTCTATGGCTCCTCTACCCATGCCTTGGCTTGGCTGGTACACTCTGAGACCTCTGTTCCTGCCAGGAGCTCTGAGGGGCTTGGGGACCAGCGGGGACATCCTGTAGAACCGAGGGTCCTAGGCTTGGGACACTTAGACTCAAGACTGATGCAGGGACCATGGGCTGGGAGGGCCTGACCAGTGTGCATCTTGGCCAGGATCCTTCTCTGACTCTGGTGCTGAAGGTGGGGATGACATACCGCCACGCGGGGCAGGTGCCTCTGCTCTTCAGGGCCGTAGATCCCTGGGGGCCGGAGCACACACGTCCGAAGAATGCCTCCTCCTAGCACACAGGGAAGTGTGGTCAGGGGTCAGAGGAGGAGCAGCCCACAAGGAGAGGGAGAGAGAGGCCACCTATATCTCCTGGTCCTTACCTGGACAGGTTAGAGAGGAAGACTGGTTCAGGGCCTTCCTCGTTCAATTTGTTATTCTCTTAGTCAATTAGTCATTCAACAGACACTATTCAGAGTCTCACTCCCACCTCCAACCCCTCTGTCCCCAACCATGGTTGGATCCTATGAAGAATGTAAGTGGTTCCTGCCCTCCCAGCCCTCACAGTGTAGTCAGAGTTAAGAGCCAGATGCAAACATCTGCACAGGTGGTCTCTTTATCAAGAACTCAGCAGAGTGATTTCCATTGACACTCCTTGAGAGTACCATTGTGCCCATTTTACAGATGTACATAGATGCACACGCCCTCATGCCCATAGCTCTTGTTCCCTCTTTTTTTTTAAAATACAGAGTTTTATGCTGCCACCCAGGCTGCACTGCAGTGGTGCAATCTCGGCTCACTACAACATCTGTCTTCTGGGTTCAAGCAATTCTCCTGCTTCAGCCTCCCAAGTAGCTGGGATAGGTGCCCACCACCACACCCAGCTAATTTTTGTAGATTTAGTAGAGACGGGGTTTCACCATGTTGGCCAGGCCGGTCTTGAACTCCTGATGTCAAATGATCTACCTGCCTTGGCCTCCTGAAGTGCTGGGATTACATGCATGAGCCACCGTGCCCAGCTTTGTTCTCTTCTTTTTCTAATTATCAGTTGGATAAGGACCAGGAGAGGTCCTTATGTATAAATAAGGAAGGACTATGTAATAGATACCTAAGGGACAAGGACTTTCAGAGAGGTCCTTCCATGTTCCTGGTGTTCTGGCACGCCAAGGTCAGAGCTGTTATAATCCCTGCCTATGGATAAAAGAACCACAGCTCAGAGACGGGATGTGATTTGCTTCCAGTCACACAGCTCAGCGCGGTGGAACTGAGATGGGGACCCAAAGTTCACACCATTTCCCCTAATGTCCCTGCTTCTCAGCAGTAAGGCAAACAGTAAATTCTGCCTTTCAGTTCACTCAGCTTTGGTTTCCTCACCTGGAAAATGGGTGCTTTGGAAGTGGGAGTGGCTGCTACACTTTCCAATCAATGGAGAAAGGAAAGACTAGAGCCACACACAAGAGCTGGGCTCTGTCCCCCTTTCATTGCTCTATCCCAGCGGAACTCCCTGGACCTGGACAGAGCTGCATCTGGGGCCTCCCAAATTCTCCACTGGAGGGACCCAAATGGCAGAAGTGGGTGAACATGTCTCTCCTGGGGCAATCTGGGAGTAGAGTCTGAAGGGCTGCCACAGACATATGTCAATCTTGTCTTAAGAACACCTACTAGCTTGGAGCAGTGGCTCATGCCCGTAATCCCAGCATTTGGGAAGGCCAAGGCAGGAGGATTGCTTGAGCCCAGGAGTTTGAGACCAGCCTGGGCAACATAGTGAAACTTAGTTTCTACCATATATATATATATATATAAAGAATACCTATAAAATTTTCAGTTTATAGTAATTCATGCATTTTTTTTTTTTTTGAGATGGAGTTTCACTCTATTGCCCAAGCTGGAGTGCAATGGTGCGATCTCTCGGCTCACTGCAACCTCTGCCTCCCAGGTTCAAGTAATTCTCCTGCCTCAGCCTCCTGAGTAGCTGGGATTACAGGCACCCACCACCACACCCAGCTAATTACTTCTAGTAGAGATGAGGTTTCACCATGTTGGCCAGGCTGGTCTCAAACCCGCCTCGGCCTCCCAAAGTGTCGGGATTACAGGTGTGAGCCACGGTTCCTGGCCATAATTCATGTTTAAGATTTTAAAAAATTTCTTTTATTTTTATTGCCATATAGTAATTGTAGATATTTGTGGGGTGACGTATGATGTTTTGGCTGTGAAGTTTAGAAAGCAAGGGATACCTAAGGTTTTTCCCTACATGAATACAAGGTGTAATGATCAAATCACGGTAATGAGCATTATCTATTATCATCTGGGACATCTATCATTTCTTTGTCTTGGGAACATTCATGACTACTGCCCGGGCAACAAAGCGAGACCCCATCTCCAACAACAACAACAGGCCAGGCACCATGGTGTGCCCCTATAGTCCCAGTGTTCTGGGAGGCTGGGGTGGGGAAATCGCTTGACCCTAAGTTTGAGGCTGCAGCGAGCCATGATAGCACCACTGCACTTCAGCCTGGGTGACAGAGCGAGACCCTGTCTCAAAGAAAAAAAAATCCACTCTTCCAGCTATTTGAAAATGCAAAATACTTGTTAGTTACAGTCACTATATAGTGCTATAGAATGCTAGAACTTTAAAAAAGATATTTAAAAAATTTAAAATGACTTTTTTTTTTTTGGAAATGGAGTCTTGCTGTTGTCCAAACTGGAGTGCAATGGCACAATCTCAGCTCACTGCAACCTCTGTCTCTCAGATTAAAGTAATTCTCCTGCCTTGGCCACCTGAGTAGCTGGGATTGCAGGCATGCGCCATCATGTCCCTCTAATTTTTGTAGTTTCAGTAGATGAAACATTTCACATGTTGTCCAGGCTGGTCTCAAATGCCTGACTTCAGGTGATCCACCTGCCTCAGCCTCCCACAGTGCTGGGATTACAGCTGCACCCAGCTTAATGACTTAATTAATTAACTTTTTTAGAGACAGGGTCTCACTCTGTCACCCAGGCTAAAATGCAGTGGTGCCATCACTGCTTGCTGCAACCACCCGGCTCGAGCAATTATTCTCCCTTAGTCTCCCAAGTGGTTGGGACTGCAGGCTCATGCCACCACACCTGGCTAATTTTATTTTTATTTATTTATTTTATTGTTTTTGAGACAAGCTTGCACTGTTGCCCAGGCTGGAGTACAGTGGCACCATCTCGGCTCACTGCAACCTCCACCTCCCAGGTTCAAGCAATTCTCCTGCCTCAGCCTCCTGAGGAGCTGGAACTACAGGTGCCCACCACCATGCACAGCTAACTTTCGTATTTTTAGTAGAGACAGGATTTCACCATATGGCCAGGTTGGTCTCCTGACCTTGTGATCCATCTGCCTCAGCCTCCCAAAGTGCTGGGATTACAGGCATGAGCCACTGTGCCCAGGCTATTTTTATTTTTAACGGAGACAAGGTCTCCCAATGTTTCCCAGGCTGGTCTTGAACCCTTGAGCTCAAGCAATCCTCCCACCTCAGCCTCCCAAAGTGCCGGGATTACAGGTGAACCACTGTTCCCCACCTTAATTTTATAAATTAACTCCCAGCCCCAACTTCTCAACTAAAATGGAGCCTCTGGGAAGAGGTTCCACTCTCTATCCCTCCCAAGGCTCAGGTTCCTGAAGGGTCTGAACCTTGGTATGGAATCCCAGGGTGGGTCATCCTCTATGACTGCTTTCCTTTGGGGAACCCCTCCCCCTCTGCATGAGGTCTTAGGGGGACCATCAGACTAGAAGGTGGCCATGGGATGTTCTCACCCAGGAGGGGGACTCTTGATATCATTGACACCAGGAACTAAAATCCTAGGAATGGAGTCACCTGGAGGAGACCAGTCATCAGTTCCTGCCATCCAGGTCCCTGAAGCTGCCTTAACACTGTCCTTTCCAAGCCCCGGTGGTCGCATTTCTAGAAATCTGTTTTCCAGAAGCTAGCCCACATCATTCCTAGATAAGTTCCCTTTCTGCCCATAAATGAGCCGGGGTCAGTGTCTCTGGGTCATAACCGAATGCCCTAACTGCTGCGTCCTCTAAGCCCCTCACTTTACCTTGAGGACAAGTGCAGTGGGTTAAATGGTGGCCCTCTAAAGATATATACATGTCCCAGAACATGTGGATGTCACCTTATTTGGAAAAAGGGCCATTGCAGATGTCATTGAGGATCTTGAGATGAGATCAACCTGGCTTATCCGGGGGGGAGGGGCTCTCTATCCAATCAAAAGTAGCTTTAAGAGACTCACAGAGAAGAGACAGATGGAAAAGAGGAGAAGGCCGTGTAAAGGCGGAGGCAGATCCTGGAGCGATGCAGACACAAGCCTAGAATGCCATCAGAAACTAGAGAGATGAGGAAGGAGTGCAGGCCAGGCACAGTGGCTGACACCTGTAATCCCAGTACTTTGGGAGGCCAAGGTGGGCGGATCACCTGGGGTCAGGAGTTCAAGACCAGCCTGGCCAACTGGTGAAACCCCATCTCTACTAAAAAGTGGCGCATGCGTGTAATCCCAGCTACTCAGGTAGCTGAGGCAAGAGAATCGCTTGAACCCAGGCAGAGGTTGCAGTGAGCCCAGATCACCCCACTGCACTTCAGCCTGGGTGACAGCGTGAGACTTCATCTCAAAGAAAGAAAAAAAAAAGAACAAAAAAGGAAGGAGTGCAGCCTGTCCGAGCCTCTGAGAGTGCAGCCCAGCTGACACCTTGATTTCAGACTTCCGGCCTCCAGGATGGTGAGAGAAGAAATGATTGTCTTTTGTTTGTTTGTTTTTGAGGGAGGGTCACAGCTCACTGTCATCCTGACCTCCCTGGGCTCAGGCGATCCTCCCACCTCAGCCTCCTGAGTAGCTGGGAGTACAGGCATGCACCACCACACCAAGGTCATTTTTGTGTTTTTTGTAGAGACAGGGTTTTGCCATGTTGCCCAGGCTGGTCTTGAACTCCTGGGCTCAAGCAGTCCTCCCGTCTTGGCCTCCCAAATGGCTGGTATTACAGGCGTCAGTCACCATGTCCAGCCCATTTCTATTGTTTTAAGCCATCAAGTTTGGGTGGCATCATTTGTCACGGAAGCCACAGGATATTAACACACCCAGAGACAGAAGACAGGAGGACATAACTGCATTAACACTGAGCTGGGATCTGCATGCCTCAGGGATTCTGCTCTCAGGACTAGGGACCCCTGCGCCGAGTCAGAAGAACAGTTTCAGGAACCTGCTTGGATAGGAGGGAGTGGAAATGACCCCAGGTGACTGCAGCTGGACTCCTGGAAGGCAGGTATTGGGTGAGCTTTCCCGTAAACAGCCTGCAGCTAATTTTAAACTCGGGGTCACCTGGGCATAGTGGGGGGAGGTCGGGTTGCAGCTGACGTTGGCAGGCAGACAGCTACTTCGCAGAGGGCCAGGGTATCCATGACTCTCCTGACCATGGAAAGCTGCAGCTGCTCATATAAATTATTCTTGGCTGGAGGATTAGGTGTCTAGAGTACAGGCTGCTGAGCTGGCCGGTGGAGGCCCCAGGTAGAGGAAAGAATTCAGCTGCACAAGATTGAACCCCTGGGAAAACAGCAGGATAGTTCCACTGGGATCAGGGGTCAGGCCTCACTGGCCCAGGGTGATGGGGAGTGGGGTGGGAAAGATTTTAGGGAAAAGAGCTGATGCTCAGGGACCTGCTTAGCTGGGGCTACAGCACTGCACAGTGATTAGGCCCCAGGCTCTGGTGTTAAACTCTCTTGGGGTTCAAATCCCACCTCTACCATCTAATAGCAGTATGACCTTCAGTGAAGTCAGTTCATCTGTCTCAGTTTTCTCACCTGTACATTGAGAATTATCCATTTTTTTTGAAATGGAGTCTCGCTCTGTCACCCAGGTTGGAGTACAGTGGCATGATCTTGGCTCACTGCAACCTCTGCCTCCTGGGTTCAAGTAATTCTCCTGCCTCGGCCTCCAGAGTAGCTGGGATTACAGGCATGCACCACCAAACTGGCTACTTTTTTTTTTTTTTTTTTTTTTTTTGTATTTTTAGTAGAAATGGGGTTTCACCATATTGGCCAGGCTGGTCTCGAACTCCTGACCTTGTGATCCACCCACCTCAGCCTTCCAAAGTGCAGGGATTACAGGTGTGAGCCACCGTGCCTGGGGGAGGATTATAATGTTTAAGCCCTCTGACTCTCCAAATCCACTTGGCTCTCAAGTTTAGATGGTTTTGATAGTAAAGGGAAACCAAGTTATCTGATTCTTTTTACTTTCTGAATTTTAGAAAGCAATAAAAAAATACATATATATTTTGTACAGACAGGATTTTGCCATGTTGTCCAGACTGGTCTCGAACTCCTGAACTCAAGCCATCCACCCACCTCTGCTTCCCAACGTGCTGAGATTACAGGTGTGAGGCACCACACAGACCCATCTTTCCTGATAATCTGGATAGCATGAACTTTATCTGAATAAATTTCGCTCTGAGGTGTAGAAAGCAAGGGATACCTAAGATTTTCACCTAAAAGGGGTGTTGTGAAGAGTTAATTAGACCTTTGCATATAAAGTTAGCATGCAATGTGTGGGAGGAGAGTCCATGAAAAAAAGAAGAGAGAAAATTAAAATAAAGGAAAAAGTAGAATAAAGAATGGGGCTGGGTGTGGTGGCTCATGCCTGTGATCCCAGCACTTTGGGACGCTGAGGCAAGAAGATCACTTGAGGCCAGGAATTCGAGACCAGCCTGGACAACACAGTGAGACCCCCATCTCTTTTCTTTTTTTGAGACGGAGTTTCGCTCTTGTTACCCAGGCTGGAGTGCAATGGCGCGATCTCGGCTCACCGCAACCTCCGCCTCCTGGGTTCAGGCAATTCTCCTGCCTCAGCCTCCTGAGTAGCTGGGATTACAGGCACGCGCCACTGTGCTCAGCTAATTTTTTTGTAGTTTTAGTAGAGACGAGGTTTTAGCATGTTGACCAGGATGGTCTCCATCTCTTGACCTCGTGATCCACCTGCCTTGGCCTCCCAAAGTGCTGGGATTACAGGTGTGAGCCACTGTGCCCAGCGAGACCCCCATCTCTACAAAAAAATTTAAAGTAAGCCTGGTGTGGTGGCACACGCCTTCAGTTCCAGCTACTTGGAAGGCTGAGGCAGGAGGATCATTGAAGCCCAGGAGTTCAAGGCTGCAGCAAGCAATGATTGCGCCATTCCACTCCAGCCTGGGCAACAGAGAAGACCCTATCCCTAAAACAAACAAATAAATAAAAAAGACAGCCAAGGTGGACTTTTCCGGGAAGTCACCGAAGCTTGAGCTTTTGGGTCTCTCCCTTGCAAGGCCCTTCCAAAGTGTTATACATCTCATTCCACACTCATCATTTGGTACTTTTTTGTGTAAAGAGGGCCCCTAAAGCTGGATTCACTCTTGTGCAGTAGAAAAGAGAGCTAGACTTGGGTTTGCTCAAGTCTCTTCCCTATCTGACTATGTAAGGACAGACACTGGGCCTGACTTCTTCTGGGCTGTATCCCTGGCAGGGCACAGGCACATAGCAGATGCTCAGAATGTGCCGAACGACGAACGGCCAAGGCCCGGGGAAACTGTCCTTTGAAAGGAAGGTGGGCCTCAGACACATATTAGCATGAATCACACGTGTATGTTGGAGGAGGCAGCAGTGGGCAGGTGTGTTTGGTATAAGCAGAGCCCCACGATACTCACCTGGGAGAGGCGTCCCATTGGCCATGAGGGTCAGTTGGTCGGCGATGGCTTTGGTTCGGGAATAGTGGTCTATGTGCTGCCAGACACCAGGGAAAACAGAACCACCAGAGAGGGTCAGCAATGCTGCTGGCAATGCCTGCCCAGCCTGGCCAGCCCCAGGGCTGCACCTTCCCCGGGGAATCCCACTGGGATATGGCCAAGCCCTGAGCCCCATGGCCCCTTCTCTCCCCCTGGGTGGGAGAACAGTGCATCTCCTTCCAGAGCCACAGGAGCAGAGGAGCACTGGGTTCAGAGCAGCAACAATGACCAGGGCGGCCCGACTCGGAGGCTGCTGCCAGCCCCAGATGCCTGCCCTGCAAGGCTGATGCTGGACACCTGCTGGGTGAATTACCTATACATGGCTGTTTTGTGTTCACATGACATTTTCACATCACTTATCTCATTTCCTGCTCTGCACAGCCCCATGGTGATAGTGTTATCATGTTGGGATGAAGAAACAGAGGTTTCTCTGGGTGTGGTGGCTTATGCCTACAACCCCAGCATTTTGGGAGGCCCAGGAGGGAGGATCGCTTGAGCCCAGGAGTTTGAGACCAGCCTGGGCAACACAATGAAACCCTGTCTTCACTAAAAATACAAAAATTAGCTGGGCGTGGTGGCGGGCACCTATAGTCCCAGCTATTGAAGAGGCAGAGGTGGGAGGATCACCTGAGCCCAGGAGGCTGAGGCTACAGTGAGTCAAGATCATGCCACTACACCCCAGTCTGAGTGACAGAGCAAAGCAAGACCTTGTCTCAAAACAAACAAACAGAAAAAACAAGGCCTGTAACCCCAGCACTTTGGGAGGTCAAGGTGGGCAGATGGCTTGAGGCCAGGAGACCAGCCTGGCCAACATGGTGAAAATCCGTCTCTACTAAAAATACAAAAATTAGCTGGGTGTGGTGGCATGCACCTGTAGTCCCAGCTACTTGGGAGACTGAGGCAGAAGAATTGCTTGAACCTGGGAGGTGGAGGTTGCAGTGAGTCGAGATTGTGCTACTGCACTCCAGCCTGGAGACAGAACAAGACTCTGTCTCAAAAACAGAAAAGAAAAGAAAAAAAGAAACAGAGGCTCAAAGGGCTTAAGTGATTTGTTCAGGGACAGGGTCACATGGGTAGAATGTGGCCAGGTTGAGGCTAAGGCCAGGCCTGTCTGATTTCAATGCCCCTGCAAGTGTGACCAGCTGAAAAAAGAGAGTGCTGATGCCACCCAATTTTGAGGGCCTCTTCCTGCTAGGACACATCCTGAGTTGTGAAATCCACCCTGCTTCCACCCATCCCTACCCTCTGAGCTGTGGGTCCCAGGACAGTGGGCCCCACCCCCCTCTCCTGGAAGACAGGTACCTCGTCCAGTGGGAAATACGGTACGGAGTCCTCATCGCCCTGCTGTATGGGCTTCCCGCCAAATGCAACGTTGACAGTGCTGGTATAGATGAGCCTTGGAACCCGCCGGCGAACACAGACTGCAGCGACAGGTGCACAGAGCAACACACACACACACACACACACACACACACACACACAGACATGTGTGAGCAGGGAGTCAGCTGAGGAAGTGCCATGAAGATCTCCACCGAGTCAACACATGACTTGGCCCTGCAGGACTATCCCAGAATCTAGAGCTGTTCAGGAGGGAAGGGTCTCCTGCCCTTAACTGAGGATGCAGGTCAAGTTCCTGCTCCATGGGCCCCTGGGAACCAGGCCTGCTCCTTATTCTTTCTCAACGTGGCTTGGACCCTGAGCTACCTTGCCAGAGACAGGTCAGAAGAAGGTCTCACTGGATAGAGACATAGAAAAAGATCTCTAGAATCAGAGACACACGGGATCAGGCAGGACATGCCCAGGCAGCCCGCACATGGGTCTTCAATTTTGGTGCTTCGGCAGCTTTTCATTGACTGAGATGGAGTTTTGTTCTTGTTGCCCAGGCTGGAGTGCAATGGCGTGATCTTGGCTCACCGCAAGCTCTGCCTCCCGTGTTTAAGCGATTCTCCTGCCTCAGCCTCCTGAGTAGCTGGGATTATAGGCATGCGCCACCACACCCAGCTAATTTTTGTATTTTTAGTAGAGACGGGGTTTCTCCATGTTGGTCAGGTTGGTCTCGAACTCCTGACCTCAGGTGATCTGCCCATCTCGGCCTCCCAAAGTGCTGGGATTACAGGCATGAGCCACCATGCCCAGCCTTATTTATTTATTTTGAGACAGAGTTTCGCTCTTGTTGCCCAGGCTAGGGAGTGGTGGTGTGATCTCGGCTCAGTGCAACCTCTGCCTCTCAGATTCAAGCAATTCTCCTGCCTCAGCCTCTCAAGTAGTTGGGACTACAGGCGTCTACCACCACAGCTGGCTAATTTTTTTGTATATTTAGTAGAGGGGGGGTTTCACCATGTTGGCCAGGCTGGTCTCGAACTCCTGACCCCAGGTGATCTACCCCGGTTGGCCTCCCAAAGTGCTGGGATTACAGGCATGAGCCACCATGCCAGACCAGCTTCGGCAACTTTTCTTCCTCCAGCCCCTAAGCCCTGAGAGGTAACTCTATTCCCCATGTTCCCAGACACGCTAAGGCCTCACTGACACACCCATGCAGGGCCCTGGGCAGGTCTGCAGTGCATGAAGGATGTGCTGCCCACAGGCCCTCCCTTTGATGGCTGGAGGGTCCCACCTCTGCAGGAGAAGGGAGAGGGGGAGATGTACAGCAGGTCATACCCGGCTCTGAGCACCTACCATCAATCACTAGTTTGGTGCCTCCGACATTTATAGACTCAATCTGCTCTTTCTGCAGCTAAAAGACAAGACAGTGAGAAAGTAATGGTGCTACCCATGCCTTCTTGCTGAGGCTGGAGGGCTGAGCTTGGCGTCAGGTGGGATGGGCGGGGCAGCAGGATGTTCAGCTCAGAAGGAGGGATCCCGAAGGCCCACCAGGAGTGTGGGTGCCTGGCTCTGCCACCATCTTCCTGGGTTTCCAGGGAAGGTTTGCCCCACATCTGGCCCTCAGTAACTTCATCTGTGAAATGAGGGCAGACCTCCTCCCCTGGGTGGCAGGTAGGACCTAATAAGACACTTGAGAGGACCTGGTAGAGTGCCCGGCACAAAGAGGGGCTCAGAACCTGTTGGGTCATTTTCCTGCTCTCAAAGCCTCAGTTTCCCTATCTGTAAGGTGGACATGGTAATACGGGCTGGGCCTTCAAGAGGGAGCTGGGGTGTGAAAAACAAAAACTAGGCCACTATGAGGGCTCCTGTGAGCCAGGGGCAGGGTGAGAGCTTCCTGATCGACAATCTCATTTAATTCTCTTAACAACAGGAGGTGAGCTCCATGCTTATTTTTTAGCTATATTTATTCTTAATTTTTGAGATGGAGTTTTGCTCATGTTGCCCAGGCTGGAGAGCAGTAGTGCAACCTCAGCTCACTGCAATTGCTGCCTCCCAGGTTCAAGTGATTCTCCTGCCTCAGCCTCCCAAGTAGATGGGATTACAGGCATGTGCCACCATGCCTGGCTAATTTTTTTTTTGTATTTAGTAGAGACAGGGTTCCACCATGTTGGTCAGGCTGGTCTCGAACTCCTGACCTCAGATGATCCACCTGCCTCACCTCTCAAAGTGCTGGGATTACAGGTATGAGCCACCATGCCCAGCCTATATTTATTCTTTTAAGAATTTTTTGCCAAACATGGTAGCTCACACCTGTAATCCCAGCACTTTGGGAGGCTGAGGCGGGTGGATCACCTGAGGTCAGGAGTTTGAGACCAGGCTGAGCAACATGGCGAAACCCTGTCTCTACTGAAAATACAAAAATTAGCCAGGTGTGGTGGTGTGTGCCTGTAATCTCAGCTACTCGGGAGGCTGAGGCAGGAGAATTGCTTGAACCTGGGAAGCGGAGTCTGCGGTGAGCCGAGATTGCACCACTGCACTCCAGCCTGGGTGACAGAGCGAAATTCCGTCTCAAATAAATAAAGATAGAGATAGGGGTCTCATTATGTTTCCCAGGCTGGTCTCAAACTCCTGGGCTCAAGCAGTCCTCCCATCTTGGCCTCCCAAAGTGCTGGGCTTACAGGTGCGAGCCACCGTGCCCGGCTCTATATTTATTCTTGTTGTGGCTGTTTTTGTTTCATAGGCAACACAATCAAGGTGAAAAAGAATTCAAACAGTAAGAAGAGTGTATGGTGAAAAGTTTCCCTCCCACTCCTGATCCCAAATCTTCCTTTCCCTCCCTAAAGGCAGCCACCGTTAAATTTTCTGTGTTTCTAGAGATAATCTATGCTTGTTAATATCAGCATGTAAGCATGTGTGAGTATAGAAAGAAACAGTTTCTTTCGCTTTTTTTGTAAACAAACAGGAGAATGCCAAACACTGCTTTGCACCTTGGAAACCATATTTTTTATCTGCACACGTTGAGTCAGCTCTTTCTTTTGAATGGCTGCAGAGAACTTCACTGTAAAACACGATTTATTAGGCTGGGCATGGTGGCTCATGCCAGTAATCCAAGCACTTTGGGAGGCCAAGGCGGGGGGATCACCTGAGGTCAGGAGTTCTAGACCAGCCTGACCAACATGGAGAAACCACACCTCTACTAGAAATACAAAATTAGCCGGGCTTGGTGGTGGGTGACTGTAATCCCAGCTACTCAGGAGTCTGAGGCAGGAGATTTGCTTGAACCTAGGAGGCGGAGGTTGCAGGGAGCTGAGATCGCACCTGGGCAACAAGAGCTAAGCTCTGCCTCAAAAAAACAAAAACAAAAACAAAAAACACACAATTTGTTTAAATAGTCCCCAACTGATGAGTTATTTCCAGCATTTTATTATTAAGAACAATGCTGCAAATGCACAGGTGAGTGTAATTTCTGTGTCAAGGGGTATCCATATGTTTTGGTGGATACTATCACATTGCTCTCTGAAGAGGTCGTGATATTACTAATAGTAATGTCCTCACTTTCCAGATGATGGAAGAGGATCAACGAGGTTAAGTATACTTGCCCTAGGTAACACAGTTATAAAATGGCGTAATAGGGCCAGGCGTGGTGGCTCATGCCTGTAATCCCAGCACTTTGGGAGGCCAAGGCAGGTGGATCACCCGAGGTCAGGAGTTTGAGACCAGCCTGGCCAGTGTGGTGAAACCCTGTCTCTACTAAAAATACAAAAATTCGCCGGGCCTGGTGGCACATGCTACTCGGGAGGGTGTGGCAGGAGAATCACTTCAACCTGGGAGGTGGAGGTTGCTGTGAGCCGATATCACGACATTGCACTTTAGCCTGGTGAAGAAGCAAGACTCTGTCTCAAAAACAAAACAAAACAAAACAAACCCAAAAACAAACAAACCAAAATGGCAAAACTGGTATTTGGTCTCATGGATGCAAGATGCAGGCTGGGAATAGCCCAAGTCCTTCCTACAGTAGGTGAAGCGTGAGAGGGAATGGATAGGCGTGAAGGCAGAGCCAGGACTGGAACCCCACTCTGTCTAACTGCAGGTGTTGTGTGCGAGGAGCCCACCTTCTCAGCCCCGGACATTCCATAGGAAGCCACGTGGAAGACACAGTCCACCCCTTCGAAGGCACGGTACAGGGCTGCTTCATCTCGGACGTCAGCCTGAACCAGAGGAAAAAGAGACGAGGGCAGGAGGTTCAAGTCCAAGGCAAGAGATAACACTTCTGCCCCTTGCCTGGTCTCAGAACTGACCCCCGACCCAGCCCAGGCCAAGCCTCTGTAACATCAGGAAAGGCTGGTGGGGCAGGATTCACTAAAGGATTCTCCAGGGCACCGTGGGCATCATCCTGTGCTCATTTATCACACTCTCTAGGTCACAAAAGCTGGGCCGGGTTTATGTGCACTGTCTTGTCAACTCCCAATGAGACCCTGTGAAGTCAGTGTTACTATTGTCCCCTTTCTGTGACCACAGCTGCCAAGCTGGTAGCACCAGAGCTAGAGCTCAAACAGTCTGGCTTCAGAGTCTCTGCCCCTAAACTCCACACCACGGGTTTCACATCAAACACTCTCTCCTGACCATCACCACCACCCCAGTCTACTAAGACCCTTGTCCCCGTACCTGGATGAACTCAGTTTCCGGGGACAGTTCCCACTGGGGTCTGCGGCGGTCGAGCAGAATGACAGAAGTGCCGCTCTTGGCCAGGTGGGATCCCAGGCTGAAGCCCAGGTAGCCTCCTCCTCCAGTCACCAGAACCTTCTGCCTGGCAGCCTTTGTGGGTTTGGCTTGAGTCTTCTGCTGTGGTGCTGGTGTTGGGGTTGCTGTTGACTCCCTGAGTTTGGGCCCAGTCACAGACCCCTGTGTGAGCCCAGATCCTAGCTCTGGCTCAGGTGTGGACCCAGCTCCTGGCCCAGGTGCCGAGCCAGATCCTAGACCAGGTACAGACCCAGCTCCTGGCCCAGGTACAGACCCAAGTCCTAGACCAGGTACTGACCCAGCTCCTGGCCCAGGTACAGACCCAGGTCCTAGACCAGGTACTGACCTAGCTCCTGGCCCAGGTATAGACCTATGTTCTAGACCAGGTGCTGACACAGCTCCTAGACCAGGTACAGACCCAGATCCTGGCCCAGGTACAGACCCAGCTCCTATAACAGGTACTGACCCAGCTCCTAGACCAGGTGCAGACCCAGATCCGGGCCCAGGTACCAATCCAGCTCCTGGCTCAGGTACAGACTCAGCTCCTAGACCAGGTGCTGACCTAGCTCCTGGCGCAGGTGCTAACCTAGCTCCTGGTGCAGGTACTGACCTAGCTCCTGGCCCAGGTACTGACCCAGAGCCTGGCCCAGGCCCTAGACCTGGTCCAGTTCCTGAAACAGTATCAGGCCTCAGACCAGCACCAGAACCCACCTGAGGTTCTGGAATAGCTTTGGGCCCCAGTCCAGGCCCTGGAATGGCACCAGGCTTTGGTACAGGCCCTGACTCAGACCCTAAACCAGACCTTGGACCTGAGACCTCTCCACAGGCCTGGCAGACAGGGCAGCTCTTCTCACCCTGGCCTGCAGCTTTGCAGGCCTCTGGGGAGGAGCCTGGGGGGTTGGGCTTCATCCTTTACTGAGCCATGCAGACCCAGAAACCGACCACCTATGGGAAGAAAATAGAAGAAAGAATGCTCTAGAGTTGTTTCAAGTCACATAGATTATTAGACCTCTAGGAGGAGGGGAACTCCAGGTGGGAATTAGAGACTCTGAGTTCCCAGGGAACCTGTCCCTTTCAGAATCTCAAGAATCTCCAGTATGGGCTGGGCAAGGTGGCTCATGTCTGTAATCCCAGCGCTTTAGGAGGCCAAGTCGGGCAGATCACTTGAGGCCAGGAGTTTGAGACCAGCCTGGCCAACATGGTGAAACCCCATCTCTACTAAAAATGCAAAAATTAGCTGGGCGTGATAGGGCACACTGTAATCCCAGGTACTCAGGAGACTGAGGCATGAGAATCACTTGAACATGGAAGGCGGATGTTGCAGTGAGCTGAGATGGTGCCACTACACTCCAGCCTGGGTGATAGAGTGAGACTCAGTCTCAATAAATAAATAAATTAAAATCTCCAGTGTGGCTGCCGTCCTCTGCACAGAGAGTCAGAGACAAGGCAGCCAAGATGATTTTAGAGCTAGGGAAATCGAAGTCTAAAGTCATACTGTGTGACTGAGGTTGATGTCAAGCATTCCTGACTTCTCTACCAGGTCCTTAAAATTCCAGTTTCCATGGAGTACCAAAGGAAGACAGGGCAAATCATCGAGCAGGAACCTCACCAGATTGGGAGGTGGCTGCTTTCTCACTGAGGAGATGGGGAGGGCTTTCTGAAGAGGAGGAGGAAAAGGAGTAGAAGGAGGAGGAGGATCCACACAGGATCCAAAAGGACTCTGCATCCTGGTAACTTGTACACGACTCCAAGTGCTGTGCCTGTCCCCACCCTGCCACCTGCCACCTCTGGTCCTTTTAGGTCCTGTGGTAGTACAGGTGGCTGGTACCACAGGGTCTGCCCAATCCCTCTGCAGGCTTTAGGGTCTGGTCTGTGGGTCTAGGGGGACAGCACTGAGGATCCTGTTCTTTGCTGCCTCAGACTATTTTTTTTTCTCTGTCACCCAGGCTGGAGTGCAGTGGCACAATCATAGCTCACTGCAGCCTCAACCTTCCCTATTCAAGTGATCCTCCTGTCTTAGCCCCCCAAGTAGCTGGGACTACAGGTGCATGCTATCATGCCTGGCTAATTTTTGTGTTTTTAGTAGAGATGGGGTTGTGGCATGTTGGCCAGGCTGGTCTTGAACTCCTGACCTCAAGTGATCCTCCCACTTCGGCCTCCCAAAGTGCTGGGATTACAGGTGTGAGCCACTGCATCCAGCTCCAGCTCCCTAAATCTTTTTTATTTTTGAGACAGAGTCTCAGTCTGTTGACCAGGCTGGTCTTGAACTCCTGAGCTCAAGCGATTCTCCTGCCTTGGCCTCCCAAACTGTCCAGATTACAGGGGTGAGCCACTGTGCCCAGCCCTCAGTCTAAACTCAAGGCAAACCAGGGTGTCAGTCACTGTCATCATCATCCACCCTCTCCCCTACTCCCCCAATCTCCTGTTCCACCTGAGGGTGAGGCTGGATGACAAGGGCCAGGCAATCATAACCATAACAACAGCAACCATGTGCTAGGGGCCTCTGTGCGCCAGGCTCTATGTACACAGATGGGTGAGTCTCTGCTCTGCATGGCATATACTGGCTGCATGAAAGAATGGACATTTGGTGAGTGACGGGGCTGATGAGCCCCATGGTTGTTGCGGCTGGTGGTCACAGGCAGGGACTCTGGCAGGTAGAGGGGCTGTATTTTTAATTTCCTCTGTTACTGCCCTGCTCACCAAGTGTCTGGGTGAGGAATACTGTCCTACCCCGTAGTAGCATGAACGCTCATGGCTTTATTTATTTATTTTGAGAAGGAGTCTTACTCTGTTGCCCAGGCTGGAGTGCAGTAGTGTGATCTTGGCTCACTGCAACTTCCACCTCCCCGGTTCAAGCAATTCTTCTGCTCCAGCTTTCAGAGTAGCTGGGACTATGGGCATGCACCACCACCCCTGGCAAATTTTTGTATTTTTAGTAGAGATGGGCTTTGCTGTGTCAGCCAGGCTGGTCTCAAACTCCTGGTCTCAAGTGATCTGCCTGCCTCAGCCTCCCAAAGTGCTGGGATTACAGGCATAAGCCACACGCTCAGTGCACTCATCGGTTTAATGAGAGACACCCTCCACAGAGGAGGGAGCCTAAATCCGCTAGAGGGAGGGGAGAGGATGCAGCCCCACAGCGGAGTCCTCCTCCTATACTCAGGCCCAGAGGACTCTGTTCTGGAGAAGGGTCTATGGGACCAGAGCCAACTTTCTAACCTAAGGGGATGCCTTTCGTGGCAAAGGTTGGACTCAGCCCTGGGTACTCACTTGTTGGGGTGTGCCCTTGGGTACAGGCCCTAAAACCTCACTGTACCTCAGTACCCACAGCGAATGGACCTAAATATTTCTGGCTGCTCCGGCTTTTCACAGGGTGGTCATGAGAAAACAGAGGCAAGAATGCCTTGCAAACCTAGATTGCAAAGCTCCAGGAGGATTTCATTCCCTGGAGTGTCCCAACACCTAGGCAGTCAGCAAACGGTGCTGGGTGGATGAAATCTCTGGGGCACGAAATCTCGGGATCTGGCCATGGTATGGTCGCACGCCAGACAGACCCACACATGGCTGCACTCATTCTCTTGGAAGTTCAGTAAAGTACAGGCTATGGTCTCCATTACCCAGAGGTGGAAACTGAGGCCCAGAGAACATGAGTAAACTTTGATGGACTCATAGACAATGTGTCCGCCAGAATCCAGGTCGATGGGGACCCAAAATTGAGTTTAGTGAAAGGAACTGGCAAAGGGGAGGGGAGCATCAGGGACTGACTCTGGGCGCGCTGGGCTCGTGGGCAGCTCGAGGGTGGGCGTCCCCTTCCCTTTTGGCCCCCCTCACATCTGTCCCGCCCGCATCTGCGTCCCTGGCCCACGTCCGGGCTTCGCTCACCTGGCCCGGGCTCCCGCGGCGCTGCGTGCTCCCAGCGCTGCACGCTCCCAGCGCTGCACCTGTCTCGGTGCCGCCAGAGCCACCGCCTCCTCCGGAGGGGGCAGAACGGGGCGGGGCGTGGCATCGGGACCACCCCCAGCCTGCTCTTCTGCCCGCCCACTGCCGGCGCGGGAGCACCTGCATTCTCTCAGGTGGAGACCCGCAGACTTTCACAGAGGGGAAAACTGAGGCCAGCAGGGCAGGGATGGGCGAAATGGTCCACGCTTCTGGTGGGAAAAGACGCAAAGGCCTTGCGTGATGGGCTCTGTCCTGCCAGCCAAATCGTCATAGAACCCTAAGAACAGTGTTTCATCTATATCTAGGAGCAGAATTGCTGGGTCATATGATTACCTTGTTTTTAAGAGAAGAAATGCCAAACTGTTTTCTAAAGTAGCTGTACCATTTTTACAATCCTACCAGCAGTGTACAGGGTTCCAATATTTCCACATCCTTACCAACAGTTATTATCTATTTTTTAAATTTTAGCTATTCTATTGGATGTGAAGTGGTCTCTCATTGTGGTTTCATTCGTATTTCCTGATAGTTAATGCGGCTGAACATGTTTTCTTGTGCTCATTGGCACGTTAATGATGTGCTTTCTTTGGAGAAGTGTCTATTCAAATCCTTTGCCCATTTTCAGTTGAGTTATTTGTTGACTTTTAAGAGTTCTTTATATATTCTGGATATAAATCCCTTGTTAGATAAATAATTTGCAAATATTTAAACAAAAACAAAAAAGTTATTCCATCATCCATACTTCTACCTATCCATCCATCCTTCCACATATCCATCCATCCTTCCATTTATCCATCCAACCTTCCACTTATCCATCCAACTTTCCACTTATCCATCCAACTTTCCATTTATCCATTCATCCTTCCACTTATCTATCCAATCTTCCACTTATCCATCCAACTTACCACTTATTCATCCAATCTTTGATCCATTCATCCTTTGCTTATCCATTCAAACTTCCATCATCTATCCTTCCACTTATCCATCCAACCGTCCATCATCCAACCTTCCACTTATCCATTTAGCCTTCCATCCATCTGTACTTCCACCTTCCATATAACCTTTCATCCATCCATCCTTGCACCTATGCATCTAACCTTCCAGCATCCATTCTTCCATTTATCTATCTAACCTTCCATCCATCTATCCAACCTGCCACTTATCCATTCATCCTTCTACTTATCCATCCAACCTCCCACTTATCCATCCAACCTTCCACTTACCCATCCAACTTTCCACTTACCCACCTAACCTTCCACTTGTCCATCCAACCTTCCACTTATCCATCCAACTTTGCTTATCCATTCAAACTTCCATCATCTATCCTTCCACTTATCTATCTAATCTTCCACTTATCCATCCTTCCACGTATCCATCCAACTTTCCATCATCCATCCTTCCACTTATCCATCCAACCTTCCATCATCCATCCTTCCACGTATCCATCCAACCTTCCATCATCCATCCTTCCACTTATCCATCCAACCTTCCATCATCCATCCTTCTACCTATCCATCCATCCTTCCACTTATCCATCCATCCTTCCAACCATCTGTACTTCCACCTGTCCATACAACGTTTCATCCATCTATTCTTCCACCTGTCCATACAATCTTCCATCATCTATGCCTCCACCTATCCATCAAAACTTCCATCCATCCAACCTTCCACCTGTCTAATTCATCCTATCTATGTTTCTTTCCTTCCTTCTACCCATCTATCTAGTCTTCCTGTCTTGCAATCTTCCACTCATCTCTGTTGCTTTATGCACCAATCACATCATGCTGCTTTTGATGGGTGTTTCTTCAGTGCTGGATTATATCATCCTTTGAAAACTCTTGTTCAGCTGGGCGTGGTGGCTCATGCCTGTAATCCTAGAACTTTGGGAGGCTGCAGTGGGCAGATAACTTGAGTTCAAGAGTCTGAGAACAGCCTGGGTAACATAGTAAAACCCCATCTCTACAAAAAATACAAAAAAAAATTAGCCAGGCATGGTGGTATGTACTTGCAGTCCCAGCTACTTGGGAGGCTGAGGCAGGAGGATCACCTGAGCCCAGGAGGTGGAGGCTGTGGTGAGCCATGATTGCACCACTGCGATCTTACTGCTGGAGAGCTCAAGGCAATAGAGTGAGATCCTGTCTCAGCAAAAGAAAACTCACGTTCAAGTGGCAGTTGTAGAGGGTCAGGCATGTGCCCAACAGCTCACAACTGCTGTAATGGAGCCACAGGGGCTGAGAGGAGGAAGGGCTGATTGCTTTGCTCTGAAAATGGCAACTGGAAAGGCTCCGCCCATACAACATCCTCTATGGGTATAGTTGTGGGGAAGAGAAAATCAAAATCTTAGTGTGCATGTGCTATGAGTCAGATGGTAAGAGATCTTGCTTAATCCTCACAAGTCTGTTTTAGCTCAATTTTAGAGACAGGTTCAGAAAAGGGGCTCTGAATGTGGTGGGAAAAAGCCATGGGGTCATTCTTGGATTTAAATCTTGGCTTTGCCACCTTCTTGCCCTGTGTCTTTGAGCAGCTACAAGGTTCAGTTTCCTCATCTGTAAACTGCAAATGATGTGCACTTTACAGTTGTGACGCTGTGAGGTTTATGGCTAACATGCTCATTGCAAACTGTTGAGCATGGTGCCTGCTCAATCAGTGCTCAAACAATGGTAGCTGTTATCCACATTACACGGGAGGTTGGGATTTGAACCTAGGTCCTATCCTTCCCCACCTCATAAGCCATGTGTCTGGTCCAACCTTCCATTCACAACGGCCAGCCTCTTCGTCTCCCACCAACAGGGCCAAGAACTCATATTCCTCAGTACAAGCTACAGGTGTTGTCTTGCAAAGAGAAGCATAACTTACATCTGTGATGGGCTGAACTATGTTCTTCACAAAATTCATATGTGGAAGTCCCAATCCCATGTACTTAACTTTAACTCTGCAAATAGAATGATTGCAGATGTAATGAGTTAAGGTCATAGTGGAGTAGAATGGAACCTTTACTCCAGTATGATTGGTGTTCTTATAAAGAGGAAAAATTTGGACAAAGACATGCACAGAGAGCTTCACATGAGGACTGCAGTTACGCTGCTCAAAGCCAAGGAACTACCAGAATGGAGAAGTCCGGCACGGATCCTTCCCAGCTTCTTCAGAGGGAGCATGGCCCTGAGGGCACCTTAATCTTGAACTTCCAGCTTCCAGAACAATCAGACAATACATTTCTGTTGTTTCATCCACTCAGTTTGTGGTACTTTGTTACGACAGCTCTAGCCCATGAATAAGAACCCCACAGGCCCTTTTCTCTGTATTTGTAGACGTGGCCCAGGATGGCAGCTGTCCAAAATGGACCAGACTGAGATTCACCATGGCAGGGCTGTGGTCACTACCGCCTTCCTGGGCCCAGCACAGAGCCTGGCCAAAGCAGGGTCTCATCAAGCATTAGCATCTTAATTTTTTGTTTTTCAGACGGAGTCTAGCTCTGTCATCCAGGCTGGAGAGCAGTGGTGTGATCTCTCAGCTTACTGCAACCTTCACCTCCAGGGTTCAAGAGATTCTCCTGCCTCAGCCTCATGAGTAGCTGAGATTACAGGTGTGCACCACTATGCCTGGCTAATTTTTGTATTTTTTGTAGAGAGGGGGTTTTGCCATGTTGGCCAGGCTGGTCTCGAACTCCTGGCCTCAAGTCATCTGCCTACCTCGGCTTCCCACAGTGCTGGGATTACAGGTGTGAACCACTGCATGTGGCCAAAACTAAGTGTTTTTAGATAACTTGATGAATTTTTACTTATGTGTACCTCAATGTAACTCCTATCTTGATCAAGATATAGAATATTTTCATCACGCCAGATGTCCCCTTTCCCCTGTTCCACAGGATAACTACTATTTTGACTTCTAACATCAATAAGGAGTTTGGCGAGTTCTTGAATTTCATATAAATAACATTATACAGTATGTACTCTTTTGTGTCTAGTTTCTTTTGCCCAACATTATGAGACTGATGCATCTTGTTGAATATGGCTGTATAGATCATTCTTTTTTGGGGGCAGGGGCAGGGTCTCACTTTGTTGCCCAGGCTGGATTGTAGTGGCATGATCAAGGCTCACTGCAGCCTCAACTTCTCCTGGGCTCAGGTAATTCTTGCACCGCAGCCTCCTGAGGAGCTGGGACTACAGGCATGCACCTCCAAGCCTGGCTAACGTTTGTATTTTTCGTAGAGATGGGGTCTCACCATGTTACCCAAGGCTAGTCTCAAACTCATGGGCTCAAGTAATCTACCTTCCTTGCTTTTCCAAAGTGCTGGGATTTCAGGTGTGAGCCACCATGTCAGCCATTCATTCTTTTTAAGTTGGTGGATAATATTTCACTATAAAATGTATCCCATTTTATTTGCCCGTTCTGCCACTGATGGACATTGGGTAGTTTTCAATTTTGAGCTCTAATGAATAAGGCTGCTGGAAAAACTCTTCCTGTCTTTTGTCTAACATATGCACTCATTAGTCTTGGAGTGGAATTACCAGATCATAGAGTAGGCATATGTTTTACTTTCATAGAAATTGCCAAATAGTCCTCCAAAGTTATTAAGTCAAATTATGCATCCCTAGTCCAACCCCTAACCTAACTGGAATGTGAGTGTTCCAGCTGTTCTTTTTTGTTTTGTTTTGTTTTTAAAGACAGGGTCTCATTCTGTTGCCCAGGTTGGAGTGCAATGGCCCAATCTCAGCTCACTGCAACCTCCACCTCCTGGTTAAAGCGATTCTCGTGATTCAGCCTCCTGAGTAGCTAAAATTACAGGTGTGCACCACCAGGCCTGGCTAATTTTTGTGTTTTTAGTAGAGACAGGGTTTCACCATGCTGGCCATTCTGGTTTCAAACTCCTGACCTCACGTGATCCGCCCACCTCAGCCTCCTAAAGTGCTGGGATTACAGACGTGAGAAACCATGCCTGGCTATCTTGTTTCCGTTTGTTTGTTTTTAAGAGACACAGTCTTACTCTGTTGCTTAGGCTGGAGTGCAGTGGTGCGATCATAGCTCACTACAGTCTCAAACTCCTGGGTTTAACTGTTCCTCATGCCTCAGCCTTCTGAGTAGCTAAAGCTATAGGCATGGGCCACCATGCCTGGGTAATTTCTTTTAAATTTTTGGAGACATGGGTTTTTACGGTGTTGCCCAGGCTAGTGTTGAACCCCTGGCATCAAGCGATCCTCCCACCTCAGCCTCCCAAAGTGTTGGGATTAGAGGCATGAGCTACGATGCCCGACTCCAGTCTTTTTATTTTTAGTCATTCTAGTGGGAGTGTAGAGGAATCTCTTCGTGGTTTTAACTTACATTTATTTCCCTGGCAGGTAAGGCTGTTGAGCACCTTCTCATGTACCTATTGTCCATTTTAAAAATTGGGGTGGGCCAGGTGCAGTGGCTCACGCCTGTATTTCCAGCACTTTGGGAGGCCCAGGCAGGCTGGATCACCTGAGGTCAGGACATCAAGACCAGCCTGGCCAACATGGATGGCAAATCACCATCCATCTCTGCTAAAAATACAAAAAAAAAAAAAAAATTAGCTGAGTGTGGTGGCATGTGTCTGTAATCTCAGCTACTCTACTTGGGAGGCTGAGGCAGGAGAATCGTTTGAACCTGGGAGGCAGAGGTTGCAGTGAGCTGAGATTACACCACTGCACTCCAGCCTCGGCAACAGAGTAAGACCATGTCTCTTAAAAACAAAACAAAAACTAAAAAAACCAAGATATCCAGGCGTGGTGACTCACACCTGTAATCCCAGTCAGTGCTTTAGGAGGCTGAGGTGGGCAGATCACGTGAAGTCAGGCATCTGAGAGCAGGATGGCTGACCTGGTGAAAGTGAGACTCTGCCTAAAAAAAATTGGGATGTTTATCTTTTTCTTACTGAAATTCTTTATATATTATGAATATGAGTCTTTTAATAAAGTTTTATCTCACTAAAAATTTACACACACACACACACACACACACCAATGATCACTTCAACCAGCTAAAGTCATGTTGATCCTATTAGTGGAATAAAAGTAATTCCTTTTAATTTTAGAAAATGACCCCAGATGAGCAGCCTTCCCTTCAGTTTGGTTGGGTGGGGATGGAGGGTGGTGGTGTGGTTTCCTTGTTTCTTCTTCCCCCAGGATGGGCTGACAGTGACTCCACGTTAGCCTCTCATGGACCAGGGTGGAGATCACCCCATCAGGCTGCTTTCCAGAGCTAGGCTCCCACAGCTCAGCTGCCTGCTTACTGTTTACCATGTTCTCCCATGTGGCAGCTTCCGGCGACTTGCAGATCCTGGGACACCAGTCTCATCCTGAAGGAGCTCACGGTCAAGGAGAAGAGTTAGGTCAACAAGCAAGGTGGTGGGATGTGGAGTGCTGAGTATGAGGGGTCTGCGAGGTCAGGATGCTGCAAGAGAAAGGCTGGAGGCCCCTCACTCTAGGTGGGTCCCAGGGAGCTGATGTTATTTGAGCTGTGGCTTGATGGGCGAGGAGGAGTCTCCAGGCAGAGGGGGCAAGAAGCACTGTTCAGGCAGGGGACTTGCTTTAGGGCTTCCCAGAAAGGGACAGTCTAGTGGCTGGAGAGTAGGGTGCGCTGGGGTATAGGGCAAGAGAATTAGATTAGACCCAGAAATGTCCCCTCACACAAAAGACAGAGTCTTTCCTTCCTCAGCTTCCATGGGGTCCTGGTACCGGGAATCGTGTTTCCTGCAGGTCACAGTGTTCCACCCCATCCTGCCCTCTGGGCCAAGCTTTGCTCAGTGAGTGGTCCTTTGCAGGATGACATTTCTGCTTAGATGAATCCTTTTTTTTTTCAGATGGAGTTTTGCTCTTTTGCCCAGGCTGGAGTGCAGTGGCATGATCTCTGCTCACGGCAACCTTCTGCCTTCTGGTTTCAAGTGATTCTCCTGCCTCAGCCTCCCAAGTAGCTGGGAATACAGGTGCCTGCCACCACACCCAGCAAATTTTTGTATTTTTAGTAGAGATGGGGTTTCACCATGTTGGCTAGGCTTGTCTCAAACTCCTAACCTTGTGATCTGCTCGCCTCAGCCTCCCAAAGTGTTGGGGTTACAGGCGTAAGCCACCGCGCCCAGCCCAGAATCATTATTTTTTAACTGCCAGCCCCCCACAACTAAAGTTATTATTGTCCACAAAATAGAGCATGCCACTTGGCTCTTAGTGCACACTCAGGCAGTGCAGGGTCTAGCCCCGCCCCTTACCTGAGAACACTCCTCTAGGAAAGCATGTTCTTTGGTTCTGCATCATTTTTCTTCTGGAGTTGGGATCTGGTGGGCAGGAAATGAAGAAAGATGGTCTCCCTGGTGCCCAGCTTTCTGGGCAGGAACCCTTGGAGCAAGGGTACCATGAAAGGAGCAGGCCCTTCTCGATGGAGTCTGGGGTCTGCATGGGCTGTAGCCACATCGCAGGTGGGAGAGGCTGTGTGAAGCGCATACCTGAAGGATTTGGCCTGCCAGAGGAAGCTTCTGGCCTTGGTGATCTCCTTGGCCAGTCTCCTTAAATCGTCACCTTCAAATGGTGGCAGCGTAGGATCCTTGAAAAGGGGAAATGAGTGTGAAGTTTGATCCATTAAATAACTGGATGGGAGCTGAAAATCCAAAATCACCTCAGAGCTAATCAAATGTTGGCTTCCACCCAGTAAGGAAATCGTGTGGGCCTCTGCCTGTATATCTCCAGGGATGGGAAGCTCACTACCGATCAAGACAGTCATTCTGCAAAGGGGACACTTTGAAAGAAGGTGTCTGAGAGTCAGTGTAGGGAGGGGATGGTGGCAAAGCATCATGGTGTCAGAAACTGAGTGAAGGTGGCCCCAGTCTGGGCCAGTGAAACAGAAATGGCACAAGTTCCTTATCTCACTGCTATTCAGTAAAGTCTGCTCAGCTTTGTTTTGTTGTAGTAACATTTCTTCTGGTAAAATAGACTCATATGTGTGCTTTATATTTGTTTGATTTAAGAGATAGAGCCTCACCCTGTTGTCCAGGCTGGAGTGCAGTGGTGTGATCATGGCTTACTGTAGCTCCTGGGTTCAAGCTATCCTCTCACTTCAGTCTTCCAAGTAGCCATCCTGGCTACTTGACACAGGCATGTGTCACCACACCTGGCTGAGGCATGCTTTTTAAAAAATGTTGACTAGGCCAGGTGCAGTGGCTCACACCTGTAATCCCAGCACTTTGGGAGGTTGAGGTGGGTGGATCACAAGGTCAGGATTTTGAGACCAGCTTGGCCAACATGATGAAACCCTGTCTCTACTAAAAATAAAAAAATTAGCCAGGCAGGGTGGTGGGTGCCTTTAATCTGAGCTACTCAGGAGGCTGAGGCAGGAGAATTGCTTGAACCTGGGAGGTAGAGGTTGCATTGAGCTGAGACCATGCCATTGCACTCCAGCCTGGGTGACAGAGCGAGACTCTGTCTAAAAAAATGTTAACTAACAAAATTTTAGCACCTAGCCTTAAAAATACGTGTTTAGGGGACACCGCCGGGCGGTGGGGAGAGAAGCGGAGCCCTGGCCCCAAGTAATGTCGTCCTGGAGCCGCCTTGGAGGTCCTCCTCCCCACTAAGTGCCTCTTTGCATAGCACTGGTCCTGCCCCACTCTCTGGACCACTATAGCTAGACGGGCAATGGCAGGTTGGGGAGGCGCAGCATGACCCATTGGGCCAGCCTCTGGGAACAAGATCTGTCAGTTCGAGCTGGTTCTACTGGGGGAGGCTGCTGTGGGCAAATCCAGCCTTGTCCTCCACTTTGTCAAGGGACAGTTTCACGAGTATCAAGAGAGCACAATCGGAGCGGTCTTCCTCATACCGACTGTCTGCCTGGATGACACAACAGTCAAGTTTGAGATTTGGGACACAGCTGGACAGGAGCAGTATCACAGCCTGGCCCCCATGCACTATCGGGGGGCCCAGGCTGCCATCGTGGTCTATGACATCACCAACACAGATACATTTGCACGGGCCAAGAACTGCGTGAAGGAGCTACAGAGGCAGGCCAGCCCCAACATCGTCATTGTACTTGTGGGTAACAAGGCAGACCTGGCCAGCAAGAGAGCCGTGGAATTCCAGGAAGCACAAGCCTATGCAGATGACAATAGTTTGCTGTTTATGGAGACATCAGCAAAGACTGCCATGAACGTGAATGAAATTTTCACGGCAATAGCTAAGAAGCTTCCCAAGAACAAGCCCCAGAATGCAGCTGGTGCTTCAGGCCGACACCGAGGTGTGGACCTCCAGAAGAGCAACCCAGCCAGCCGGAGCCAGTGCTGCAGCAACTGAGCCCCCCTTGCCTGCCCGCTGCCCCCACCTCCTCCGCCTGAACGACCCGACTGGAATCCACTCTAACCAATCGCACTTAATGACTTGGGCCACCACTGGGGGGGCAGGGGGGAAGGGTCCACCATGATTTCTTCATATAATTTTTTTTTTTTTTAAAGATGGGGTTTCACCATCATGGCCATGCTGGTCTTGAATTCCTGACCTCAGGTGATCCACCCACCTTGGCCTCCCAAAGTGCTAGGATTACAGGCGTGAGCCACTGCGCCCGGCTCTTCACATAATTTTGATCAGAGGCTGGAGTGAGGTATTCCACCTGCACCTTTCTGTACAAATACTCATTCAATTTTAAGTCTGAAGTCACTTTTTAAATATATATGATCTTCTGCTCTTCACACTTCCTTCCCTTTCTACTGCTCTCTCACTTTCCCTCACTGGGAGTAGCCACATGCTCCTGTCCCCCCTCACCCTTGTATATGGGGACAGCGGGGTCAGAGCAGCTACACTTTCTTTCCTTCCGGAGGAACAGCGGACCCAGCAAGAGCATCCACATCCTCATCCTGTTCGGAGTGGACTTGGGTTTGGGCGGTGGGGTGGACCTTGGGAAGGGGCTTGGGAAGGGAGTAACAGCTGGCTGTCATCAGGCTGCAGCCCCCACCATGCCCCCGCCTCCCTGCTGGGGAAGCACAGCATTATCACAGCATTACTGTGACAGCCACGAACCCATTGCCCACAGCCCCTCCACCCTCAGTCACCCTGACCTCTGGCTCTGAGCCCTGTTTTGACCAAATCACGATGACAAGTATCTGGGGGTAGGTGGGTAAGGGAGGGAGTGGGAGGGGACGGAACCAACTTTTTCTCTATTTTGTATTGTGTGTTTTCTTCAGCATGTAACCAATCAGTATCTTGTCAATATAGTCAGCTGATCGACCTCAAAAAATAAAAAATAAAAGAATACATGTTAAATAAATCCCAGCACTTTGGTAGGCTGAGGTGGGCGGATCACTTGAAGTTAGGCGTTTGACACCAGCCTGGCCAACATGATGAAACCCTGTCTCTAATAAAAATATAAAAATTAGCACACCTGTAGTTCCAGTTACTCGGGAGGCTAAGGCAGAAGAAACACTTGAACCCGGGAGGTGGAAGTTGCAGTGAGCCGAGATTACGCCACTGCACTCCAGCCTGGGCAACAGAGCAAGACTCCATCTCAGAAAAAAAAAACAAAAAAAAACAAAAGGGTCAGGCCTGGTGGCTTGTGCCTGCAATCCCAGCACTTTGGGAGGCTGAGGTGGGAGGTTCACTTGAGCCCAGGAGTTGGAGAAGGAAACCCCACACCTGTTGATATTTTACTGAGCCGTTTGATATTTTACCTCATGCTCAGTTGCTCTGCAACCTACCTTTTCATCGATGAAGCCTTTGGTCAGCAGGCTGTGAATTTTGGAGAGTGTGTCCTCACCCACAGGGCAGTGATAGCGTCCATTGGTGATGGAAGCCAGCTTTCTCAGGAACTCAACCGCAGCTCTGGAAGGAAGGGACAGAGGGCTGGGGGAGGGTTTCTGACCAGGCAAGTTCCTGTGACTCCCCAGGTCCATGGGGAACTGAAGTCTGAGGGCTTAAGTCAGCCTGGCAATGGGTGGTGGCTTGTGCCATGGAGACCACTGTTAGAACACCAAAGGACACTTTCCCTACCAGCTTATGGATGGTTATGGCAACTGCTGCTGCCTGAGGGAAGAAGAGTCCCCGTGTGAGTGTCGCCATTTAGCCTGGACCTCCCCAAAGCATACAGGCCGCACACTCCAGCCCCCATTTCTTTTTTTGTTGGGACAGTCTTAGTCTGTCACCCCTGCTGGAGTGACATCTCACTCCAGTGATCTTGGCTCACTGCAATCTCTGCCTCCTGGGTTCAGATGATTCCCCTCTCAGCCTCCTGAGTAGCTGAAACCACAGGCACCAGCCACCACACCTGGCTAATTTTTGTGCTTTTTTAGTAGAGACAGGGTTTCACCATGTTGGTCAGCCTGGTCTCGAACTCCTGACCTCAGGTGATCTGCCTGCCTCGGCCTCACAAAGTGCTGGGATTACAGCTGTGTGCCACCGTGCCTGGCCTAGCCCCCATTTCTTTATGGGACATCTATCCAGTGCCAACTATGTGTTAAGCCTGTGAAGGACACACATATTACACTTATGGGGCTTATAGTTTAGACCAAGAGATAAAATATGTCCCTATGTAGTCTGTTTTGCTAATAATAAAGTTTTTTTTTTTTTTAAAGGAGCTGAGTCTGTCTTATCTGACATGTTTTTTTTACATTTTTATTTTATTTTGTAGAGATGGAGCCTTGCTATGATGTCTGGGCTGGTGTTAAACTCCTGGCCTCAAGCGATCCTCTCACCTCAGCCTCCCAAAGCACTGGGATTGCAGGCATGAGACACTGTGCCTAGTCACAGCATATGTTCTATAGTGATCGTTTATAAAAATAACCATGACGATGCTACATGAGTATTTTCCTCTCTAGTTTTTCCCCTAAATGTCCCCTAAATATTCACAAATGTTTTCACAGGGAAGAGTAGGAAGGAGACTGTGACATGACAGCGTGAATCCCATGCAAATGTGTTTCCAGGCTAGAGGACGTTGGAGGAGGGGGCCATTGATGGGAAATTTCTGAGAAAAGGAGTTTTCATTCTGTGGTGTGACATCTGCTTGGGCCCTCAAGAAAAACAATGCTTCTCTTTCTCTCTTTCTTTCCTTTCTCTCTTTCTCCCTTCCTTCCTTCTTTCTTTCTTTCTCTCTCTCTCTTTCTTTTTTGACAGTCTCACTCTGCTGCCCAGGCTGGAGTGCCATGGTGCAACCTCAGCTCACTGTAACCTTTGCCTCCCTGGATCGAGTGATTCTCATGTCTCAGTCTCCTGGGTAGCTGGGATTACAGAGGCACACCATCACATCTGTCTAATTTTGTATTTTTAGTAGAGACCTGGTTTCACCATGTTGGCCAGGCTAGTCTTGAACTCCTGACCTCAAGTGATCCACCTGCCTCAGCCTCCCAAAGTGCTGGGATTACAGGTGTGAGCCACCACGCCTGGCTGCTTCTCCCTTCTCCTAATTTCTGATGAGGGCCCAGGAGAGACCAGTGTCTATTTAGATTAGACACTAGATCAGGTGGGAAGCTTGGATCTCCCTGCTGAGATGTGTGGCCATGGAAAAAGAATAAAGCTCAGTGAGACTCCATATTGCTCACCTGTCTGAGCAGTTCAAGGAAATGGTGTGCACTTTCACATCTCTTTTCTCCCTGAGTCTTTGGACTTCGTTTAGGACAAGGCTGCAGCTCGTGTCTGGCTTTCCATCAGTCAAGAGGTACAATCCTTCCAGATCATGGAAACTGAAAGCCTTCTGAAAGAACACAGGAAGGCTGTCAGCCTCAGGGAAGAGGCTCATGCAGAAGGCGAGAATCAAATGCCTAAAGGTGGTGCCTGCTGTCGCCTCCGCCAAAATGCAGTGATTGGATGCCACTGACTTGTCTAATAAGACTGAGAGACTCTCTTTTAGCCTCAGGCAGACCAAGGAAGCTGCTGAGGTTTAGGAGGAAGAGCATGGCTCCCTGCCTAGCTGGTTAATCCCAAGCAAGTCACTTAACCTCTCTGAACCCCTGTGTCTTCATCTATTTTTTTTTTTTTTTTTTTGAGATGGAGTTTCATTCTTGTTGCTCAGGCTGGAGTGAAATGGCACAATCTAGGCTTACTGTATCCTCCACCTCCCGGGTTCAAGCAGTTCTCCTGCTTCAGCCTCCCAAGTAGCTGGGATTACAGGTGCATGCCACCACGCCCTGCTAATTTTTAATATTTAGTAGAGATGGGGTTTCACCATGTTGGTCAGGCTGGTCTCAAACTCTTGACCTCAGGTGATCCACCTGTCTTGGCCTTCAAAAATTACAGGTGTGAGCCACCACGCCCGGCCTGTGTCTTCATCTATAATGTGAGAATACTGAGAATCCTTTTCTCACTGGGGTATTGGGAAGATAAAATGAAGTAGTGCTTTGTAAATTCTAAGGTGCTCTTTGTAAATCCTAAAGCATCGTGCGATATTAGCGTAGGGGATGATGGTATTTGTTTTGCATCAAGGTCGGGCTCCGTGGTGGGACTTGCCATCAATGCTTGCAAGATGGAGGTGCTGCCCTGAGCTTGCAGGTGGGTCACCCATTGCATAGCCTCATGACACGCTGCATCTGTGGTCTCCATCAGTGTGTCCTGCCACAAATGAAGGCCCTCTGCAAAGCTGAGCAGGTTAAAACTGGGGAGGAGGAAAAGAGGAGGTGAGGGGCAGAGAAGGGGAGAAAGAGATTGGTTAGAACAGGCCTGTCTAGATTGAATTCAGGTAAGTTACTCTTATGAGGACTATTCTCTCCTGTCATTGAAGACCCCTGCAATGAGCCCCATGGCCCCTCAGGGAGAGGGCTATGGGGCCTCTTGAGAATGAGACACTGACAATTTTGATGCAGACAGGAATAGATTTAAATCCCAGCTCAAGCCAGACATGGTTGCTTGTACCTGTAATCCCAGTACTTTGGAAGGCCAAGCTGGGAGGATTGCTTGAGGCCAGGAGTTCAAGACCAGCCTGGGCAACATAGTGAGACCCCTATCTCTACAAAAAAAAATTTTTTTTTAAAAATTAGCCAGGTGTAGTGGTGTGCGCCTATAGTCCAATCTACTTGGGAGGCTGAGGTGGGAGATCACTTGAGCCCAGGAGGCTGAGGCTGCAGTGAGCTATGATCACACCATTGCACTCCAGCCTGGGTGACAGACTGGGAACATGTCTCAAAATAAAAAACTAAACGAAAATTAAAAAACAAACAAACAAACAAACAAATCCTAGCTCAGCAAATGTCTTAACCTCTTGAGGTCCTAGCTTCCTTTTCTGAAAAATGGGGGCTGATAACAGCAACACCTCATGGGCTCATGGTGAAGGTTGATGAAATCATGCATGTAAAGCATTTGGTGCACAGAAAGTCCTCAATAAATGTGTACTTTAAGGCAAGAATAAGGCCTAGTCTAAGACGAGAGTCTCCTGTAGTCCCCTTAGGGTCAACCCTTCTGGATAGGGACAATAAACAGCTTCCTGCACTCAAAAATCAAGTTCACAAACATTTAAAGAATTAAATCTTTAAATAATTTTAAAAAATCAAGTTCAGCTGAAAGTCACACTTCAGGGCCACATGGTAGTTCCTTGCAATTGTCCCTAGGCCTGAAATGAATTTCTAAAGATTTCGTTTCTTTTTTTTAAGACAAAGTCTCACTCTGCTGTCTAGGCAGGAGGGCACTGGTGCCATCATAGCTCACTGCAGCCTCAGTCTCCTGGGCTCAAGTGATCCTCCCTCTTCAGCCTTCCAAGTAGTTGGGACTACAGTTGCATACCACCATACTCAGCTTTTTTTTTTTTTTTTTTTTTTTTGAGATGGAGTCTCCTTCTGTTGCCCAGGCTGGAGTGCAGTGGTGCAATCTCTGCTCACCGCAACCTCTGTCCCCCGGGTCCAAGTGATCCTCCTGCCTCAGCCTCCTGAGTAGCTGGGATTACAGGCACACACCACCACACCCAGCTAATTTTTGTATTTTTAGCAGAGACGGGGTTTCACCATGTTGGTCAGGCTGGCCTCAAACTCCTGACATCATGATCTGCCTGCCTTGGCCTCCCAAAGTGCTGGGCTTACAGATGTGAGCCACCGCACCCAGCCCCAGCTAATTTTTAAATACTTTGTAGAGATGTAGTAATTTTAAATTACTTTGTTGCTGAGGCTGGTCTTGAACTCCTGAGCTCATGTGGTCTTCCTGCCTTGGCCCCCAAAATTGCTGGGATTACAGGTATGAGCCACCATGCCCGTCCTCTAAAAACGGCTTTCCTTCACAGCAGAGCAGAATACAGTGCTATTTCCTACTCAAATACATTATTCAGAAGAGCATCTCAGAAACTCCAGCCCTGTTGGCACTGAGAAGAGGGGGCACGCTTGGCCAGACAAGCCCTGGGAACTGTCCCTTTGATCTTTCTGATCCGCCCTCACCTCCTACCTGTCGCAGCGCTTCCGCAGCTGTTCCCAAATCAGCAGAACCAGCTCTGTCTTAACTTGCTGCAGGTAGGGGCCCATGGACCCTGATGTGTCCAGCAGAATGCATACTCTGTTCTCCAAAACGGTGCCAAACAGTTGGCGGCTCCCTGCTCCAAGACAGGTTGGGGAAGAGGAAGGCAGGGAGTGAGAGGTCCCTCCTCCTGGGTGGTTTCCCTCAATGTATCTATCAACTGTAAATTCTTGTGACACTTGTTGCCTGCCTGATCATTGATTGGATGTCACCCCACTGGGAGATGGCCTTGTGGTGCTGTGGGAGGGATCGATCATCCAAGGGCAGAGCTGGTCAGTGGCTTGAGCTTTGGGAGATGGAGATTTCAGCTCTGGCATTGTCTGTGATGAATTGCACAAGTGGTTATAATCCCCTGAGCTTGAGTTTCCCCATCCTTAAAATTAAGTGATTGGACTAAATAGTATCACAATATCCCTTTGAAACATTAGATAGTGTTGGGTGTGTAGTGGTAGGTGAGCTGGGGGACTCGTACTACAGAAGAAATTGCTGGATCTCTGGTCTTAAGTCACTGTTCCCAGGGGTAATGTAAACTGGGATGGAGAGAGGCTCACACCCTCTCAGTCCCAGCTCAGCCTCTGACCTAACAACTGTACCTGGAGCTTGCAGCTCCCACCAGAGGCTTTGGAAAGCAGCAGTCATCACTCCGCCTCTGCCCATGGACTGCTATACCAGGTCCTCCCACAGAGGACTGGACATAATGAATTTACATAGGACCCTGAGTAGCACACATAAAGTCACCTGTAGGATCTCTATATAGGACTCCCTTCCTCCCTCTCTCCCTCCGCCTATTACCCCCAGAAGTCCTCCAGGCCTCGTAGCCTGAATGCCCTCCTGTCCATTTCTAGCTATTTGCCCAGCTTCTTGGGCTTGATGCTTCCCCTTATGCTCCTCCACCCTTCGTGGCGGTGGGCAGGCTCACCGGACAGCAGCCACTGCAGCCTCTGGACGTAGCATCTTAACACCTTCTCCACGCACCTGATGTACACCTCCATCTCCCTGGGCATCCACTGAATGTGTCTCACCACTCCCTGGGTTAAGGCAAGTGGTGGCAAGCACCATCCCCATCAGTCATTTCTTCATATCCCCATCACCCTCTAAAATTGTTTACTCCACTGTGGTTCTTAAAACATTTGTTGGCTGGGCATAGTGGCTCATGCCTATAATCCCAGTGCTTTGGGAGGTCAAGGCAGGAGGATCACTTGAGCCCAGGAGATCAAGACCAGCCTGGGCAACATAGGGAGACCTTATCTCTACCAAAAAAAAAAAAAAAAAAATTAGCTGGTGTGGTGGAATGTGCCTGTGGTCCCAGCTGCTTGGGGGAGGCTAAGGTGGGAGGATTGTCTGAGCCCAGGGAGGTGGAAGCCACAGTGAGCTGTGATTGCACCACTGCACTCCTGTCTGGGTGACAGAGCAAGATCCTATCTCAGAAAACAAACGGACAAACAAAAACCCACAAAAGAAAACCATCTGTTCAGTATCTATTTTTTGTTTGTTTAAAGCTGTTTTTCTTTTATTAAACTAGTAAGTTTGTGATTCTACAAAGGAGTAGGGAGTTAGGATGGTTTTTTTTTTTTTTGGCAAATGTAGTTGCTATATTAATAAAAACCATAATAATCTCTAATTTTTTTTTTTGAGACAAAGTCTCATTCTGTTGCCCAGGCTGGAGTGCAGTGGTGTGATCTCAGCTCACTGCAGCCTTTGTCTCCTGGGTTCAAGCGATTCTCCTGCCTCAGCCTCCTGAGTAGCTGGGACTACAGGTGCATACCACCACCCCTATATAATTTTTGAATTTATAGTAGAGATAGGGTTTTACTATGTTGGCCAGGGTGGTCTAGAACTCCTGACTTCAGGTGATCTGCCCACCTCGGCCTCCCAAAGTGCTGGAATTATAGGCGTGAGCCACCACACCTAGCCAATAATCTCTAGATATTAAAATAGAAAACCCTTAGCAGTGGGGTAAGAGGTTCATAAATTTTGAACTGAAAGATGACTCTGGGTGGAGAAGGGCAGCATGCTAGAATGACCCTAAGTTCCTCTAGCGAATAATTTTGAATTTTGTGGCTATTTTTAAGTTTCCCCTATTCTTGACAATGTAGGATAATAGGGCAAGGAGAGAAAAGATCAGATTTTCATTCTGTACTAAATTTACTTGTTCCAGTGTCAAAGCAATAAAAAATCACCCCAAAATTAGAAAATAGAGAAGAGAACCCTTCACTTCCTATTATGACTCCTATTTGCTGCCATAACAGAACCATCATCAGTACTGGGGTATAGCGTTCTTATGGGTAAACACTTCAGCCACGACCCAATGTTCTCAGCAATTGCTTTTTTTTCTTATCTTATCTTTTCGTTTTTATCTTGTAAGAGACGGGCTCTTGCTCCATGGCCCCCGCTGGAGTGCAGTGGCATGATCATGGCTCACTGTAGCCTTGAACTCCATGACTCAACTAATCCTCCCACCTCAGCCTCCCAAGTAGCTGGGACTATAGGCATGCAGCTACACCTAGCTAATTTAAAACAATTTTTTTTGTAGAGTCTTGCTATATTGCCCAGACTGGTGTCAAACTCTTCGGCTCAAGCAATCCTCCCACCTCAGCCTCCCAAAGCACTTGGTATCACAGGCATGAGCCACTACGTCCAGCCTCAGCAACTGTTTCTAATTCTCTTTCCAGTGAGCCCATCTAACTCTGGAATGGGATCTTAGGCCCCCTGGGAAGTTGGCTTTTCTTCCAACAGGATTTTATGTCTCCTATTTGGTGAGGGGAATCCCACTTTGGGGAGGGAGGCAGTTCTTACAAGCATAAATAGAGGCCACAGTGCCCTACACTGCTCTCTGCCATTTGCAGCTGAGTTGGGGGAGGGGAAAAAAAGACAATGAAAATTGACTTACATGGATCTCAATGCTGGGGAAGATGCTGCAGTGTCTGGCTGATGATGACCTCTGTCCTGACTTTTGATGAGTGCAGTTGGGACCCATGCATCTGGAAATCTCCAGCTTCAATTTTTTCAGCCCATATTTTGCCACCCACTTTAGAATAAAGAAAATACCTATTACCTTAGGTAATTCAGACTTGACTGAATGACCATCTGACTAGTCTATGAGAATGTCATGTTTGAAACCTGTATGATGTTTGAAATGTGGGGTTCCTAGGTCCTCACTGAGCATCCATCCTGTGTAGATTCCTTCCCTGGCTCTGGGGGAGAGGTGCACAAGAAATATGGCGGTGGGCAGGCTGGGCACGGTGGCTCACGCCTGTAACCCCAGCACTTTGGGAGGCCAAGGTGGGTGGATCACCTGAGGTCAGGAGTTTGAGACCAGCCTGGCCAACATGGTGAAACTCTGTCTCTACTAAATAAAAAAAATTAGCTGGATGTGGTGGTGCATGCCTGTAGTCTCAGGTAGTTGGGAGGCTGAGGCAGGAGAATCATTTGAACCCAGGAGGTGGAGGTTGCAGCAAGCCAAGATAGTGCTACTATACTCCAGCTGGGGCAACAAGAGTGAAACTCTGTCTCAAAAACAAAAAACGAAATACAGAGGGTGAAAAACAAAATCTATTGAGCACCTCCCAAACCCTAGTTTAGTGGACATCATTGCTGTGCCAACATCCATTTAAACCCCACCCATAACATTTGAATGGAAAGCCCTGATTGGTCTAGAGCTCAGACTCTAAACCAATTAGGATAATCTCAGCCTCCTTGTCACAACTAGGGACACAAGAATGGGCAGGCTCAAAGCAGCCAGGGGTGGCAGCCAGGATCAGCACAATCAGAACCAAGCTCAGGCTTTTGTTGAATAGTTGTGGAACAGCCATCCCCTTGTGCACAAGAAGGGGGGTTTCTGTTGATTTCTCTTTAATGAATCTGCACATCAATCTTACTTGACCGGCACAACTGTCCTTATTTTACAAAGGCGGCAAGATTGAGCGTAGCTTGGTGACTTACTCAAGCTTACTTACTTCCAGGTAGGAAGTGGCAGACCTAGACTTTGAATTTAGGTCTATTTAACCCTCATCCCATCTGGCACAGTAAGCAATTGTTCTTAGCAGGTTTGTCCTCTTTTTTTTTTTGGAGACAGAGTCTTTGTCGCCCAGGCTGGAGTGCAGTGGTGCAATCCCGGCTCACTGCAACCTCCACCTCCCAGTTTCAAGCAATTCTCATGCTGTAGCCTCCCGAGTAGCTGGGACTATAGGTGCGTGCCTCTGTGCTTGGCCAATTTTGTATTTTGAGTAGAGATGGGTTTCACCATGTTGGCCAGGTCTCAAACTCCTGACCTCAAGTGATCCACCTATCTCAGCCTCCCAAAGTGCTGGGATTAGAGGCATGTGCCACCATGCCCACCTGTCCTCATTTCTGAGAATGCCCACCCTGCTAGAAGTAACGGTTGGATGAAGGAATTGCTCTATCACTTAGTGGGCATGTGCTGGTAGAGGTGACTTAATACCTCTTGGCTTGAGCAAACTGTATCCTTTCTGGGTAAGTCCATAGAAGAGCTAGTTCTTCTCACACCCCTTCCTTGAGGGTACTTCTTGTACACCGAGCCTATGAGAAGCAGAGTAAGGTCATTGCTCTAGTTTGGATGCTTGATTCCTTGAAAAGAGTCCTTAGGTTGAAATTTGATCCCCGATGTTGGAGATAGGGCTGAATGAGATAGGGCTGGTGAGAGGGTGGGGAGCGAGTGAGTTCTCCCTCTATTAGTTGCAACAAGGGCTGGCTGTTAAATGAAAGGCTGGCACCTCCCCATTCTCTTCCTTCCTCATTCTCCAAGTGATCTCTGCACATGCCAGCTTCCCAACGCCTTCTGCCGTGGTTGGAAGCAGCCTGAGGCTCTCACCAGATGCCCAAACTTCCAGCCAGCAGAACCCTGAGCCAAATAAACCTCTTTTCTTTATAAACTACCAAGCCTTGGGTATGCCTTTATAGCAGCCCAAATGAACAAAGTCACCCTGTGCACTTCTCTTCCCTCTCCCTGAATCTCCCACTGCTCCCTTTTTCATGCCAATTTCTCTGCCAATCAAGTCAGTTGTAAAAGTCCTTAGTGCAATTTGCTGAGTGGTAGAAAGGGAGGCTGCTGGGTGGATGGGGAAAGGCAGCATGGGACCTCCCACCTAGCAGTAAATTGTTCTTGGGATCTGCACCATTTCACAGCAGTCAATCAGACTGGCCCAAGTGAATCATCTCCATCCCTTCCCATTTGCCCATCTGAGAATTGTAGCTCAGTTTTTGAGCTACAGAAACTGCCCCTTAGTGGACAGAGCTGGAGTGCCCAAGGGTCACAGGAGGTCTCATCTTCAATCTTGACTTTCCTCATTCCCTGCTTGTTGTAAGACTTTGCATGTCCATTTCCCGGGGCTGGGAGAACTGAGTTGTTTGAGGGCAGGCTTGCTCCAGAGGCTGCCCTTACAGTACCTGCTGTCCTTACAGCTCCCCCAGGACCAGGGGGCTGTCTAGACACCTGCGTAGCCTCCAACTTACCCACGTTATTCCCTGTCTCTGTGTAGAACAGTGAAAGAGATGTCTCCGCTTCCCTTGACCTGGTTTTCCTCCTCCGTTCCATCATCCCTTCTTTCACTGGCTGGGCTGCAGCTGAGGAACATTTGGCTTCTTGGCTGGAGCAGCTGTGTGCATTCTTGTGATACAGCTGTCCAGCCTGGCTCAGAGACATTCAAATTCAGCTATACTCCAGCCCAGGAAATGGGGCTCCAAGATGGCTTCAAGTCACCTCATGTCCCCACCCTAGGCATCTGGCTTTGCTTGGATCAGAAATAGCTATAGCTACCATTTACCAAGTCCAGATCTTTCTCTGGCATTGTGCTAAGTGCTTTGAGTATGCTGTCTCGATTCATCCTCATGGTCCCCCAGTTTACAGATGAGGTAAATGGGACTCCATTAGTAAGAACCAGGACAATGATTCTTCCTGGTCCTGCTGACTCCAGAACTCTGCTCTGAGCCACTCTGCCGTATTTTTGACATTAGAAATAAGATACACGGTCTTAGGTTCTATGAGCTGAGTACTTACATAAAGATTGTGAAGGCCTGTTACCGCTAGAAGCACATGATCCTTAGCCTCCAGAGCCTGAGTTCCTTTGTCAGTACAATAGGAAGTGGTGGAGTACAGAGTATTGATTGTTATAAGCTTTAAAGGGGAGAATCTTAGCAGATGGGCTGGCACGTGATCAAGACTCAGGTCACTGATCATTTTAGTTACTATCATTATTGCTATTATGATTATTTTAAGAGATGTGGTGGGCATGGTGGCTCACACCTGTAATCTCAGCACTTTGGGAGGCCGAGGTGGGTGGATTGCCTGAGCTCAGGAGTTGGAGACCAGCCTGGGCAACATGGCGAAACCCTGTCTCTACTAATAATACAAACAATTAGCCAGGCACGGTGGCATGCACATGTAGTCCCAGCTGCTCAGGAGGTGGAGGCATAAGAATTGCTTGAACCCAGGAAGGAGAGGTTGAAGTGAGCTGAGATCATGCCACTGTACTCCAGCCTGGGCGACAGAGTGAGGCTCTGCCTCCAAAGAAAAAAAAGAGACAGGGTCTTGGTCTTGTTCTGTCACTGAGGTTGGTGCAATTATAGCTCACTGTAGCCTCAGACTTCTGGGCTCAAGCAATCCTCCCACCTTAGCCTCCTGAATAGCTGGGGGACTACAGGCATGCACCACCACGTCTGGGTTTTTCTTTTTTTTTTTTTTGGTAGCGGTGGGGTCTTGCTATGTTGTCAAGGCTTGTCTTGAATTCCTGGCGTCAAATGATCCTTCCACTTCAGCCTCCAAAAATGCTGGGATTACAGGCACGAGCTTCCACACCTGGCTCCAGTTACTATCATTATTAACACATGCCTCAGTCATGATTGTGATCATGCCTTACCTGGTGAGATGCCAGCTCTGCTGCTGAGTGGACGCCATTTCGGAGATTTCAAGGGGAGGCTCTTCTCTCTGTCAGGGTCATCTTTAACGCTCTAGAAAACAGGCGGTCTTTCCCATCAGAGGAGTGTTTCCTGAGGCAGGCAGGACCCCAGTTACCCTGACTTCAGTCTGTCAATCAGGAGCTTTTATAGGGAGGAGCCAAAGGGAGAGGACTCCTCAGTCAGGTTTGGTGCCTTTCCTATAGCAGATTCAGAGGGGTCTCTGGGTTTTGAGGTGAAAAAGTGTGGGTGTGTGCATGTGTGTATATGTGTCACACACACAGACACACACACACACAGACACACACAAACACACACAGCAGGAGGTGTGCCTGTATGTGTGCATGTGCTTCTAGTATGTATGCGTGTGCACATGTGTGTGTGATAAGAGTGAGAAAGCTGCTAGTGAGAGAGCTCTGGGGGGTTTGCCAGAACTTTCTTCATCAGTTACCTGCCCGTCTTCCTAAAAGATTGGGATGTCTGGGCCTCCAGCATGACAACAGAAATTTAGGTAACTTCTGTGCCTTATCAGGCACCTCAGTTTTAAAAGAAGAGCTTCTTCATTCCCAGCCACAACTGGAGTGTGGTGGTCATTAAACAGTCACTCTCTGGGAAGCACCCACCCTGGTTTCAGGGGGCATTCAGGAAGCACTAAAGGCTCAAGAGGCAGCCCCTGAGGAGGTGGTGAAGTGCCTGAGCTGGCTCCTGAAGCCAGGTGGAGTTCCCTGAATGAGGGCACAGCCTGCTTGCACAGGCTCTCCCAGAAAGGCAGCCCTTTGGCTGGGAACTAGCTACTTACTCTCTGGGATGGATTTCCACATTCTGAACATGGGCTGTGCTCACTGGGTCTGAGTCATACAATGCTGAGGGACTCATAGCTGTCCCTCCCTGTCTGCTCACAAGCACAGGTGCCTCTGGGGTCTTTCTGTTAGAGCCCCTTCTGACTGCCAAGGTGGATCGGTATTTTATGGAGGACAGAATTGACAGGCTGTGAATGGGGATAAACCCCTAGTAGGCGCAGCTCACCCTTAGGCTCCTATCAGGCCCCTGCAAAGTCTTGGGTGGCAGCAAGAATAGCCCTTAGAGACCCTGATTCCTTTGCCCCTGAGAGACTCTCCAGGATAAGCCATCAGATGAAACAGGTGGGTGTCAATTCTGTGGCAACCTCAGTAGCAGGGTAGGGAGAAGCCTGGGATAGGCTGGCAGAGCCAAGGGTGGGATGGGGGAGGCCAGAGGAGCCCCAGAGCTGAGGAGCAGGCCCCCTGGGGGAGATTTTCCCCCTGGAGGCCTGGGCAAGAGACACCCACCCCTATCCCTGCTGTCCCCAGCCATTTTAAGACCCAGGAAAGATCAGAAGACAAACAGGAAACCAAATCCTCCGATTGTTATTAGGGAGGGGAGTCAAACCATTCTGGACCCCAAGGGAGTGGTGGGCCTGGGAAGGCCGAACTTCTTGGGCTGACTTCTTTGCTGAAGCGTCTTTGGTTTTTCTTTTGGGAGGGCTGCACTTCCCAGTTCTTTTCCTGAATGGTTCTTCAGGGAGGCCATGAGGAAGGCACACTGCGGTGGGATCAGGAGGGTCAGTGGCACCCCCAGCCACTGTGGACACACACACACAAACACACACAGCAGGAGGGACTGCATCCACTGGAACCTCTGACATCCCCTGGACTCCTCTTTTTGTCTCTAGAAAGTAACCTGGGGCTGAGAGGGCTGAGGACCAATCCTATGAACAACAGTAAGGGCCAGGTATGGGGGTCTGCGATGCACAGGTCCTGGGCTAGTGAAAGCCTGAGGGTCTCCAACCCTCATGCCGACAAGTTATGTCAGCTACGCTGGTAGGACAGGTGCTGTCATCTCCCATTTTGCAGATGAGGAAACTAAAGCTCGGAAGCTGCCATCACAGAGTTAACAAGAATTCTGGACAAAAAATATAGTTACCACGAAGCACTGATCAGACTGCACATAGCCCCGCTTCTTTGTAACTGAAAGTCACATGGCACCAGATCCTGACTGTTCGCATCCCTGTTGTTCCTCTAGGTAGAATTTCTGACGTCAGAACCACAAGACTTTTGTTTAAGAATGGCCTAAGATGTTTTTCAGGCCCAAATTCCAGCAACGCATCTGATGCCAACCAGTTTGAAGACCCCCAGAGGAACAGGAACAGCATGAGAACACAGCTTCTTCATCTCCCCAACCTATGACTTCAGCCTGCACCCAACTAGTCAGTGATATTCACTCCAAAACCCTTAAAAACCCTAACGCCAAGTTCCTTGGGGAGATGGATTTGAGGTTCCCTCTCATCTCTTCCTTTGGCAGCTCTATGATTAAACTTCTTTCTCTGCTGCAACCCAGTGTCAGTGTATCGACTTGCCACGCATATCTGGCAACAGATCTATTACGGTCACAGCTCTGTGAGCTTAAGGTTCTCATCTAAGGCCACCTTACCAGTGTGTAGAGAAACTTCAATTCAAACCAGGTGGGTCTGGTTCCAAGGCCAGCACCCTGCCATTGTGAGACACTGTGGCCTCCACTCCAAATTCCAGCAACGCAGCTGATGCCAACCAGTTTGAAGACCCCCAGAGGAACAGGAACAGCATGAGAACACAGCTTCTTCATCTCCCCAACCTATGACTTCAGCCTGCACCCAACTAGTCAGCGATATTCACTCCAAAACCAATGTGGGCCGGTCAGCTCACCACCGGTCAGCTCACCACATGCCATGGCTGATTCCAGATGCTGGCAGACTCATGGTGTAAGACTCAATGCCTTTTGCTCACCATTTCCCCAGCAAGTATTCTCAATCAAAGCTCCAGAAGACACCATTCAAAGGTAAATAAGGACCTTCTGGAAAGGTGGATTAAGCTGTCATTGCCCATTAACACTATATGAATGAATGAGTTTATCAGATGAGGGAATGGAACTATGTGCACCTGAGGAGAAGGGATATTTATTCATTTATCTGAGTCTTGCGCTGTTGCCACACTGGAGTGCAGTGGTGCGATCCTGGCTCACTGCAATCTCCACCTCCTGGGTTCAAGTGATTCTCCTGCCTCAGCCTCCCATGTAGCTGGGATTACAGGCACATGCCACCACACCCAGCTAATTTATTTATTTATTTTTTTAGTAGAGACAGGGTTCAGGGTTACACCATGTTGGCCAGGATGTCCTCTCCTGGCCACATACGCATGGCAAGTCTCAATCTCCTGATCTCAGGATCCACCCACTTCGGCCACCCAAAGTGCTGGGATTACAGATGTGAGCCACTGTGCCCTGCCTGGAAGGGATATTTCAAAAGCACCCAAAGGGCCCCTTTCAGGGAAGATGGTACAGGCATGCAGGTGGAGCCACACATCTGTAGATCCAGTGGCCACAGAGGAATAGAAGGTGGAGACATGGCCCTGCCCTCCCAGGAGTCCACAAATCCAGTCTGGGAGGTGAGTCGTTCTGCAAGTGGTGGAGTCCTCTTGAAGGAGTCCCCTTCACAGACTCCTCCACTCTACTGCCTTGACCACGGCCTTGCTACGCACCCTCTGTCCATCACTGTGGCTTGAACTGTCCCAAATCTCCATCTCCAGCCATGTCTTTTCTCACCTGCCTGTTGGGTACCCTCATTTGTTATCTCGAAGGCTGCGCTAACTCACCCTGTCCCAGACCCGCCTTCCCTGTACCTCTCCATCCTTCCATGGGTTCTTTCTCCTGTCTTCCCTATCTTGGTCAATGGTATCATTATCTCCTGCATGCCCCAGTGAGGAGCATGGGGCTCACTCTCTCACACTGCATGTTCAATCACTTGCAAGTCTGGGGAATTCTTCCTTAGATAGTAATTGCTCTTCACGTTTTCTGGCACCTAGCTACCTCTCTCATTGTATCTTGTCCTGCTCAACTCCCCTCTCTGTGGAAGTAACATTTTACTGGTCTAAACTAATAGGCTAGGTGCGGTGGCTCCTGCCTGTAATCTCAGCACTTTGGGAGGCTGAGGCAGGTGGATCACCTGAGGTCAGGAGTTGGAGACCAGCCTGACCAACATGGTGAAACCCTGTCTCTGCTAAAAAAAAAAAAAAACCCACAAAAATTAGCAGGGTGTGGTGGTGGACACCTGCAATTCCAGCTGCTTGGGAGGCTGAGACAGGAGAATTGCTTGAACTCGGGAGGTGGAGGTTGCAGTGAGCCAAGATTGCACCACTGCACTCTAGCGTGGGTGACAGAGTGAGACTTCATCTCAAACAAACAAACAAAAGAAACCCCAAAAAACCAAAAACCAAAAACAACAGAAAACCCTAACTAATAACAAAGAGCAAGCCATGGAAGGTCTGGGATGCAAAGGACAGAGGAAACAGCAGGTGCAAAGGCCCTGAGCTTAGGAATGAGTTTAGCAATGAGCTTCATGTGTTCAAGGAACCAAAGGAGGCCAGGATGTGCAGCATACACACCTAAAACCAATGGCTTCTAGGAGACACTTGTTTCATCTGCAGCCTTGGGTCTCAGTGGACTAGGACATGAAGGGGGAAGCTGACGTGGGATGAGGTGTGTCCCCCAAAAGGACATGTTGAAGTCTGAACCCCCAGGACCTGTGCATGTGGCCTTACATAGAAATAGGGTCTTTGCAGATGTAATAAAGATATAAATTAGGGTGAGGTCATATTGGGGTAGGGTGGGCCCCTGATCTGTTCCGATTGTTGCCCATGTAAAAGGAAAAGGGACACAGCTGGAGGGAAAAGAGCCATGTGAAGACAGAGGCAGGGACTGGAGCTGTGCTCGTCAAGCCAAGGCATGCCAGAGATTGCTGGTGACAAGGACTCCCTCCCTGACCAGACTTTAGCCAGACTCCTCTAAACCATCTTCTCAATGAGGCCTTGACCTTGGCCTGCTGAACTCAGTTTTGGCAAAGAATTCTGCTAAGTCAGTCTAGTGAGACCTGTCCCATCCTCGATAGCCAATCAAGTTCTTCATCTCCCATCTGAGATATCTTTTTTTTTTTTTTTTTTTTTTGAGATGGAGTCTCGCTTTATCACCAGGCTGGAGGGCAGTGGCTCGAGCTCGGTTCATTGCAACCTCTTTCTCATGGATTCAAGTGATTCTCCTGCCTCAGCCTCCTGAGTAGCTGGGACTACAGGTGCGTGCCACCACGCCCAGCTAATTTTTGTATTTTTAGTAGAGACGAGGTGTCACTGGGTTGGCCAGGATGGTCTCGATCTCTTGACCTCGTGATCTGCCCGCCTCGATCTCCCAAAGTGCTGGGATTACAGGCATGAGCCACCACTCCCAGTCAGTATCTTTTTTAAACATTCTTTAATACAGATGGGGTTTTGCCGTGCTGCCCAGGCTGGTCTCAAATTCCTGGGCTCCAGCAATCAGCCAGCTTCAGCCTCCCAAAGTGTTGGGATTACAGGTGTGAGCCGCTGTGCCCAGCTCTATTTTTGATGCCTAAGCCCTTGGTCTGCCTTTAGCAAGGGCCCTGTTTAGTAAGAATCCTTTTACCTATTATATCTCTCCTGTTCTCTTAGTAATTTTTCATCCAGCAACTCCGCTCATTGGCTATAAATCTCCAGCTATCTTTGCTATTACTTGGAGTTGAGTTCAGTCTCTCTCCCCTATTGCAATAGTCTTAAGAAAAGTCTTCCTTGCCATTTTAAGAGAACAACCAGTGCGGTTAAAACAATAACAACAACCACCACCAAACACCAATTGCTACCAGCAGCCAGAAAGGGGCAAGGAAAGATTCTACCCAGAGGCTTCAGAGGGAGCACGGCCCGGCTGACACCTTGAATTCGGACTTCTAGCCTCTGGAAGTGAAAGAATCAGTGGTTGCTGTTTTAAACTGTCCAGTTTGTGGCAGTTCTAGTAGCCCTAGGAAATGAATACAGAAGGCACTGCAGTCATTGGCCCTCACCCAGGGAATACCTTTTGGGAGTAGTTGAGAGCCTTTTCCATCTCAGACATGATGGAGTTGATGTCATCACTCTCATAAATGCCTGGAAACAAAGCACATCGTGAGCATGGGAGACAGGGTGTGGATCCTGGCAAGTGTCCCCATCATCTGGATATTAGAAAGCCACCTGGAGGTGACTCGAGGGCTGGGCGTGGTAGCTCACTCTTGTAATCCCAGTACTTTGGGAGGCTGAGGAGGGAGGATTGCTTGAGGTTGGGAGTTCAAGACCAGCCTGGGCAACATAGTGAGACCCCTTTTCTATCAAAAAATTTTAAAAATTAGTCGGGTGTGGTGGTGGACACATGTAGTCCCAGCTACTCAGGAGGCTGGGGTGGGAGAATTATTTGAGTTCAGGAGGTTGAGGCAGCAGTGAACTATGACAGCACCATTGCACTCCAGCCTGGGTGACAGAGGGAGACCCTGTCTCTAAGAAAAAAATGTTGTTTTGTGTACCATGTACAACTACCTTGCCAACCATGTACCATGAACATACCACCCTTCAAAAAACAATCTAAGGGATGTTTAGGGTGCCTTCTAACTGACATTCTATGACATTCTAAAATATATATGTTTTTAATTTTTAATTTTTTCTGTAGAGGTGGAGTCTTGCTATGTTGCCCAGGATGGTCTCGAACTGTCCTCAAGCAATCTGCTTGCCTCGACTTTCCAAAGTGCTGAGATTATAGGTGTGAGCCACCATCTGACCCATAATATACTGTTAGAGTTTTACTCTTTTTTTTTTGAGACAGAGTCTTGCTCTGTCACCCAGGCTGGAGTGTAGTGGCATGATCTCTGCTCATTGCAACCCCCACTTCCTGGGTTCAAGTGATTCTCCTGCCTCAGCCTCCCAAGTAGCTGGGACTACAGGTGTGCGCCACCACGCCTGGCCAATTTTTTGTATTTTTAATAGAGATGGGGTTTCACGGTGTTGGCCAGGCTGGTCTCAAACTTCTGACCTCAAGTGATCCAGTCGCCTCGGCCTTCCAAAGTGCTTGCTGGTGTGAGCTACTGCACCCAATCTACTTTTTTTAACTTAAAAAAATTGCAGTAAAATATATATACATGACATAAAACTTACGATTTCAATCATTTAAAAGTGTACAGTTCGGTGGCATTAAGTGCATTCACTTTGTTATGCAACCATCACTGTTATCTATCTTCAGAAGAGCAGTTTTACATTTTAAGATGTGATTTTTACAAGCTGCTTTTCTGGAATACATCTGTGGTCTAAGGGAGCTATGCTGGTGCTGAGACAACTATTTGGAATGAGCTGAAGGGACTAGGAAACACTCATGTACCTGTGTCTCCAAACCAGTGGAAGCGGCCACCTGCAGCCCGGGTGACCTCCCGGTAGGCAGCAGCTGTGTCGGTGCGGCTGGCATAGCAGGCAGGGGGCGTGGTGTCCATCTTTGGCTCACCCACGTAGAAGAGACACACATTCAGCTGGAGGTCACAGCCGCCACAGGCCTCGGCCATGTAGGCGCTGAGTGTAGGCTGGTGGGGAAGAGAAGGCAGGAGGGGCTCACGGCTGAGGGTCTTGAAGCTGTGGGGCTCTGGACAGCCCAGCCTGGTCATGTTTCTCCAGGGCCTTCTCTGTGCCTGGTCTAGTCCTTGGCATGAGGATGGAAAGAGATGAGCCTGGGTTGCAGTTTCTCAATATTTTAACAGAGTGTGGCCGGGGAGCTGGACCTGAGAGCCTCCTGACACCAGGTGTGGTCTAGATCAGTAGCATCTGCTAGAAATGCAGACTCCCAGGCCCCACCCCAGACCTACTGAACCAGGATCTGCACTTTGTATGTATATATGTATGTATATTTATTTTAAAGAGACAGGGTCTCACTCTGTTGCCCAGGCTGGAGTGCAGGGACATGATCATAGCTCGCTGCAGCTTTGACCTGGGCTCAAGTGATCCGTCTGCCTCAGTCTCCTAAGTAGCTGTGACTACAGGCACATAACACCACACCTGGTTAATTTTTAAATTTATTTTTTTAGGACAGAGTTTCACGCTTGTCACCCAGGCTGGAGTGCAATGGCGTGATCTCAGCTCACTGCAACCTCTACCTCCCAGATTCAAGCGATTTTCCTGCCTTAGCCTCCTGAGTAGCTGGGATTACAGGCATGCACCACCACACCCAGCTAATTATTTTCAGTAGAGACAAGGTTTCTCCATGTTGGTCAGGCTGGTCTCAAATCCTGACCTCAGGTGATCTGCCTACCATGGCCTCCCAAAGTGCTGGCATTACAGGCATGAATTCACCAAGCGTGGCCACACCTGGTTACTTTTTTAAATTTTATTTTTGTAGAGACAGGGTCTTGCTATCATGTCCAGGCTGGTCTTGAGCTCCTAGCTCAAGTGATCCTCCCTCCTCAGCCTCCTGAGTAGCTGGGACTATAGGCATGTGCCATCATGGCAAGTTATTTTTTAAAATATCTGTAGAAATGGGGTCTCACAATGTTGCCCAGGCTGGTCTCCAGGGTCTGCAGTTTAATAACATCCTTAGGTGCTTGTCTGTACATTAAAGTTTGAGAAGCACTGGTTTAGAGATCATGCTATAGAAACCTTGGTGAGGTATCCACCTCGGGGAAGATGAATGAGGCTGCAAAGGATAATGGACATCCAGGACGTGGCCTATACCCACCATATCCTGGTCGGGGATGCCCCCGGTGAAGAGGTAGATTCCCTGCGATTGGTGTTTATCTTTGTCCTTGAAGTCCACTTCCACAGCCTTCCGCAGGGCACTGAGAACGTTCCTGCTGCCCTGACACCGCAGGTTCAGGACCCACCTGGGGAGGCAGGAACGGCCATGCTGAGGGCATTGGCCCATGCCCAGGGCATATCTTTTGGGAATAGTTAAGAACCTGTTCCACCTAAGACATGATGCAGTTGATGTCATCACTCCCATAAGGTGAAGACACCCAGGTGGGGAGAGCAGCAGACAGAGGCAGCTGTTTTTTGATTTCTGCCCATGGGTGTCTGGGGTTCAGGAACTCTAGAGAACTACTTCCTGATGGAGAGGGGGACAGAGAAAACAACGCCTGCAAGCCTTCCCTCAGACACAGCCCCACAAAATCGGCCCATCACCTACCGCCAGGCACTCTGTAAATTGTCGTGGCTCATGGGAACCATCTCAGGCCTCCAGCTTTCAATTGTGCTTCCAAACCTTTAAGAAGCAAAGAGAGTTTGTTCTTAGGCTGGGGGGAGGTTCACTTGGCGGCCCAGCTCTTTGGACTTTGCAGGCTTTTGGAGGAACAACATTCTGATGAGATCCCCTACAACATGAGGATGTCACTGGCCTGGGCCAGCCATGTGATTTCCTTGAGGGTCATATGGTCTCAACATACTTGAGCCAAGACACAGCGTGAGCCAGCTTTGATCAGCTTCCTTTCTGAAGTGTTGAGCTACAACATGTGACCCCCTCTTTAACCTCCCCTAGCATGGCCCCTGTTACCCCACATTTCCCCTCTTGATCCATACTATAGTTTTTGCTTTTGTTTTTAAATGCACATCTATGTGATCAACAGGATTTGGTAAAGAAAAAATATATACACATCTAGCCTGGGCAGTATAGCAAGACCCTATTTCTACAAATAAAATATTAGCTGGGTGTGGTGGCACATACCTGTCGACCTCGCTACTTAGGAGGCTGAGGGGGGAGGATCACTTGAGTCCAGGAGGCTGAGGCTGTAGTGAGTTATGATTGTGCCACTGCACTCCAGCCTGGGCAACAGAGTGAGACCCTGTCTCAAAAAACAACCTCCAAATCCAGAAAACCTACATTGTTTCATTTGTCTTATAAGACAGAATTGAAGTTCCTTTTTTGTTTTGAGATGGAGTCTCGCCGTCACCCAAGCTGGAGTGCAATCTCAGCTCACTGCAACATCCACCTCCCAGGTTAGAGTGATTCTCCTGCCTCAGTCTCCTGAGTAGCTGGGATTACAGGCATATGCCACCAGGCCTGGCTAATTTTTTTAGTATCTTCATTAGAGACTGGGTTTCACCATGTTGGCCAGGCTAGTCTCGAACTCCTGACCTCATGATCCGCCAACCTCAGCCTCCCAAAGTGCTAGGATTACAGTCATGAGCCACTGTGCCCAGCCTGAAGATCCTTGAGAAGAGGATTTATACCCTTTATGGAGGAAAAGCTGTCCCTTCTCTAGGGGGGACTTTTAAGATTAATTCCTCCCCCTGAGCTTTGATCTCATCATCACCCATCTCTTCTGAGACTTTGTCCCACAATTGCCTCCTCACATCCACACATTCCCAACTCTCCCCCAGGGCCTCTCTAGCTGTTTCAGACTCTCTATACTTAACAAGAACATCCTCCTTCCACTGGGCAGCTGCTGTATGAGCAACTTTGCTCTTTCCTCTTTCCCCTTATGGACAAGCTCCCTGGAAACAATATACCACCACTTCCTCACCTCCTCAACCCATTGCAGTCAAACTTCTGCCCTGATGAGGGTTCCCTGGTAGAGATGAACAATGTCCTCCAGTCCCCTGCCAGTGGAAATATATTCCTATTATCACTGATTAATAAGTCCAGTTTCAAGTAATTCTTATGCCTTAGCCACAGAGTAGCTGGGATTACAGGCCTGCACCACTGAGACCGGCTTAGTTTTGTATTTTTAGTAGAGTTGAGTTTCACCATGTCATCCAGACTGGTCTCGAACTCCTGGCCTCAAGTGATCGACCTGCCTCGGCTTCTCAAAGTGCTGGGATTACAGGCATGAGCCACCGTGCCCAGCCTTCAGGTATTCCTTTATAGCAGTGCAGGAATGGACTAACATAGCATCCCAACACCTTTCTCTCTTGTTTTCCTCCCACCACTCTGGCTTCTCTTTTCTTGTGTTCTTTTGGTGGTTCTCTTATTCTGCCCACCCTTCAAATGCTGGTGTCTCCCAAGTGCTGCCTTTGATTGCCTTTTGTCTCCTCTTCATATCTCCACAGGTGCGATTCCTGCACTACCATTTATTCCATTCATAAAATGCTGATGGCTCCAAATCCCTTATTTCTCGGCGAGGTGCTCCTCTTCTTTTTAATGATCTCTAAACTCTTGACTGTCTCTGACTCTGCATGTTTAAAACCATCTTTCCCTTCAGAAATCTTCTCTTCTTGGGACATCATCTTCTCTTCACCATTGTTTCACCCCCTACAGCCAGTGACGACATTCTGTAGATTCTAACTCCCCAAAATCTCTTCCACACGCCTTTTTCTTGTTTAAGTTTTACTTTGGGATCAGGGGTACATGTGCAGGCTTGTTACACAGGTAAACTCCTGTCATGGGGGTTTGTTATACAGATTATTTCACCACCCAGGTATGAAGCCTGGTACCCATCAGTCATTTTTCTTGATCTTCTCCTTCTTACCTCCCACCCTCCCATAGACCCCAGTGTTGTTCTCTGTTATGTGTCCACATGTGTTCTCATCATTTAGCTCCCACTTATAAATGAGAACATGCTGTATTTGGTTTTCTATTCCTGTGTAAGTTTGGTAAGGATTATGGCCTCCAGCTCCATCCATGTTCCTGCAAAGGACATGATCTCATTCTTTTTCATGGCTGCGTAGTATTCTGTGGTGTATGCATACCACATTTTCTTTATTCAGTTTATCACTTGTGGGCATTGACATGGATTCCATGTCTTTACTATTGTGAATAGTGCTGCAAGGCACATATACATGCATTTGTCTTTATGATAGAATGATTTATATTCCTTTCGGTACGTACTTGGGGATGGGATTGCTAGTTTGAATGACAGTTCCGTTTTTAGGTCTCTGAGGAATCATCACACTGTTTTCCACAATGGCTGAAGTAATTCATACTCTCACCACCAGCGTGTAACTGTTCCTTTTTCTCTGCAGCATTGCCAGCACCTGTTGTTTTTTGACTTTAGTAATAGCCATTCTGACTGGCCATGCACTCTTCCATTTTCATTGCCTTGGCTCAGCCCACGCAGCATGAGAGCAGGCTATTGCAAGAGTCCAGCTGGTCTCCTCCCTCCAGTATTACATCCCTTCAGCTCCTCCTTCACAGCATTGCTTGAGCATTTGAAGACGCAAACCCAATCGTAGCAGTACCTTGCTTGCAATCTTCCAGTGCCTTTATGTCCTATAGCACAGGAAACTCCTGAGCATGGCCTCTATCAATCCTCCATCACATAGTATTTCTGGCATGCACAGTCTCTCCCTCTTATCCCCATATCCATGTGGAACTACCGGATAGTCCCTAAAGTTCTAACATACCTCACACCCCTGGCTCATGCTGTTGCCTCTACCTGGAACACCCTTTCTCTCCAGTACCTCATCATTCCCGGGTGCTAGGCAAACACCTACTCATTCATCAAGACTCCGTGAAAGGAGCACTTGCTCCATGAAGACTTCCTGAGCCTACTCTACCCAGGTGGAATGGACTGATCCTGACACTGACACCTTGCAGTCCCTTACCTTGCTCTCTGTTCATTTCTACAGAAATCACCTAATAGCACGTCTTAACATGCCGGTCTCCCACTATTAGGCTGTGAGTTCCTTGAGGATGGGTATTGTGTGTCTTCATGCCCATCTCCCCAGTGCCCGGCACAGGGACTGGTTCATGGCAGACTGTCGATGGACATTGCTGAATGAATGAATGGGTAGATAAATAAACAAAATTCCTCATCTATAATGTTACCATAAACGTTTCTCTGTAGAGTGTATTAGGGAATGGTTGGGCTGTGGCACAGAATAATATCTAATATTAACTGTTGACTTAATAGGTGTAGAAAATGCCCTATTTGGTGTGAGATTGTGTATAAAAGTCAACCCTTAAGTGGGTTCCTTTTCTCTCTATCTTCCCTTATTAGTTTGCAATTTAAAAAACTATATATACAGTCTTTATGGCTGGACGCAGTGGCTCATGCCTATGATCCCAGCACTTTGGGAGGCCAAGGCAGTTGGATTACTTGAGGTTAGGAGTTTGAGACCAGCCTGGCCAACATGGCGAAACCCCATCTTTACTAGAAATACAAAGATTAGCTGGGTATGGTGGTGTGTGTCTGTAGTCCCAGCTACTTGGGAGACTGAGGCAGGAGAATTGCTTGAACCCAGAAGATGGAGGCTGCAGTGAGCTGAGATCATGCCACTGCACTGTAGTCTGGGCAGCAACAGAGTGAGACTCTGTCTCAAAACAAACAAACAAAAAAACAACAAAAAACTATATATATAGTTTTTAAATTAAAAATACTAGATATGTACTATATTTAATTATATATAATATATAATTTTAAAACTATACTAACATTTTAAAACTATGCATATTATATAACTTTGAAAACTATACATAATTTTGAAGTAAGTTCAAATTTTACTTCAAAACCTCTCTGATCTTTGTTGTATTTAATTCCAAACTATATACACTTTTTAAAATTGCATACCATTTATATGTATCTACACACATAATTTAATGTATACATATAATTTAGTTTATTTATTAAAACAGAGATGGGATCTCACTATATTGCCCAGGCTGGTCTCAAACTCCTGGATGCAAGTGGTTCTCCTGCCTCGGCCTCCCAAGGTTCACGGATTACAGGGGTGAGCCACTGCACCTGGCCAAATTTGTATATATAATTTAAATTTAAATTTAGAATTGGAATCCTAAACATTTGAAAATAGTGTGGCTTGCTGGAGCCAGGCTGAGGACTGAGAGACTAGGGCATGGCTGGGGTCCTTCCTTTTCTCTTTGGCCTATTTCACCTTGGAAGCCAAATGGGCCAAAGGGCTGAATTACTTTATCCTGGTTGATCAAGCAGTGTGTTTTGGGGCCGCTTATCACCTTCGCCCCAGTGGGACAGTCCTGTAGCCATTTAATTATTCAATGCCCCAAACAAGATCATCCAAGTCAGATAAACCGATGGCTATCCTAGGAGGCTGGGTGCCCATGATGTCAATATCTGTTGTCCAGCTATGTCCAAAGCCTCAGCCCAACGACAGCGTCCAAACACACACAACCCACCCTTGCCCTCAGGAGCCAGGAGCCACGTACGCGATGAGGTTGAAGTAGTCCTTGTTGGACAGCTGCTCCTCCAGCAGCAGCCGCAGGGAGTGCTGGATATGAATAATGTACATGGAATTGGTCGCAGAGATATCGAGCAGTATAACCACCCTGAAAGGAAACACGAGCTTTAAGAGGAGAACTGAATCTCTGAGATAATGTTTATTTTGTTCCATTTTACTATTTAAAGTTTTTTTCCAGGGGAATTTTGCATGCCAAATTCATAGCTGGCCAAAATCCTCTCTGTGGTTTTAGGCCAACAGAGATGGGCTTACAATGGTAGATTAAAGGGGGTCATGGAACACCCTACTCTCCCAGGAGATGCTGTAATGGAATAAAGCCTGACGGTGGAGATGGTTTAAGAGGTAGGGACTTCATATAATGAGTTCCATGGATTTAAAGGATTCGCATTCAATATTTTTATAGGTCAGGATATACACACACACACACATATGTGTGTATATATATATATATACTTAAGATTGTATTAAATGTATACATAAATGTATATATATATGTATATGTATACATAAATGTATATATATGTATACATATACATATATATATACATCTTTTTTTAAGATTGTCTTACTGTTGCCCAGGCTGGAGCACAGTAGTACGATCATGGCTCACTGAAGCCACAACCTCCTGGGCCCAAGAGATCTTCCTGCCTTAGCTTCCCAAGTTGCTGGGACTACAGGCACACATCACCATGCCTGGCTAATTAAAAAAAAAAAAAATTTTTTTTTGTAGAGACTGGGTCTGCCCATGTTGCTCAGGCTGGTTTTGAACTCCTGACCTCAAATGAGCCTCCTGCCTCGGCCTCTCAAAGTACTGGAAATACAGGCATGAGCCACCAGGCCCACCATAGGTTGTGGTCTTTGTAGGGAAAACAAAAACCAGGTGAGCAAGTAACATAAGGAATTAGGTGTATCTGGGCCTCTTGGAAAATATTTTATCTTTTTGTTTGCTCTCTTTCTGTTTTAAGATCTCTAGCCTCAGTGGGTCTTTCTCTCATTTTGCTACTTCAAATTTATGTTCCCACCTCCTGCCCCATTTTCATTTTGAGATAGCTATGGATAGCAAAAGAAAATCCATGGGATTTAGAGTCAGAAGACCATGGTTCAAGTTCCACTTCCCACCAGCTGTATGGCCTTGGGCAAGTCACAAAACCTCTCTGATCTTTGTTTAAATAGTTTAACTGTAAGCTACTTATAAGACTTCTCATAGGGTTGCTTCAAGAACAAAATTACATAATAGATGTATAGTGGCCAGGTGCAGCGGCTCATGCCTGCAATCCCAACATGTTGGGAGGCTGAGGCAGGAGAATTACTTGAGGCCAAGAGTTTGAGACCAGCCTGGGCAACATAGTGAGATCCTGTCTCTAATAATAATAACAAATGTATAGTGTTACAAAATACAATGCTTTGTAAATGTCAATACATCAAACGAGGTATGGAACCATAATAATGGCCATGATAGATACCTATGGTTTCTTCCAATTCAGCATCCATTACCTCATCTGGCAACAGCATCCTGATTTTCCTTTGGGCAACACCTCTGCCTCTTAGTCAATTTGAGTTGAGTGAAGCTGACCCCACTCCAAGCTTCAGGGATGGGCATTTGACCCTTGGCCAATCAGAACAGCACAGCTCTGACTGGGTGGGAGGATCCATTCATCCATGAGCCATTTGCTCTGGCCAGGGAGAGTGTATGATTTTTTTTTTTTTTTTTTTTTTAGACACAGGGACCCCCTCTGTTGCCCAGGCTGGAGTACAGAGGCAGGATCATAGCCCACTACAGCCTTGAACCCCTGGGCTCAAGCGACCTTCCTGTCCCTGTGTCGGCCTCCTAAGTAACTGGGACTATAGGTGTACGACACCATGCCGAGCTAATTATTTTATTTTTTGTAGAGACAGGATCTCACTATGTTGCCTAGTCTGGCTTCAAACTTCTTGTTGAGTGATCCTCCTGCCTTGGCCTCCCACAGTGCTGGGATTGCAACAATCCTCAGTGAAACAATTATCACGTTATTAACATCAGTGATGGTGGTGATGACTTTCCTCCTCTGGGGGCTCTGCTGAGAGATTGTCAATCCTTAATCTAAGTGATGACTTCTGATACTACCAGCAGGATATTCATGAATCAGATAAAGGTCATGTCACACACCAGACCCACGAAGGATAAGAGCCCTCCTTAAGAAAGGTACCTTTTTTCACAGACAGTGCCCCAGATTCTTCTGCTGGCCAGGGATAGCCACTCGATCCTCCTCTCGTACATCCGCATAGTTCTGCTGAGCTGTCTCTGCAGAAGCATGGGCCACAGTGAGTAGTTGCTCAAAGGCTGAACAACCAAGGGACCTGAGGTAACCAGAGTGGGCTTCAGGGAATGGTGTGTCAAGTCCCTGGGAATCCAGGCAGTATAATCATTCCACTAAATCATGGACAAATTTGCCCCAAGACCAGAAAGGGAAGAGTCACAAGGTATTTTATTGCATCAAATGGGGGAGGAAGCAGATCTTTCCCCAGAGGATTAGACATTTTTTTTTTAAGGCATTGAGGTCCCTGCCTGGGGAGGAGGTGGCCAAAGCCCCAGGGGGCCTGTAGGTGGAGCACACGTGCCTCTTCACAAGAGGGAGTTTAGTCAATGGCTTGGAGACACCACAGCCCAGGGGCCTTCCTCCCGTTCCCCCTTCCTGCACCCTCGTTTCTGACTGATTGAACCCATCACTGACCTGGTACTCATAGAGGAAGGGTGGGTCCACATGAATGTTCTTCACTGTCCCATCATGCCATTCAAACTGTATCATTGCCTTCTGTACTCAGGCACGGGCAGGAGGGTGAGCAGGCGGACAGAAGCATGTGTAGTTTAATTTGGGCACTGGTTCTCCAAATCAGATGCATGAGAGGAAAGTGGGGTCTGAACAAATTTGAGGTTGGACTGAACTCCCTCCCACATCTCCACTACACACCCTCCAATATCACCACCACCACCACCACCAGGTCATTGCCTTGTCTGGGGCTGGAAGCAGAGAGTCTTAAAGAGAGTGGTCCCCAGAATGGACCATGCCTGACAGCAAGCCAGGCTGTCTTCCTGAGAGACTTTTCTGAACATCAGAGTCATGAAGATATGGTTGGAGGGTTTTAGTAATAGAGAGCACAGGAGACCTTAAAATATACTTCTTAGGTTTGGGAACCAAGACAGGCCTTCACAGATGCCTTGAAAATCCAGTTTGTTCCTCCTGTTTTTTCATCCTCCACCAAGTCATCATGTCCATCTCTCTATCACTCCATCCATCTAGCCATTCATCCATGCATTGCTAGACCTACGTGTCCCTTACTCCTCTTCCTTTCAGTCTTCCATCTTTCTACTATCTTTCTATTCACCTATTATTCCTTCCTTCCATTTCTCTATCCTTTCCCTCCTCCCTTCCATCCTTAAATTTCTACTTTCATCCTTTCACTTTTCCTTTATTCTGTTTTGTCATCCATCCTCCCATTTCTCTTTTGTCCTTCCATCTGTTCAGATTTTCATCCATTCACCCATGCATCCATCCATTTGCTCATCCATCTATCTATCCATCCACTCATCCATCCATCCATCCATCCATCCATCCATCCATCCATCCATCAATCCATCTATCCATCCATCCATTCATCCATTTACCTGCCCACCCATATATTCATCCATCCATCCATCTATCCACTTATCCATTCATCCATCTATCCATCCATCCACTTCTCCATTTATCTACTCATCCATTTATCCATCTATCCATCCCTCCATCAGTCCACTTGTCCATCTATCTATCCATCCATTTACCTACCATCCATCTATCCATCCATCTGCCCATCCATTCATCCATATATCCACTCATCCATCCATCCATCTATGCATCCATTTACCTACCCATTCATCTATCCATCTATTCATCCATCTATCCATGTTTCCATTCATTCATCATCTTTTCCTTCTTGTTGCCATCTTTCCTTCCAACTACCTTCTTAGCCATGTAGGAAACATTCACTGAATTCTTACTCATACTAAACAGGGTATAGAGAGTTGAAGAGTTTTCCCTCTGTATACCTCATACTTGATAGGGATTTAAATATGTAAAAATTCATGCATTAATGCTTTACGGGAGCAATAGTAGAAGTCTGCATTAGGTACGGCGAGGACATAAAGAGAGCAAGTCTGCTCTTTTTGAGTTGGGAGGAGAAAACCTTCAGGAAGGAGGTGACCATGGTACCTGGTTTATCCCTCTTGCCCCACCTCCCAAGTTCAATTTTCAGATCTTTGAAAAACAGCAGTTACAGTGGATTTGATGTGCATTCTAGAGTCCTGGGTGGGAAGCCTGAATCCCTGGTAATTCTTGTTGCCAGAACATTTAAGAAGGTGGGAAAAGCCAGAAGGGAGCTCTCCTGCAGGGTACTGGAGAGAATTATGAATCTGAATTACCTCATAGACAGTCGATGATACTGTTTTCTGGAGAATAGGTACAAATTCCTCCACAGGAGAAAATGCATTGGGTGCCAGGACCTGATATAGACTTAATTTCTTGGCTGAAAAAAAATAAATTGTGAGGTTGGAGGCACTGTGTGGGAAGCTTCAAAGGGTTCAAGCCTTTTATTTTATTTTATTTTATTGAGACAGGGTTTTGCTCTGTCACCCAGGTTGGAGTGCAGTGACACGATCATAACTCACTGCATCCTCAAACTCCTGGGCTCAAGTTATCCTCCTGCCTCAGCCTCCCTGAATAGGTGGGACTATAGGTGCACACCACCATACACAGCTAATTTTACTTTATTGTTTTATAGAGATGGAGTCTTGCTATGTTGCCTAGGTTGGTCTCAAATTCCTAGCTTCAACTGATTTTCCCTTATTGGTCTCCCAAAGTGCTGGGAGTGCAGGTGTGAGCCACTGCGCCCAGCCGGGTGTCAGTCACCTGTTTCCTGGGTTCTGCCCTCTTTGGAGATTTACCTTTCAGACCATTGACCTTAAGCCACTCTGCAGAAGTCTTGTCCAAGTTTGGAAACTCAATAGTGAGAGGAGCGTCATGCTTTGGAGGTTTAGGCAAGAGGCTTATGAGTGGCCCTTTTGCAATCTCTGTGGAAATCTAAATGAAATGAGAAAGTCCTCATTACATAATCATATTTCAGAGCTGAAAAGTCCTCAGTCTTCACCCTTACACCTAGTCCCTGCAAGTGAAAGATCTTAAACACTCCCTGGTAGATGAAAGGTGGTTTTGCCTTTCCCTTCCATTGTCCCCTTCCCTTCTCTGGCGATTTCTGGAATTTCCAGGGGAAGAGGGAGGTGTACCCAGCAACTGGCTTGCTCTCACAGTGGCCCATCCTCCTGGTTCCTTCCCTAACCTTATCATGAAGATCAGCATCACGGACCCCAAGATGACAGGTCGCCCCTCCATGCTTCAGAAAACTAAAAACTCCTGCACCAAATCACTTACAGAGCCCCCATCTGGCCACCCTGTGGCCACATTTACAAAGTAAATAATGGAGGCTCTGAGAGGTTAAATTACATAGCATGCATAAGAAATTACAATGAATGTGTAACACAGAACAGCAAGTCCCAAGCTTCAGAGATTCACCGCCTTCATGAATTTTGCTATATCTGAATATTATTGTATTATTATTTTAAAGAATCAACATGTAACATTAAAGCTTTTTAGTTATTAATTTTACTTAATTTTAAAAATTCACTCCCTTTTCACCATTTTAGAAAGATCTATCATGACCCTAATGAGCTAGTTTTAAATAGAGACCACTTAAAAAATATATTAATCCATGCAACACCTAAAATCATCCTGCAAAGTGCAAGTGGTACATGCGCTTCATTTTGGGAGACTCTTGGCAAGGTTTTGGGCCTCAGACCTGGGTTCAATCCATACTCAATCTACTTCTGTCTCTGCAATCTTGAGCAAGTTATGTAACCTCCTAACTTCAATTTCCTGTAAAAAGTAATAATATACTTACCTCAGACAGTTATTAAGATAGCACATTTAATAATTAAACATTGTGCCTATCTTATAATGAGCACTTAATAAATGAGAACTATTATAATTCTTTTTTTTTTTTGAGATGGAGTCTTATTCTGTTACCCAGTCTGGAGTGGGCTCACAGCAACCTCTGCCTCCTGGGCTCAAGCGATTCTCCTAATTCAACCTCCTGAGTAGTTGGGATTACAGGTGCCCACCACCATGCCTGGCTAATTTTTGTATTTTTAGTAGAGACAGGGTTTTGCCATGTTGGCCAGGTTGGTCTCGAACTCCTGACCTCAAGCGATCCACCTGCTTCAGCCTCGAAAAGTGCTGGGATTATAGTCATGAACCACCACACGTGGCCAAGAACTATTATAATTCTAATACTAATTATTATTGTATTTATATATTTTTTAAATTATTTTTTGAGACATAAAAATCTCTCTCTGTTGCCCAGGCGGGAGTACAGTGGTGCCGTCATGGCTTACTGCAGCCTCGGTCTCCCAGGTTCAATCATCCTCCCACCTCAGCCTCCCGAGTAGCTGGAACTACAGGCACATGTCATCCTGCCCGGCTAATTTTTAAATTTTTTGTAGAGACTGTGTTTTGCCATGTTGGTCAGGCTGATCTTGAACGCCTGGACTCAAGCGCTCCTCTGGCCTTGGCCTTCCAAAGCACTAAGATTTCAGGTGTGAGCCATGGCTGAAATGAGAATTACTTTAAGGCAGCCTATTCTGGGTAGTTGAGGTTTTAATCATTCTCCAAATTGGGGGTAAGGGAGGGGACACTGGCAGGACGGAGGGGATGGCAGGAGCCTGCTGGTCTTTCTCTGAAATACATTTTACAGTTAGTAAATGTATTTTACTTTCTGGTACCATGGTGGGCCCACCCAGCCCACCCAACTCAGAGCTCTGGGGTGCAATGGAGGGTGGGCCTTGCCTTGTTTCACTTTTAGGAAGTGATGGGCACTGGCAGCTGTGCCCTCTATGAACAGGTGAGAAAGAGGAATGAGGCCAGCCGCGTGCTGCTGGGAGAAGGTCCCAGAACTGACATTTGCACCACCTACCTCCTCCATGGTGCAGGTGAGCGCCTCACAGGGGCTGCTGTGCTGCAGGGCTTGCATGTGGCCAAGGAGGCTCTGGGCCTTTTGAATTTCTGCCAGGAGCTCATCCACGTCCCGGCTGGTATAGAGCTGAGGGTGGCAAGAGCAATCAGACATCCAGAATCACCTGGCTACCCACAGGAGCCAACCCAGGAAGGGGCAAGCAGCCAGGCTAATGCCCAGGCAGAGGGGCAGACTCTCTCCACCAGGCCTTATAAACCAGGACCCATGTGCCAAATGGAGCCTGCAGACGTGCTGCACTTTGTTCGTGCAATTGGCCTGCTGTGTTTTTAAAACAATTGAAAGCTTTTCTTTACACTTTCACAGTCACCTACAAATGCGATGATCAGATGCTCCCTGTGAGTGGGGGCATCTGATCATCGCATTTGTAGGTGACTGTGAAAGTGTAAAGAAATACTTTACATGCACTAGGATGAGTAGAATTACTATTTATTTATTTTATTATTACTTTTAGAGAAAGTGTCTTGCTCTGTCACCCAGGCTGGAGTGCAGTGGTGCAACCATTGCTCACAGCAGCCTCGAACTCCTGGGCTCAAGTGATCCTCTGGCGTCAGCCTCACGAGTGGCTGAGACTACAGCCACATTCTACCATGCCAGGCTGATTTTTAATTTTTTTGTAGAGATGGGCTCTCACTATATTGCCTAGGCTAGTCTCAAACTCCTGACCCCAAATGATCCTCCTGTCTTGTCCTCCTAAAGCACTTGGCCTCCTAAAGTGGCATGAGCCACTGAGCCTGGTCCAGCCACAGGGGAGGCTGAGGCGGGTGGATCACCAGGTCAGGAGTTCGAGACCAGCCTGGCCAACATGGTGAAATCCCGTCTACTAAAACTACAAAAATTAGCCTGGCATGGTGGCAGATGTCTGTAATCCCAGCTACTCGGGAGGCTGAGGCAGGAGAATCGCTTGAACCAAGGAGGCGGAGGTTGCAGTGAGCCAAGATGGCACCATTGCACTCCAGCCTGAGTGACAAGAGCGAACTCCATTTCAAAAAAAAAAAAAATTTCTTGAACCAGTCAGTTTCAGTCATTTACTTTACCTTCCTAACCTCTGTAGTCTGAGTCACTTACAGACAAGAATATAGGCAATGAGGTATCAAGACAGGGTACTGTCTGAGATTGGTTCCCTGCTATGAAAAGTGGGGACAGACTTTGTGACCTTTGTATTCACTTGTGAGATGCAGATAATCATTTACTCATGGTTATAATGGTAGGCAAGATGCAGCCTGGGAGTGACCAGATGATTGCATTCTTAATCTTCCAAATGGATCTACACACATGTTCGCTAATTGTTGCCTCCCTTGTGAACATGGGGTGGCTGATGTCTAGTTATTAACTGGGACAAGGACAGTAATGGATGCATTGGTACAGAATTGATTGCTCATTTCGCTCTGCAGTGGGTCCCCTGCAACAGCAGGAGTTTATCTAGGAGAGAAAATCAAGGCAATTCAGACTGAGTGCTTTGGTGGGAGCAGAGCTGGGCTGGGGCCTATAAGAATGGCAACTGGAGAGTGATTGAGGATTCTGCAGGCTGGGCTTTAAAGGCCTCTGGGCTCCCAGGCACATAATCAATGCATCATACAGGCTGACCAAAGCATCTCTTGTGACTTCAGGTTGTCCCTGTTCTTCCCACATATTAATTCTAGGTTTATTAAAACCTTTTAACACAAAGGTTTTACCTGTGTAACCTCACTGAATACAGATGGGGACAGGGAAAAGAGGAGAAACAAGTGTACAGCGTAGTCCTGGCCCAGACCTCCTGGGTACAACCTTGGAGGCAGACAAGGAGAGAAGGAGAGGGGCCACGTGCTGGCACTGTGGCTTACCTCCATCTTTGGGCTGTAGCAGTGGTAGTAGCCGCTAATAGCTTCTGCAAGGTTCTTCAGGACAGCCTGCAGGGATGGCGACAGGGTCAGCCTTCACTGGTGCAACACCAATACTCCAGTAAGCCTTTTCCTTGACTGAATCTCCCAATTATCCAAAGCTTCCCATTTTACCAAAGGGAGAACCAGGCACAAGTACGGATGTGTTCTGGCCCACAGCTCAGGGGCCTGTTCAAGCATGGGGCCTAAAAGACCAGCCCAGCTCACTACCGCCAAAGCCAAGGGACACCTCAGAGGGTCTCAGGCACTCACAGGGGGCATCTGATCATCGCATTTGTAGGTGATTAAGTGGACAATGAGGTCTCTTCCCATGGTGGACTGCTGGATGTAGTCGGACAGGATTTCAGAAGGCTGATCTGGGCTGGGGGTGGGGGAGGCAGAAGAGAAGTGGGCAACCTAGGTCAGACCACTCTGAGAATATTCCAGAGCAAAATGGTAATTCCCAGGGAACATCTACCCTTTCTTAACTGGCCACCTGTGTCCCAGGTCACCTATTCGGGATGCAGGGCTAGGTGGACTGCAGGCTTGGCTCCCTGCCTCCTCTGCAGATGGGCAGCCTGTGACTGCAATTCTTCCCTCTTGTGTGTGTGAAGAGTCATGATTTTCTTTCTCTTTTCTTTTTCTTCTTTTCTTTCCTCCCTCCCTCTCTCCCTTCTTCCCTCTCTTCCTTTCTTCCTCCCTTCCCTTTCTTTCTTTCTTCCCTCCCTCCATTCTTCTTCCCTTTTCTATTTTTGCTTTCTTTTCTTCTCTATTTTTACTTTCCTTCCTTCCCTATTTTTACTTTCCCTCCATCCCTCCCTCCTTCCTTCCTCCCCTTTCTTCCTTTTCTTCCCTCTTTTCTTTCTCCTTTCCTTTCTTCTCCCTTTCTTTCCTTCCCTCCTCTCTTCCCTTCCCTTTCTCTCCCCTGCCCCCACTCCCCTCCCTTTCTCCTCTCATCCCTCCCCTCCCCTCCCCTCCTTCTCCTCCCCCTCCCCCTCTCTTCCCCTCACCCTTCCATCCCCTCTCCCCCTCCCCTCCCTCCCCTGATCCTTCCCTCCCCTCTCCCCCTCCCCTCCCCTCTCCCCTTCTCCTCCCCTCCTCTCCCTTCCTTTCCCTTCCCCTCCATTCCCTATCTGAGTCTCACTCTGTGGCCCAGGCTACAGTGCTATGAGTCTCACTCTGTTGCCCAAGCTACATACAGTGCAGTGAAACAGTCACAGCTTACTGCAGACTCCAACTCCTGGCCTCAAGCAATCCTCCTGCCTTGGCCTGCCAAAGTGCTGGAATCACGGGCATGAGACACCGTGACTGGCCAATCTTTTCTCCAACAATGGTTTGGTTCTTCAGTCCCCTTTGTGTCATATGTCTCCTGCTTAGGAAAGAAGACCTACCAACTTCTCAGGATGGCCACCAGGGAATCCAGCCCCTTGAGAGTGAAGATCTTCTTCAGGGCCTGTAGCAGGTTGCTGCCTCCAGCAGGCTGCAGTGTCTTTACCCACAGCTTAAGTTCCCGGAGGCTGGGGGTAGACAACAACAGCAACCTAATTATAAGGCTGTTTGTATTGAATTTCATTTTTTTTTTTTTTAGAGATAAGGTCTTGCTACGTCACAAAAGCTGAAGTGCAGTAGTGCAAGTATAGCTCACTGTAACCTCGAAATCCTGGGCCCAAGCGATTCTTCTGTCTCAGCCTCCCAAGTATCTGGGACTGCAGGTATGTGCCATCCTGCCCAGCTAATTTTTACATTTTATATAGAAGGCCGGGCATGGTGGTTCATGCCTGTAATCCCAGCACTCTGGGAGGCCAAGGTGGGTGGATCACTTGATGTCAGGAATTCAAGACCAGCCTGGCCAACGTGGTGAAGTTCCGTCTCTACTAAAAATACAAAAAAAAAAAAAAAAAAAAATTAGCCAGGCGTGGTGTACATGCCTGTAACCTCAGCTACTTGGGAGGCTGAGGCAGGAGAATTGCTTGAGCTCCAGAAGTGGAAGGTTGCAGTGAGCTGAGATTGTGTCACTGCACTCCAGCCTGGGCAACAGGGTGAGACTCTATCTCAAAAAAAAAATTATGTAGAGATGGGGGTCTCACTATGTTGCCAGGCTGGTCTTGAACCCTTGGCCTCAAGAGGTCTCCCTCTCTACCCTCCCAAACTGCTGGGATTACAGGTGTGAGCCCTGAACCTGGCCTGTAGTATTAGGTACCAGGCCCAGAACAAATATTAGCTCATTTAAACCTAACAATAACTTGTTAGGGTGGTACCTTTATTCCCATTTTGTAGATGAGGAAATTGAGTTAGGACTTGCCCAAGGTGATAGTGTAAGCAACTGGTAAAACTGAGATTTCAAACCAGGTCTGACTCTAAGATATGAGCTTTTAGCAGTTGTCCTATGTGAGGGTCTGGGGCTGAGTTTCTTCCTCCCTAAACCCACTCTCTTGGGAGCCAGCCCTCAACAGGCCAGCCTCAAAGAAGAGAAAGCACTCTGGCTGTGCAGCTATGTCCCATGTGAGTTGGGGTACACACCACTGATGAAACGAAAAATGACTTAACTTGGTTCTTTCTTGGCTAATACTTTGCATGGCACCGGTAAAAGAGGTTTGTTCTATTTCAAAAAATCAAAAATCTGAAAGAAAATCTCAGTGTGGTACTAATTAGTCGGTCTTTCATTATTATAACTGTCAAGTCTATCTTTTGAACAGCAAGAACAAGTCTAACACCTTCTCAAGCCAATAGATTTCAGCTGGAATTTAAAAACCACTGTTTTAAGGCTGGACATGATGACTGACACCTGTACTCCCACCACTTTGGGAGGCAGAGGCAGGCAGATTATATGAGGTAGGAAGTTCGAGACCAGCCTGACCAACATGGAGAAACCCTGTCTCTACTGAAAATACAAAATTAGCCAGTTGTGATGGTACATGCTTGTAATACCAGCTACTCAGAAGGCTGAGGCAGGAGAATCGCTTGAACCTGGGAGGCCGAGGTTGTGGTGAGCTGAGATCGCACCATTGCAGTTCAGCCTGGGCAACAAGAGTGAAACTCTGCCTCAAATAAACAAATAAACAAACAAACAAACAAACAACAAAAAAAAAACCACTGTTTTTCTCCATTGTATTTATTTATATGGTTGCTTTCTCTTCCTCAAAGCCATTAAAGAAAGACATATGGTTGCTTTCTAATTATAGAAATACAACTGCATGATTATAGCAGTATAATCATGCAAGTGATATGTGCTTCTCAGTTATGTTACTGATAGAGTTTCCTTCAGGCCAGGAGCAGTGCCTCATGCCTGCAATCCCAGCACTTTGGGAGGCTGAGGGGGGAGGAACATTTGAGACCAGGAGTTCAAAACCAGTCTGGTCAACATAGCCAGACCCCATCTCTACAGAAAAGAAAAATTTAAAAAAATTAGTTGGGCACAGTGGTATCTTCCTGTAGTCTCAGCTACTGTGGAGGCTGAGGCTGGAGAATCATTTGAGCTCAGGAGATTAAGACTGCAGTGAGCTATGATTGTATCACTGCACTCCAGCCTGGGTGACAGAGCAAGACCTTGTCTCAAAACAACAGCAGCAAGAAAACAAACAAACCCCGCCCCCACAAAACAAGTTTCTTACCAGCCTGACCAACATGGTAAAACCCTGTCTATACTAAAAGTATAAAAATTAGCCAATTGTGGTGGCATGTGCCTGTAATACCAGCTACTCAGTAGGCTGAGGCAGGAGAATGGCCTGAACCGGGGAGGCAGAGGTTGCAGCATGCCAAGATTGTGCCACTGCACTCCAACCGGGGCAACAAACCGAGACTCAGTCTCAAAACACAAAAACCAAAACAAAACAAAACCACTAGTTTCTTTCAATAATAAATAAATAGAATCAAAGTAAAGAAAAATCAACAATAGTATACATGGTAGGTAGGCTGGGTGTGGTGGCTCACACCTGTAATCCTAGCACTTTGGGAGGCTGAAGGGGGTGGATCACTGGAGGTCAGGAGTTCCAGACCAGCCTGGCCAACATGGTGAAACCATGTCTCTACTAAAAACACACAAAACATTAGCTGGGCACCTGTAATCCCAGCTACTTGGGAGGTTGAGGCAGGAGAATTGCTTGAACCCAGGAAGCGGAGGTTGCGGTGAGCTGAGATAGCACCACTGCACTCCAGCCTGGGTGACAGAGTGAGACTCCATCTCAAAAAAAAATTTTAAAAATAAACAATAGTACACACGGCAAAGATGTGACAGGGATGTGACAAGAGAAGTGGAGGAGGTCCTGAAGGTGCAGAACTTTGGCTACCATCCCTAACAACCCAGAGATCAGTGCTCCACCAAAAGTGGAAATCAAAGTTTAAAATGTTCTTGTTCACTGAGTACCTGGCACTTGCCAGAACTTCATTTTCATTTCATCTTCATAAGAGCCCTGTGAGGAGTGAGCAGGATTGGCCTTGTTCTGCAAATGAGAGTCAAGACCACCCAGTGACTGCTGGGGTTGGGATTCAAAGCTAGCGCTGCCAGGAGTGGACATTTCTCTACCTGGAAGGGCTCCTCTTTACAGCTAGTGCTGGTGACGGGGCCTCCCTGCTACTAATCTACGCACATACTTTTCTTTTTTAAACTTTTTAATTTTTTTGGAGACAGGGTCTCTCTCTGTTCCCCAGGCTGAAGTGTGGTAGCACAATCATAGCTCACTGCAGCCTCAACCTTCCTCCCAGGCTCAATCAAACCTCTCACCTCAGCCTCCTAAGTAGCTGGAGCTACAGGCACATGCCATCACACCAGGCTAATTTTGTAATGCTTTGTAGAGATGGGGTCTCACTGTGTTGCCAAGGGTGGTCTCAAACTCCTGGGCTCAAGCAATCCTCCCAACTCGACCTCCCAAAGTGATGGATTACAGGCGTAAGCAACAGGCCCTGGCCAAAGCATGTGACTTTTCCTGGGATCTGGAATCCAATCCTGGCTCTGCCACTTTCGGCATCTTCCCTAACCTGAGTCTGCGTTTCCTCATCTGCAAAATGAGGATAATAATCCTATTCCATGGGGTGGCTACAAATACTAACTACAATCATCTATGCAAAGTACCTAGTATGGTAACTAACCAACACATGTTGGGTGATCAAGGACATTCCTTTCATGGAAAAGAATTTCTACTCAATGGATAAGTAGAGATTCTTACATGCCTCCCTCCTATCCCTCAAAAAAAAAAAAAAAAAAACCCATCAGACTAGAAATCCCCAACTAAAGGACATCTATGCAGTGGAATCCTCTGCAGTCATTAAAACAAATGAGACAGATTGTGTATGCACTGACAGAGAGATTCAAGACCAGCTGGAAAGCAGTGTTAAATAGCTCCTGTTTATGTCAAAATAAGAAGGTAAACACACAGTGTGCAAAGACTCATTTGTGGGAGTGGACATAAGAAACTGTTTTGGGCCATGAACAGCATCTCATATCTGTAGTCCCAGCCCTTTGCAAGGCCAAGACTGGAATAGCACTTGGGGCCAGGAGGTCAGGACCATCCTGGGCAACATCCCATCTTTACAGAAATAAACTGGCCAGGCGTGGTGGCTCACACCTGTAATCCCAACACTTTGGGAGTCTGAGGTGGGCGGATCAACTGAAGTCAGGAGTTTGAGACCAGTTTGGCCAACATGGTGAAACCCCATCTCTACCAAAAAATTAAAAAATTAGCTGGGCATGGTGGCACATGCCTGTAGTCCCAGCTATTTGGGAGGCTGAGGCATGAGAATCACTTGAACCCAGGGGTGGAGGTTGCAGTGAGCCAAGATCACACCACTGTACTCCAGCCTAGGCAACAGGGACCCTATCTAAATAAATAAATAAACACAAACTCAGCAGGGTGTGGTGGCACATGCCTGTAGTCCCAACTACTCAGGAGACTGAGGTGAGAGGGTTGCTTAAGCCTAGGAGGTCAAAGCTGCAATGAGCTATGATTGTGCCACTGCACTCCAGGCTGAGACACACAGAGATCCTGTCTCAAAAAAAAAAAAAAAAAAAAAAAAAAGATGGAGACTCATTTGCTGTTATTTATCATCTTTTCATACTGCTGGAATTTTAAAAAACCATGCACTGTGTTATTTTCACAATAAAACTATCTTTGCTAGTTTGCTGGATAAAAAGTATCTTGTGGTCACCTTGTCTTTCAGTTTATGAACTGCTCATGAGGGTGGCCATCTTTCCAAAACTTGTTTCTGCTTTTGTGAGTTGTCTCTTTGTACTCACTTATCTAGTAGGGTCCTGGGGTTTGCATTTGAATCATTCAACAAAGACTCTGCTGCTTAAAAGGAAAATGAACAAGTCAGCATCAAGGTCAGGCAGAAAAGCCACTCACGTGGATGCGCTGACTTCCATGGGGTCTGGCCAGAGGGACCTGGTGGTTGTTCCAAAGGACAGGACAAACAGCTTCTCCTTGTGGCTCAACTGCTCATCGATGAGGCTCTGTTGGACAAAAGGATGTCACTGGCTCCCAGAGCCAGGGGAATGGGGAGCCTGGCTTTGCCTCTCTTGGCCAGCCCCTCTGGGCGGGGTGTGAGCTGTGCTGAAATAGGGCTGCTTGAGGCTCAGCTTAGCAGCAGCCTCAAGCCAACATTTGCTTCCCACCTGCTGGGCCTCCTGCGGTGAGCATCTGGACTGCCATCTCAGTGTGTGCTGTAGCTAGACCCTTGACACTTACCTGTGGCATCCGGAGAGGAAGGACAGAGGTCAGGGGCCATGGTTTCTCTCTAAGGCATGTGAGCTGGAGATGGAACTGGTGAGTATCCGTAACTCCTCCCTCTTCTTCTTGGCCAGCTGGAAGTTCTACCTGTATGCCACCACCATGAGCCCTGCCCTGGCTAATAGTAGACTACTCCACCTGGGGGATCTTTGGAAACTTTGTCCTGAGGACTTGTCGTAAAGGGGGAAACTGCTTTGACAGCTGTCCCCTGACATCCACTGAGACCAGGAACAGGGGACAAATCTGGAGGATGACCCCACACTGAGCCTCTGTAGGACGTGTACAACATACAATGGCTATTGCTGCCGTGGCACCTGTGAGAAAATAGCCCTTCCACATCACTCCATGCTGCAGAGGCTTTTCTCTAGGCCAGACTTCCCACTGAGCACTTCACTTGCACAAGCTCCTTTTACCCTACTGCAACCCTAGGTAGCCACTGTTATCATCCCTGTTTTACAGAGGAGGTAAGTAAGGCACAGAGAGATTAGGTAACGCAGTTGCATGGCCCGGAGGTGGTGGAGGTGGCTGAGATTTGATTCCAGCCATCTGACTCCAGCGTTCTTAGATTCTCTGCTGTGGATGTGAGTTGGGGATGGAGCAGTGGGCAACACCAGCCTGTTCACTGCTCTCAAGCTAGAGCTGATGAATGTCCACTAGGAACCATAACTCCAAAGAAAGCAGAATAGCTCTGCCATCCAGAAAAGGCCAGAAGCCCTGCGCTATGCTATGCAGGAGTCTTGACGTCCTCTTTCCAGGAAAACATGGGAGCTCTTGAGTCAAAGTGTAGCTGGCAGGTACTGCCGTGGTAAGATTACTAGAAGTTCACACTGCAACCGAACATGACTCTTTGGTTGGGTTTTGCAGAATTCCACATAGTTCTCTAACCACAGGTGCCAATTCGGTGTGAACTGTTCTTTATAAGACACTATCTTGCATTTGCTATAAACAAGCTAGTCAGCAAGCTCAGGAAGGAAAGGCTGGGGGTGGGGGCTGTTCCAGATGTTCCTCTGTGCCAGACAGACTTACCATGAGGTCCTTTTGGAACTCCTCTTTCTGAGGGCCACTGCCGACGGATGACACATCTATGAGGACGCTGACTCTGGCCCCTTTGATGAGGCCAAATGCCTAAAACCAAAAAGGGAATTTGGAAACAGCCAGTGCAAATCTGCACGTCTCCTAAGGCCTGCACTGAGGGGCTCGGTGTGATGCAGTGATGGGAACACTTCCCTCACTCCTGACAAGCGGCAGCAGATGGAAACCCCATTTTACTAGGGAAAAAGAAAACCCAGTGGCAGGACTTCGGCTCTGGGCATGATCTGCTCTTATTTTGCGGCAGCCTATTCTTTTTAAGTCCCCTTGTGTTTATTTATTTTTAATAATTTATTTTTATTTTTTATATTATTTTTATATTTTATTTTATTTTATTTTGAGATGGAGTCTAGTTCTGTCACCTAGCTTGGAATGCAGTGGCAATGATCTCAGCTCACTGCAACCTCTGCCTCCCGGGTTCAAGTGATTCTCCTGCATCAGCCTCCCAAGTAGCTGGGATTACAGGTGCCCACTGCCTACCACCACACCCAGCTAATCTTTGTATTTTTTTTTTTTTTGAGACGGAGTTTCACTCTTGTTACTCCAGGCTGGAGTGCAATGGCGTGATCCCGGCTCACGGCAACCTCTGCCTCCTGGGTTCAGGCAATTCTCCTGCCTCAGCCTCCTGAGTAGCTGGGATTACAGGCACGCGCCACCATGCCCAGCTAATTTTTTGTATTTTTAGTAGAGACAGGGTTTCACCATGTTGACCAGGATGGTCTCGATCTGTTGACTTTGTGATCCACCCGCCTCGGCCTCCCAAAGTGCTGGGATTACAGGCTTGAGCCACCGCACCCGGCCTAATCTTTGTATTTTTAGTAACAACGGGGTTTCACTGTGTTGGCCAGGTTGGTCTCTAACTCCTGATGTCCTGATCTGCCCGCCTCGGCCTCCCAAAGTGCTGGGATTACAGGCATAAGCCAATGTTCCCAGCTTCTCTTATATCTGTTGTCCAATCTTATGAAGTCATGCATGCTCACTGGAGAAAATCTGGAGACTACAGGAAAACACCCTTTGTTGGAAGATACAAAGTTTGATAGCTATTTATATTAGCTTATCTGATTTAATTTCTCTATATCCTTATTTATTTTTTGCCTGCTCTACCAATGAAAGGCAGATGTGTTAAGCCCGCCAGCTGCAATGATATCTCTGTGCATTTCTAATTATGTTCCTTCTTTCTTCTTTTTGAGATGAGGGTCTTGCTATATTGCCCAGGCTGGTCTCAAACTCCTGGGCTCAAGCAACCATGTGCCACCACACCCAAGTTTCTAATTATGTTTCTAAATGCTATTACTCTACAGTTATTATTCCTTGACTTATGATGGGGCCACCTCCTGATAAACCCATCATAAGTGGAAAAATCCTAAGTCGACCAGCAAGTACTGTTTGTATTACTTGCCGATGCTGTTTGACTCTGCACATAAATGTTCATCTTGTTATAGCTGCACTGTGGATTGGAGCTTTCATTCATATGAAATTTATAGTTCTCTAGGGGTGGTAGGTTCCATTCGGTGCTTTTTGCCTTAAATCCTACTTTATTGGATATCTAATTTTCCTGTTCAATTCACTCTTCTGCTCTCAGAGAGTGTTTTACATCTTCTCTCACACCTTCAGCGCTCCCTTTCTGCACTCACCCAGCAAGTGATTTTGCCTCCAATTTTGCTGAGAAAACAGAAACAAATTGAAGAGAATCTTAAAAAATCTTTCCATGCAGAGTCTACCGACCTACCTGCCCATAGGCCCACACACTCCTTTCCGGTTACAACGCAGCTAAGGCCAACCAGCAACAGTTTCTAGGCCAAGCCTTTGACTTGCATTAATGGATCTTCTCTTGCTAAATAGGAACTCTGCTTCTGTGATCATCCCTTCTCCTGGATCCCCCATTCCTACTGACTGTACAATTTCCACCACCATACAAACAGCTTATAGTATCGCCCACCTTAAAAAAAAAATAGACCTCTCAGGATGCCACCTCTCCCTCCTGCTGTGGCTTCATTTCTCTGCTCTCCATCTTAGCCACATGTCCTTACCTCCCGGGGACCCATTCAAGTTAGCTTCTTGCCTTCCTATTCCTCTGAAACCACATGTGTCAAGGTGATCGATGAGCTTTCTCTTGCCAAGCCCAAGGGCTAAATCCAAATTCTCGACTTTCTCAAAGTCTGAGTAGCATATGGCACAGTTTGACTGCGTCAAGAATTTAATAAATTAAAACACTTAGTACACGTGTCTTCCAGGACATCACATTCTCCCACTTTCCCCTCTACTCACTGGCCAGACTTTCTTAATCTCCTCTCCTAGCGACCTCCTCCACCTAGTTCCAAAGTCGAAATACTGGCATGCCCTAGGAACTTGCTTCTGAAGGTGTGGGTCTTAGGCCAACAGCATCACCATCCTCCAGCTTGTTAGAAATGCAGAGTCTCCAGTCCCACTCCAGGCTTACCTAATCAGAGTCTTTCTTTTAACAGGAGCCTCCTGGTGTGCAGTGGCATGATCATAGCTCACTGAAGCCTGGAACTCCTGGGCTCAAGTGATCCTCCTGCCTCAGTCTTCTAAGTAGCTGGGACAATAGATGTGTGCCACCACACCTGGCTGTTTTTTATTTTTTGTGGAGATAGGGTCTTACTGCATTGCCCAGGCTGGTCTCAAACTCCTGGCCTCAAGAGATCATTCAGCCTCGGCCTTCCAAAGGCCTGAGATTGCAGCCACGAGCCATCACACCCAGCCACTCTCTTCTTTATCTACCCCAGGGTTTGCCAACCTTGGCTCTATTGACATTTGGGCTGGATAATTATCTGTTGTAGGGAGCTGTCTTGTGCTTTACAGGATGGTGAGCAGCATTCCCGGCTGCTGCAAATCTAGATGTCGGTGACAACCCCTCTCCTCCAGCCATGACAATCAAAAATGTCTCCAGACATTGCCAACTGTCCCCTTGGGGCAAAATCACCCCCAGTGGAAAACCACTGTTCTGTGATCACTCCCTAAGTGATCTGAGTGTTGCCTTTGAATATCATCTGAATGCGAATGATTATCTGAGGTCCATCTTCAAGCAGATTTCTCTTGGAACTTCAGAGCTGTGCCCCCAACATACTGCTCCACTTGTCTGTCTGGATGTCTACTAAGTCCCTGAGGCTTCACACATCCAAAACAAAACCTCTTGGTTTTCCTCTTCAAATCTGTTCTCTCTCAGTCTTCCCCATCTCAGTAAATGCCATTCATCACCAGCCCAGGCGCTCTGGCCCCAAACCTATCCAATCCATTGGCAAGTTCTGCTGGTCCTGCCTTCCAGCCATGCGCTGAATCTATCATATCTCATTCCATCGACACTAATGCTTGAGTCTAAGCCTCTGTTGTTCTCGCCCAGTGCAGTCTTCCTGTTTCTACTTCTACCCTCTGTGCAGTCAAATCATGCAGCAGCCAGCGTGATTCTTTTGAAACTTGTCAGATCAGGTCACTCTCCTGCTGTATTAGAGCCGTCACCTTTGGAATCAGGCCTTCCCTGACTTCAACCTGCTCATCTAACCTCGTCTCCTTTCTCCACGGAGCTCACTCTGTGCTTGCTACACTGGCCCATGTGCTGCTTCTGGAACATACCAAGCTTGTTCCTGACCCAGGACTTTTGGACTTGCTGTCTCCTCTGCCTGGAACATTCTCCCCAAGATCTTGGCAGGGCTCACCCCTACACTTTCTTTTCTTTCTTTCTTTGCGGTGGAGTTTCACTCTTGTAGCCCAGGCTGAAGTGCAGTGGCACAATTTCGGCTCGCTGCAACCTCTGCCTTCAGGTTTCAAGCTATTCTCCTGCCTCAGCCTCCTGAGTAGCTAGGATTATAGGCGCCCACCACCATGCCCAGCTAATTTTTGTATTTTTAGTAAAGACAGGGTTTCACCATGTTAGTCAGGCCTGTCTTGAACTCCTGACCTCCTGATCCACCCGCCTCAGCCTTCCAAAATGCTGGGATTATAGGCGTGAGCCACTGCGCCTGACCTGCACTTTCTTTAGGTGCCTGTACAAATGCCTCCTCTTTAGAGTGGGTTTCCTCAACAACTCCATTTATTTGTTTGTTTATTTATTTATTTTATTTTTGAGACAGAGTCTTGCTCTGTCTCCCAGGCTGGAGTGCAGTGGCACGATCTTGGCTCACTGCAACCTCTGCCTCCTGGGTTCAAGTGATGCTCCCGCCTTAGCCTCCTGAGTAGCTGGGATTACAGGCATGCACCACCATGACTGGCTAATTTTTGTGTTTTTAGTAGAGACAGGGTTTCTCCATGTTGGTCTGGAACTCCTGACCTCAAGTGATCCACCTGCCTCGGCATCCCAATGTGCTGGGATTACAGGTGTGAGCCACCGTGCTCAGCCTCAATCATTCCATTTAAATAGTCCTTCTGTTCCACTCTCTGTTCCCTTACTCAGCTTTGTTTCTTTTTCTAGCACATAAGCTCCATGAAGGGAGGACCTTAGTATTGGTCATGTTCCTCCCCTCCCCACCCCTTCCGGCAGCGAACCATTCCTTCAGCAAGTTCTGGTCATGTTAGTAGTCTCAATCCTAGAACAGTGCCTGATACACAACAATCACTCAATACATGTTCATTGAATTCATGACCCAAATATAGCACAAGGCTTTCTAGGGTATCGCCAGTCTGGAGGCAAGAAGAAGTTGAAATCTAGAGCCAGTTCTATTTCATTTACATTAAAAACAAGCTGCCATGAGGGCTTTACAGCTTTTGGAATTGAAAACATTCATTCCCTAAACCTAGCCATTGAAGTTCTAGACATTTATCCCATAGAAATAACTGGACAAGTACATAAGAGGGAACTGGAGCCCAGAAATACCAGATATTCTAATTTTTCAAGAGAAGTCTGATAGCAGACATAAAAGTGAAATATCAGGATTTAAAAATCTTGGCAACTAATTTGAAAAATATTTACAACTAGGGAGCCCAGAATAGCACGGCTGTGCGCCAGATTTGGCCTGTGTACCACTAATTTATAACTTCTCCTTTTATCCTCTGCAGACACAGACCCAGAGAAGTGAGGCCACTTGCTAGGGCCTTAGTGAGAGGGCAGGGTAGGAACGGGGACCTGGTCTGGTCATCATCCCAGGCTGCCCGCCTCAATACCCAGGGACCCAGTGAGCTGACTGACAGGTGATCGCTTCTCTGGGATCCAATCTGGGCTGTAGGCTACAGAGAAACTCTGAAGCTCCATCAGAAAGAGGTGGCAGGAAGAAGGGGCTATCATTCCCTACCTACTTTGATAAAGGTACCAGGATGGGGTGAGGGGGGGTGGGTCAGTGAAAGCAGCATTCCCTAGGCAGATGCCCATGGAGTATGGGTGGATTTCATCTCTCTGGGGTCTCTCTGCCTGTTACCATGGCCAACCAGAGGGGTCCAACCATAGCTGCAGAAGATGAGCATCTGCTGACCTGACTCGTCCATGCGAGTGAAGGAGGTTCTGGATCGGAGGTGTGGACCAGACCCTGGAATTGGCGGGACAGGCAGGTTCAGCACTATGTTGTTACTCGCCCCACTGGTAACAAACAGTGGTAGGGTAGAGGTGGGGATTGGGAGTAGGGAGCATTACTTTCAGCATCTGCCTCTCTCAGGGTTTAAAACAAGAGTTGAAGATTGTGCTTAAGGGTGGAAGCAAACAGGAAGCCAGAAAAGTGCCAGTTGGTGTTAATTAAGCTAAAACAAATAAGAAAGCAAATCAAAGGTTCATTTGCCCATGGGTTCTGAGAAAAACATTTAATTAAAAAAAAATTTTTTAAGAGACAGGTCTTGCTCTGTTGCCCAGGCTGGAGGGCAGTGGTGCAATCATGGCTCACTGCAGCCTTGAGCTTCCGGGATCAAGAGATCCTCCTGTATCAGTCTCTCAGGTAGCTGAGACTACAGGCATGCACCACTATGCCTGGTCCTCAATCAAACTTTTTTTTTTTTTTGAGACAGTGTCTCACTCTGTCACCCAGGCTGGAGGGCAGTGGCATGATCACGGCTCACTGCAACCTCCACCTCCTGAGTTCAAGCGATTTTCCTGCCTCATTCTCCTGTGTAGCTGGAATTTACAGGCATGCACCACCACACCTGGCTAATTTTTTGTAATTTTAGTAGGGATGAGGTTTCACCATGTTGGCCAGGCTGGTCTCAAACTCCCAACCTTAGGTGATCTGCCTACCTAGGCCCTCCAATGTGCTGGGATTACAGGCGTGAGCACCACGCCTGGCCCTTAATCAAACTTTTTTTTTCTTTTTTTGAGACGGATTTTCGCTCTTGTTACCCAGGCTGGAGTGCAATGGCGCGACCTCGGCTCACTGCAACCTCCATCTCCTGGGTTCAGGCAATTCTCCTGCCTCAGCCTCCTGAGTAGCTAGGATTACAGGCACGCGCCACCATGCCCAGCTAATTTTTTGTATTTTTAGTAGAGATGGTGTTTCACCATGTTGACCAGGATGGTCTCGATCTCTCGACCTCGTGATCCACCCGCCTCGGCCTCCCAAAGTGCTGGGATTACAGGTTTGAGCCACCGTGCCTGGCCTAATCAAACTTTTAAGAAAAGTAATATCCAGATGATCAGCCTTAGTCTTCTAAATCTTACTGTGGGTCTGAAGTTAAATGCCTAGTGTACATCTTCATTCTCACCTGCCCAGCACCCGTTCCCCCTTCTGGTAACAGTGCTCTGGCCTTCCACATGCAACAATCTGTCTCCCTTTCTCAGTCCATGAGGGCTGGGGGGTTAACCCAGTCTCTTTCCGCTTACCGCTGGGTTTTTTTTCACCCCAGAAGTGAGTACCAGTTCCAGGCCTAGCCAGATAGTATATTTCATCTCCTTAGCTATGATGATTGGTGTAAATTGGTCAATGAGGGTCAATCCCAGGATTTGGAAGGTGTACAGGGAACAGGAAGTGAGGTCCCCTTCCACTGGAGCTGCTGATCACCACCTCCCTAGGCCTGAAGAGAGACGTCCGGACAATAAAACCAACTCAGAGGAAAGCAGAGCCCACAGGCAAAGAAGTGACATCATCTGAGCACCTGGATCCAGCTGCGGCTGGGCTTTTCACTCACATAGGTTAATGCCTTTTTTAGCATAAGCCAATTTATACTGGAGGTCTACCATTTGCAACTGAAAGGGTTCTAAGAAGTACAGATGGGATGAGTAAAACGGGGCAAAGAATGAAATCTGTGTCTGTTACCTTCTTGCTGTTTTCTGTGAGCCACTGAATTCTTTGTTGATAGAGTTCAATAGTGCTGTGAAGACATCAGAAAGACTCATCACCCAAGGCCAGCGTCATCACTGAGTAACAGCCACTTACTTACACAGAAGGTAGCTATGGATTTTTTTTTTTAATGTGCGCAGGGTCTTGGAAGGAGATGGTGCACCTTTTAAGAGCGCTGTAGTGCACACCTGTATTCCTGGCTATTCGGGAGGACGATGTGGGAAGATCACTTGAGGCCAGGAGTTCAAGGCTGCATGGAGTTATGATTGTTCCACTGCACTCAAGCCTGGGCAAAATCGAGCAAAGGCAAAACTGAAGATATTTGTTTGCCAGGGCACTCGGTATAAGGGGATTGTGAAAGGGATGGAGTGTATAGGTGCTTCCCTATTGGTGACACAGGGCACATGATAAATGACAATGGTTTGGTGGATCAAGGGGTGAGCTGCCCTATGACGGCAGGTCTGTGGAGGATAGGGGAGGGTGTTCTTATGGGGAAGGTGGAAAAGCACCCTTGCACTTGCTCAAATCTGTGTCTTCTCGGAGGAAGCTGTTCCTAGTCTCCTGGAAACTGACCGTAAAGGCACAATAGAGGCAGTCTGGCAATCAATCGTTTCTACTGGACTGATTAACAAATAATTTAGTATCTGAAGAGTAGCCTGGGGAACTTCTTGAACTTGCCTATTGCAAGCCATTCCAATGACCGCTGGAGACTAGCATATAACAGTGCACAAAATAAGGACTCGATCACTTGAATTTGATTGACTTGTCCTCACTGGGGGCAGCTGAGATTTGGGGGCCTAGAGAGGGACAAAAAGGGTCTTTGGATATGAGATCATGGGGCAGCAGGTGGGTAGTAGAGTCATAAGGAATACATGAGTTATGGATAGAGCTAAGAGGATGAGCTTTATTTTTATTTCTTCTTCTTATTTGAGACAGGGTCTCACTCTGTTGCCCAGGCTGGAGGGCAGTGGTGCAATCATGGCTCACTGCAGTCTCAACCTCCATAGGCTTAGTGACCCTTTCACTTCAGCCTTTAAGTAGCTGGAACTATAGGTGCATACTACCACACCTGGCTAACTTTTGTATTTTTTGTAGAGTTGGGATTTCATCATTTTTCCTAGGCTGGTCTCGAACTCCTGGATGGAAGTGATCCCCTCGCCTTGACCTCCCAAAGTGTTGCAATTACAGGCATGAGCCACTGCGACCAGCTGAGGATGAGCTTTAAAATAAAACATGTTTGCGTTCGAGATTCAGCTCTGCCACCTACTAGCTGTGTGGCCTCGGACAGGTGAGGTAACTTTTCTGAGCCCCAGTTTCACCATCTTCAACATGAAGGTAACAACAGATTCTATCCAAGTCAATTTGATAAAAGTCAATTTACTGAAAGCCAATCCTCTGAAAATCAGAACATTCTTTAAAATGCTGGATTCACAGTTAAAACTAATAAACCAAAATACTGCAGAATTCTTTAAAACCTGTTTAAGCTTCCACCTAATAAAGGTTACTATAAATTCTGCAGTTAAATGATTTTGAGAAATTTGACCAATTGGTCATTCCATAAATGGCCACTTAGCAATTGACTTTTGGTTAGCTGGCTTGAGAGTGACACAGTGTTTTGGGCTGTTATAAGCATTAAATAAAATAATGCATGCAGCACTTAGCAGAACTTCTGACATGTTAATAAATATTCATCATTATTATTATAAACTTTCAAGAAACCTTAGGCAAACAGTAATCACAGATCCCAGATTGCTACAGCTGGAATGGAATCTGAAGTATTATTCTGTCTACTGATCAAGTAGTCTACTTATGAAGAGATGTTTGTGTGTATATTTATTTATGTGCATGTATGTTGATGTGGTTGGCTGTGTCCCAATGCAAATCTCATCTTGAATTGTAGCTCCCATGATTCCCACGTGTTGTGAGAACTCAGTGGGAGATAATTGAATCATGGGGGCAGATTCCCCCCCATACTGTTCTCATGGTAGTGACTGAGTCCCACGAGAGCTGATGGTTTTATAAGGGGAAACCCCTTTCTCTTGATTCTCATTTTCTCTTTGCTGGCTGCAAAGAGAGATTAGGGTGTCCCTTTCTCTTCCTTCATCTTCCACCATGATTGTGAGGCCTCCCCAGTCATGTGGAACTGTGAGTCCATTAAACCTCTTTCTTCTATAAATTGCCCAGTCTTGGGTATGTCTCTCTCAGCAGCATGAACATGGACTAATATACATATGCTATCAAAATCTGGTTTAGGAGTGGGGATGCATGTTTGGGCATATATTTGCAAAGGTATAAATGCAATCAATTTGACATTGAAAATCACTGAGACAGGGTCCCACTCTATTGCCCAAGGTCCCACAGAGACTGCTGTTTGAACAAAGTTACTTCCAGGCTACTGAGATGACATAATCCTTTTTTTCTGTTTTGAGACAGACTTTCACTCTTACTGCCCACGCTGGAGTGCAATGGCATGATCTCGGCTCACTGCAACCTCTGCCTCCCAAGTTCAATCAATTCTCCTACTTCAGCCTCCCGAGTAGGTGGGATTACAGGTGCCTGCCACTACGCCTGGTTGATTTTTTAAAAAGATATTTTTAGTAGAGACAGGATTTCACCATGTTGGCCAGGCTGGTTTTGAACTCCTGACCTCAAGTGATCCACCTGCCTCCACCTCCCAAAGTGCTGGGATTACAGGCGGGAGCCACCATGCCTGAACTGAAATGACATAATTCTTGAGCTCTGGGGTGTTGGGAGGGCACTGAGAAACGTACTTACTCAGAAAGCTTTGACTCAAAGTAGTGGATGATCTGGGTGGAGAAACGTATTTTCTGCACGACATTGGTGCCCTCCTCCCTGAAGAAGCAAAGCCTTATGAGGGGGTCTCATAAGGGCCCAGGGAGCTGCATGTGTCACTGCAGCTGTAGGGGTATGGGGAACAGCTTCAAACTTACAGCACTGCTGTGCCCTGGCTTATCAGGTCAGCCAAGGTGAGTTTCTGACACTTTAAACTGTGAGCTGAAAGCCAGTCTTCAGAGTCCTCCCAATCTGAAGACTGGGTCTCGCTCCCCTGCAGCCTCTGCAAGATAAAAACCAGAGTCAGAGAAGTGGAAAGACAGGGAAGGAAGAGGACACCCTAGGTTCCCTTCACATAGATACCCAATGGGTGCCAACTTGGACTCAGCCTATCTTTTTTAGTTTGTTTTTTCTTTTGACATGGAGTTGCTCTTCTTACCCAGGCTGGAGTGCAGTGGCATGGTCTTGGCTCACTGCAACCTCTGCCTTCTGGGTTCAAGCAATTCTCCTGCCTCAGCCTCCCAAGTAGCTGGGATTACAAGTGTGTGCCACCATACTCGGCTAATTTTTGGATTTTTATTAATAGAGATGGGGTTTTGGGATTTTGGCCAGGCTGGTCTCGAACTCCTGACCTCAAGTGATCCACCTGCCTTGACCTTCCAAAGTGCTGGGATTACAGGCATGAGCCACCACACCCGGCCTCCTGGTTTGTTTGTTTTAGAGACAGGGTCTTGCTCTGTCACCCAGGCTGGAGTTCTGTGGTGTAATCATAGCTCACTGCAGCTTCAAAGTTCTGGTCTCAAGTGACCTTGCCTTAAGTTCTATGCCTGAGGCCTGCTCTTCCCTCTGTCTCAAAGGGAAATTAGCAAGCGTTGAAGTGTGAAAAACACTCTCATAATTACTGCAAACACTTAGATAGCACTTATTACATGTTAAGCATTTTCCGTATATTAACTCATTTAATTTTACAAAGTAGGTTCCGTTATGATCACTCTATCTAGCTGACCAGGGAACTGAGGTACAGATAATTGAGGCAATCAGTCCAAGGTCATCAGGCTAAAAAGTGGCAGATGTGGAATTCAAACCCAGGCTATAAAGCTCAAGTCACACTTCTAACTGTGGCACTATGTTGTCCCTCTAAGCTAGAACCAAACTGTGACCATCCCCATGAAGGAGTGAGAGGATTGACGGGCAAGATTACTTTCTCATTATGTGATTCTGTGCTAACAGATGTCCTGCCCTTGAAAGGCACCACCTAACATCATAGGTTGGTATCGCATAGCTAGGGAAACACTGCTCTCTGTCTCATGAACACTAGATGTCACTCTTCTCGCCTGTCAGACTCAACCATCTTCCTGGTTGGAAACACTGAGCATGTTAGATCTTTTTTTTCTTTTGAGACAGGGTCTCACTTTATTGCCCAGGTTGGAGTGCAGTGCCACAATCTCAGCTCACTGCAGCCTCGCCCTCCCAGGCTCAAGTGATCCTCCTTCCTCGGCTTCCCGAGTAACTGGGACTATAGGCACATGATGCCACATCTCGCTAATTTGTGTATTTTTTTGTGGAAACAGATTTTCACCAGATTGCCCGGACTGGCCTCAAACTCCTGGACTCAAGCCATCCTCCCATCTAGGCCTCCCAAAGTGCTGAGATTATAGTTGTGAGCCACTGTGCTTGGTGAGCACGGTAGACTTAATAATTCACCTTTCTTCCAGCTTTGTTGCCTTTGAAATGATGTTTTAGGACACAGATTTTGTATTATTCATACTTGAAGATACACTATTAAACACATTATAGATTTTGACTTTAGGCCATGCTGATTCTGTAACTCAACTAGTCCCTTTGCATAGAGAACGGTAAGATTTTCGTGTTGGAGCAATCCTTTCCCTTTCCTTCAGGTTCATCTGCAAGGCAAAGGAGGCTCCAGCTGTGGCTGATAAATACAAGAATGATCCTGCACACACCTGGAAAGTCATGCATTTTGATATAAAATTAGAGGAAAGTTCATCAACATCTGAACTCATTACAGAACCTCTTCAGAATCTCAAAACTCTGTCGCCCTTTCCTCATCTCCTTTAATTAAACTTGCTTTCCTGTAAATGCCAGAACTTAAGGAAATCATGAGCATTTTTCTGATCATTTAGTCGCCAGTATTATGACTGTCTTGTTTTTTACTGTCATTTCAAAGTCATCATATTTAAACTCTAGGGTGGATGAGGCACATGGTTGTGCACTAGCCTTGCTTGAACGTGGCAACCAGGGATTGCCACTGTTTCCATGGTAGAATGAGTTCTGGGTTCTAGACAATCCACTCGCCCTCTTGGGAAGGCGCATTGAAGGTCAGTCTAAAATCTTAGTTTGGTTAGAGGTTCATTCTCCTACCACACCCCTTTTGCTCCAATAGCACTTCCTGAAACGGATTCCTGAATCTAGAGTTCAGGGAACCTCAAAGGCAAAGCAAATCTCAGGAAGGGCACTTTCAGAATCAAATGCCTTAGACTTCAGGCCTCGATAACATGATCAGAGTCTTCACATACTCCTGAATATTTAGTGACATGGCAAATAGGCTATAAAATTTCTATAAACACTATAGAGATTCTTCAGTCATTTCTAAAGGCAGAGGATTAGAGATCAATGCTTAATTAATCCTTTTTCAGTCCTAGGATCCTATGAGAAGAAGGAAATCCCCAGAATTTGACACATTCTGCGTTCCCTGAATGACTTGTAGTATCACGACCCAGTTAAAGTGCCTTACACGGTCTTTACCAGTAAGTCCTGTGTCTGGTTAACATGTGTAACCAGTAATCCATTGTCCGAATTTTGACCAAGTCCATCCATGTTCTTCTGGTTTAGTGGCTTCTTTGAATCTCTGCCAGTGTTTCTCCAATGCTACAAAACATAAAGTGATCTAATTAATGCCTCAGCACTGGGCATCGGTTTGACACCCCCCAGTGCCTCCTCTCTTTACCCTAGTTCCTACGAGGATTCTAGAAACATTTTTTTTTCTGTGCAGTAACTGAGAAAGGTTCCTGCAGAGTCCTGATAAAATGTGGACTCCAGTTTTATGAGATATTTTATTATTTAGATAACTAAAGCCCTCAGGTAGCTATAAGAAGAGTCAATGACCATTTAGCCAGTCTCGCCCTCAGCTCCCATGAGCAAAATGCTGTTGCTGTTTTCATTAGCAAAATCAGAGAACTATGCTTACCAGTGGTTTTCCAGAAACATATTTTCTTGACCATGGAAGACAGGACTAGTTTGTATAGCCATTACAAAAGCACCCAATGCTTATTTTCCTAAAGAAGAAAAGAACACTGCCAGGCATGGTGGCTCACACCTGTAATCCTAGAACTTTGGGAGGCAGAGGCGGGCGGATCACTTGAGGTCAGGAGTTAGAGACCAGCCCGGCCAACATGGTGAAACCTCGTCTCTACTAAAAATACAAAACTTAGGCAGGTGTGTCGGCACATGCCTGTAATCCCAACTACTCGGGAGGCTGAGGCAGGAGAATTGCTTGAACCTAGGAGGCAGAGGTTGCAGTGGGCCTCAAGATAGCACTGTTGCACTCCAGCCTGGGCGAAAAAGCGAGACTCCATCATAGAGACGGGGTCTCACTATGTTGCTTTGAATGGTCTTGAACTCTTGGGCTCAAGTGATCCTCCCATCTAGACTGGGATTAGAGGTGTGAGTCACCATGCCCAGCCATTTTTAAAATCTTACAGACAAGGTCTTCCTCTGTGACCTAGGCTGGCGTAAAGTGCTGCAAATGTAACTCCTTAGCCTCCCTAAATCATGGGATTATAGGAGTGACCCACTCTGCCCAGCCAACCCTTCTTTAATTCATTCAACAAATACTTATTGAATACCTGCCAGGTATCAGGCACTGTGTTTGGTGCTTAGGATACAATGGTGAATGAGATAAAGCCTTCTCAATGTCAACATTTTGACTCTTGGAGGGGATCGTTCTTTGCTGTGGAGGTCGTCCTATGCGTTGGAGTTTGTTTAGCAGCATCCTGGCCTCTACCTATGAGCTCTCGGTAGCATCCCTCCTCACTTTTTCCCAATGTGACAACCGGAAATGTCTCCAGACCATTGCTCAATGTCTCATGGACAGCAAAACTGTCCCTAGTTGTGAACCGCTAAGATAGACATTATCCTTGTCCTCCAGTGCTTGTGTTCTAGAGGGGAAGACTGATATTAAAACATTAAATAAGATAATTACAAATTGTGGAAAGTGCTGAAGGAAGTAAAAGGATGATAGAATGCAAACACGGGGCCAGGCACGGTAGCTCACACCTGTAATCCCAGCACTTCAGGAGGCTGAGGCAGGAGGTTCACTTGAGGCCAGGAGTTCGAGACCAGCCTGGGAAACTCAGCGAGACTCCATCTCAAAAAACAAAATAAAGATATATTAGCCAGATGTGGTAGTATGTGCCTGAAGTCCCAGCTATTTGGAAGGCTGAGGCAGGAGGATCTCTTGAGATCAGGAGTTCAAGGCTGCAGCGAACTACGATCATGCCACTGCACCCAATCCTGGGTGACAGAGGGAGATCCTGTCTCTAAAAACTAAACAAAAATCCACATCAAAATCTAATGCGACACCTGCTTTTCTCTCTCCTGCTTAAAACTGATCAAAGCCTTCTCTTGATTTCTAGGGTGGAGACTGAGATCCCTCAGATTGCACCTGAGGACCCCAGGGTCGGGCTGCTCTCACCTACCCCTGTAGATTTCCCTCTTCACCACTGCCCGCGTCTGTGTTCCACAAGGGCCTCCCTTTCCAGTTCCTGGAATTATCTATAGTTCCTGTAACCACAGGGCCTTTTCATGTGCTGCTGTCTTTGCTCTGGAGCATTCTTCTCCTTCTCCCCTACCCTTGACATTTCAGCTCAAATATCACTTCCTCCGGGAAATCTCCAGCATCCCATTCTATATCAGGTTCCTTTGTTTTATACAGACTTTCATAGAACTGTGCTTTTTTAGGGCACATATCTTAATTTGGAATCATACATTCACTAGCGGGATTTTAAAAAACTTGTGTGTCTCCCGCTTACATGATAATTTACATGAGAGCAGGGACTGGCAAATACTCAATAAATATTTTGAAGGGAATGTGAAGGGCCAGAAGAAGGGGAGAGACTGCATTGTTGTTGTTGTTTTTTTTTTTGAGATGGAGTCTCGCTTTTGTCACCCAGGCTGGAGTGCAGTGGTGTGATCTCGGCTCACTGCAACCTCCACCTCCTGGGTTCAAGTGATTCTCTTGCCTCAGCCTCCCACATAGCTGGGATTACAGGCACCTGCCACCATGCCTCGCTGATTTTTGTATTTTTAGTAGAGATGGGGTTTTACCATGTTGGCCATGCTGGTCTCAAACTCTTGACCTCGGGTGATCCGCCCACCTTGGCGTCCCAAAGTGCTGTGATTATAGGTGTGAGCCACCACACTCAGCCTGCCTTGTTTCTTGAATTTCTAATTATATATCTTAGGGATGTGTGGGACCTGACTTTCTGCTCTTGGGTTCCATGAGATATCCGGTTTCTTAGAATTCTCTACCTTTTTTTTGATTTAGCTAGCTCCTTTAGCTTTCTGCTCTTTGCAACCAAAAAAATACCAGCTAAGACACAGCAAGCAAGAGACTCTGAATAAAGTTGCAGCTTCCACATTAGAGTGTGTGTTCTTGTGAAATCATTAAATTAAATTAAATAATGGTTCAGCAACTTGCTTTTCTCTTTCAGGTCTTTAATCTTTTGTTCAGAGGATGCTTTGTTTTCTGGGAAGCACCAGGATAATATGGCAATGCTTAAAAAAAAAACCGACTTTACTTCAGCAAGCTTTTCTGAGACTCTAATGGCAGAGACCGTTGAAATACAAATGCCTCATGAACACTGGCTGCCCCGTAGTGTCTCACTTCCCTCTTTCCAGCCAGTGATTAATAGCTTTCCATGAATTCAGAGGACTGTACGACTAGATTTTGGGGTGAGTGGTGCAGGCTGATGGAGAAGGGGTTGAACTGCATAAAAATAACAACAAAATGGTGCACCAGAGAGAGCACAAGGCCGGGTACGGTGGCTCACGCCTGCAATCCCAGCACATTGGGAAACCGAGGCAGGGGAATTGCTTGAGCCCAGGAGTTCGAGATTAGCCTAGCTAATTTAGGGAGATCGCATCTCTAAAAAAAACAAAAGTACTAAAATTAGTTGGGTATGATGGTGTGCACCTGTAGTCCCAGCTACTAGGGAGGATGGGGTGGGAGGATCAATTGAGCCCAGGAGGTTGAGGCTGCAGTGAGCTGTGATTGCATTGCTGCACTCCAACCTGGGTAACCAAGTAAGAGTCTGTCTCAAACAAACAAAGAGTACTGAATCTTTGGTTTCTTCATCTTTAGAATGGGATGGGGATAACAGTAACTGACTTGCCTTCTTCAATGCCGTCATCAAGAGGATCAAATGAAATTGAGAAAGTAGAAATGCTTTGTGAAATATGAAGTACTATAAACGTAGAATCCCATAAAACATGGGCTGCATCTTCAGGCACTTCAGCATATGACATGAAAACAACCATGTGTTTCATGAACATGTATAGGGCGTTCACTGTGTGCCAGAGAGAACGGGTGATGGGGAGACAGATATGAACAGGACACAGCCCTTTCCCTCAGGCCTTTGCTCAAATGAAATCTTATTAGAGAGGTGAGTACCTTAACTCAAACAGCACCTCCTCCACCTGGCTTTATCTTTCCCCACAGCGTGTTTCACTACATATATTCTCTTATTTACTTATAAGTAAATAAGTCTCTACTGAAAATGCAAAAAATTAGCCAGGCGTGGTGGCAGGAGCCTGTAATCCCAGCTATGTGGGAGGCTGAGGCAGAAGAATCACTTGAACCTGGGGGATGGAGGTTGCAGTGAGCTGAGATTGCACTACTGTATTCCAGCCTGTGTGACAGAGTGAGACTCTGTCTCAAAAAATAAAATAAACTTCAGGTAACTTTCTGGCTTATTAACAGCTGGATCTAGGATTCTCCTGAATGCATTTTTTTGGGTCTCACAGCGTCTCACTCTGTTGCCCAGGCTGGAGTGCAGTGGCATGAGCATGGCTCCTGGGCTCAAGTGATCCTCATACCTCAGCCTCATGTGTAGCTGGGACCACAGGCTCATGTCACCATGCCCGGCTAATTTTTTGACTTTCTGTAGAGATGGTGAGGGGTGGTGTCTCACTCTGTTGTCCAGGCTGGTCTTCTTGAACTCCTGGTCTCAAGCAATCCTCCTGCCTCAGTGCTAGGATTACAGGGATGAACTCTGTGCACAGCTTTCTTCTAAATATTAATCCAGGATAAAGCTATGCCCAGGGTTTGTATTTTTTACTGCAAATGACCTCTACTCTTGCCTCCACCCAATCTATTCTAGAATGCTGCCAGAATGATTTTCCCAGCATGCAGAACTGTCCATTTCTCTAACCCCACCATGGCTCCTCAGAGCCCTAGGACAATTAAGTTGGACTTTTTTGGCAAGGCAATTATTCCTTCAGGATCCACTCCTCTCTACCTCATCTCTCAGCCTTCCCTGATCCTGGGCAACCCCTACAAACACACCTTACTATTTCATACGCCGCTTTGCTCAAACTTTGCCCCTTTTGTCTGACAAGAAAACTCAAGGAGTCTTTCCTGAACCCCACTCGCTGTCCCCAACCATCAAGGGGGAAACCATCCCTCCTGTGGAAGTCCTCCTGTCTCTGAGCCTTCAGTTTGTCATATGGAGTTGTAATGGCCTATCTCCAAGACTGGCTCTATGACTTCCTTGTCTACTGGCACCGCCAGCACTTAGTCCAATGTAGGCATGTAGGGAGTGGATGCTTCACACCCCAGGCTCCCTCAATCTTCTCACTCAGTCCAGAGCGTAGGATCTGGGCCTCCCTGACCCCTCTGTTACCACCCCTGACCACCCTTGCGATGCTCACCCTCACCTGATTTCTTCATTTATTTCTCCTCCTCTGGGAGAGGGGCCCCTGACATTCCACGGCCTTCCTTGCTTCTTCTGGTTCACACTTCTGGTTTCTCCAAGCTCCTCCAAGCAACTCAGCAGTGAAGCTTGCCCTGCGGGGATGTGTTAGCTGGTCTCCAAGGTAACAGACTGCACCACTGCAGCTTGGGGCAGGGAAAGGGAAAACTTTCCTCACCCCAGGGAAGAAGTCACTGCTGTATTGTTGATAACCACCTCTCCCAGGCCACTCTGCTTTTCTCCACCCTCACAAAAACCTGGAAGCAGGATTTAGGCCTCTTTTCTAATTTCGGAACCTCTCAGGGCAGAACTATGGTTTATGCCAGTAGAGCCCCCGTGACTGTGGCCTTCCTATGGTAGGAACTGAGGAAGGATTCCAGAGAACTCTGCTATGTGTGTGAAATGTGGTGACTCTCTTCCTCCTCAGACACTCAGGGGTCCCCTGAACACATTTCCTGGGAGAGATCAGACAGTCCCCATTCCTACCAGGTCCAGTCCCACCTAAACCTGATAATACAGCCAAGCTCAGTGACCTCTTCGCATCAGAAGAGATCATCTGCCACAGTGGTTCCTAAGCCCTACACCCATGAGAATCACCTGGATTGTTTGCTAAGAAAACATTCTAATTCAGGAGATTGATTCAGAACTGTGAAAAGCTGTGGGAATGTGAATGTTTAACAACGGCCCCAGGTGATTATGATGTACTAGTCCTTGGTCCACAGCTGGAACCTCTCTCACCCCTTCCTTTTATAGTGGTCAAGAGAGACGAAGGGATGTACCCGGTCAACCAACTTGTAAGTCGCTTAAGGATCTGCACTTAGTTTTTCGTATTCAGGTAATTTCTCAAATTAGTTTCACTTTCTGAGAATTTTGTAAGTTTTATAAACTTTTAAGTTTTGTAAGTTAGAACATGAGGTTGGGTGGTGGCTCATGTCTGTAATCCCAGCACTTTGGGAGGCCAAGGTGGGAGGATTGCTTGAAGCCAGAAATTTGAGATCAGCTTGGGCAACACAGTGAAACTCTGTCTCTACAAAAATAAAATAAAAATTAGTGGGGTGCAGTGGCTTGTGCCTATAGTCCCAGCTACTTGGAAGGCTGAGGTGGGAGGATCACTTGAGCCCAAGAATTCAAGGCTACAGTGAGCTATGATCCACCATTGCACTCCAGCCTGGGCTACAGAGCAGGACCCTGTCTCAAAAACAAAATAAAAATAAAAAATATAAATAAAAAAAGAACATATGAAACCTGTGGCAGTAATCATAAGGAAGGGAACTCCTTCAGAAGCTGACCCCAGCAGCTGTGCCTATGGCCAGGTCAGAAACAATCAATGTCCTCAAAATAGAAACTGCTTATCAGCCACTGGTCACTGGGCAGAGTAATCAGGGGTCGAGAGCTCCACGTATAAGTCCACGGCATTTGTTATGTGGCCAGCACCAACAAGGCAGAAAATGAGGAATATCAGAAAGAGGTAAGGAGGTCACAAGGGGCCGTGAGCCACCAATGGCTACTCTGTGAACAAGAGATGAGGGTCCTTGTGCCAACCTTGATGGAAATTTTGGGTGGAAGGGGCTGGCTTGCTTTGACATAGCACTTTTTGTAGACATGGGAGCTCCAGTCTACCTTTCTTTGCTTCCTGGATACATGGGTTTTCAGCACCGAGCATAGCAGTCAAGCCCAACACCAGAACCTCTGTTTCTGCTTTATTCTACTTGAGCCTACGCGACACACACATTCTGGATAGATCTCTGCCAGGTGGATAAAGCAGAGTAAGGCTTTCAGGGTGTATGACCCATCAAGAGGAAATCTGTGTGGGTACCATCTTTCTTGGCTCCCCTCAGGATGCAGATCATGATGGCAGCTACGGAAAGCGTCAGACCACAACAGGCATTTCTCCCACCATCGGCTCTTGAAAATGGTTCAGGGTCAACTCATCTCTGGTCTTTTATTTAGGAGCTCTAGCCTGGTCCCATTCCCCAGGAGTATGGTGGGATATATATTTCAGATATTAATTTGTGTTTTGCTTTCTTTTTTCCTCCATTTCAAACCAGGAGCAGGTGCTTTTGGTTGGGTTGAGAAGCAGTAGCCTGAAGTAACTGTTTTTTCGGTCTTTTGTAAAAGCCCAAGCTAAGGAAAAGATTAAAGTGACATGCCAAAGCAGGGGAGGTGAGGAATGTGTTTAATGCCATGAGGAAAGTGGGAGTGTAAAGATTATTTCAGTTAAAAGAGACAGAAACCCAACTCAAACCGGTTTAAGGAAAAAGGGGAATTTATTTGCTTAAATAACACAAGAATCCAGGGATAGTTGTGGCTTCAGGTATGACTTGATCCAAAAGCTAAAGTGATGTTAGCAGAACTGTCTTCCTTTCTCAGCTTCCTTTCTTCCAGGATGGCTTGGTCAGGAGGCTCCTCAGGTGTGGCTGCCAGCAGTACCAAACGCTTCCCCTACAACTTAGCAACTCAGAGAAGAACACCTCTGTCCAGGAGTTCCAGCAAAGTCCCAGGCTGGTAACATGCCATGCTAATTTCTGAACCTGTCACTATGACTCCAGCCAAGCATGGCTGCTGTGTTGAGCTCTGAGGCCAGAAGGTGAAATTGGCCCCATGAAACCACATGGCCTAAAGGTAGGAAAAAAGCGATTTTCCAATAAGGAGGATGCTTTTTTTGAAACCAAAGGGACTGTGGTACTAGGCAAACATACCTCTCAGGAAAGCCAAAGAGGAGATGGTATTCTCTCAGACAGATTTTTAAAAATCAGAGATCTAAAAATCAGAGGAAGTAGAGACTTGTTCCGTGTTTGGTAGCAATACTTTGGTAAGATGGTAATATCTAAGAGAAAATGGGTCATGGTGCATTCAGGGAAGAGCCCACAGATGCAGGAGTCCCCAGCTCACCAAAGTTTATCATTCCCCAAGTGTGAGATGAGCACAGTAAAACTATTACCTCATTTAGTCTGGGACAATTGATGTCTCAGCAGTAATGTGTAGACAGATGATCAACTAATGGGTGGCTGGGGTGGGGCCTCCAAACGTTTGAACCATGGACTCTCTGCACAACTTGGAGTACCCCAATAACCAATAAATTCCTACCAACCCGATAGAAGGGATCCAGTTGAGTTTTAAGTGCTTTGGTGTAGGGGTGAGGAGCAGCTGGTTTGGGAAAATTTCCCAAGGTGCTGAAATCCTGAAAGGGCTCGAACAAAACCAATGCCCTCATCTAGCTTCATCCATCAAGGGAGTCAGCACTATAAAATACCAGTGGGTTGGGGCATGGTGGCTCATGCCTGTAATCCCAGCACCTTTGGAGGTTGAGGCGGGAGGACTGCTTGAGGCCAGGAGTTCGGGACCAGCCTGGAAAACAAAGTGAGACCCTGTCTCTACAAAAAATTTTAAAATTAGCCAGAAATGGTGGTGCGTGCCTGTGGTCCCAGCTACTCGGGAGACCGAGGTGGGAGGATGGTGGCCCAGGAGGTCCAGGCTGCAGCGAACAGGCAAAAACCCAAACCCAAACCCAAAGCTACTGAACACTGATTACAAAGAGAAAGCTCAACAGTGAGAGGGGAATGATGGAAGATTAGACACAAACAACTTAATAAGTGGGAGGTTTTTCTTACAGTTTTTTTCCTCAACAAAGTGGAAAATGTTTCTAAATAGGGACCACCTTTGATGGTTGTTTGCATTCCACATCCAGAAGCAGCAAACCATAGAATTAGCTGCTCATGTTTGAGCCAAGGAATCATGCAAGCAGGACAAGCTATTTTTATTCCCTTCAGGCCAGCCACACTGGATGCAGGACAGCAGGAGTCCTAGATCTGAAGTCAGGGAGTCTGGGTGTGAAACCCAGATGCACCAGTTGCTAGTTACAAAAGCTTGAGTGAGGTGTTCAGCCTTTTGATCCTTAGTAGTCTATAAAATATCACCCTGTACTTCACAGGTAGAGGATTAAGATGACATACGGGAAAGCACATACATGGATTTACTGTTAGTTTCTTTCTTTAAATGTAGAGAATGCCACTATTATTTAACCACAGTGCTTTTGAAAATAGGAATTCCTTTAATAGTTGATATGCTTCAGTTAGAATGTCAGGTTATTATGACATTTGAGAAGTTTTTGTCATGCAAGGCCTAAGTTCATGGCAGCATAATCCGTAATAACAAAAATCTGGAAGCAACCTTATGTACATCAAAATGGGAAGATATATATTTATTTGATATATGTCAAATGGAATACTATGTAGTCATTTAAAATAAGGAAGTGCTACATTTACTAACACAGAAAAATTTACAACACAAATTAAGTCATAAAAGAAAGCCAGCTGGGTGCGGTGGCATGCCTGTAATCCCAGTACTTTGGGAGGCTGAGGCGGGTGGATCATCTGAGGTCAGGAATTCAAACCAGACTGGCCAACATGGCGAAATCCCGTCTCTACTAAAAATATTTAAAAATTCGCTGGGTGTGGTGGCATGTGCTTATAATCCCAGCTACTCTGGAGGCTGAAGCGGAAGAATTGCTTGAACCCGGGAGACGGAGATTGCAGTGAGCCAAGATCGCCCCACTGCACACCAGCCTGGGTGACAGAGGGAGACTCCGTCTCAAAAAAAAGAAAAAAAGTCATTGGGGATGGTGGCTCATGTCGTAATCCCAGCACTTTGGGAGGCTGAGGCAGGAGGAGACTTGGAGATGAGCCTGGCCAACATACTGAGACTCCTATCTCTACTAATTTTTTTTTTTTTTTACATTAGCAGGGCATGGTGGCATGCACCTGTAGTCCCAGCTACTTGGGAGGCTGGAGTGGGTGAATGGCTTGAGCCCAGGAGCTTGATGCTGCAGTGAGCTAGGATCATGGCACTGCATTACAGGTATAGATAATATCTTGCTTTTGTTAAAATGATCAGGAAAACGTCTGTTAAAACACCCAATTAACTGTTTAACAATGGTTATCTCTGGAAGGTGGATTGTGGAAGAGGGAACTTTTTGTTTCCTATTTTTTTAAAAAAAATTTACAGATATATGTTATTGTAAAAAGAAAATCCTTTTGTCCCAGTTCGGTGTCATAATTTCTTTCTCCACAATAGTACTTAAGGCAGGAAAAAGCTACTGATAACCCTGAAGCAGAAATGAGGTGAAGTATTGGAGTGGTGCGTGTAAGGGTGGGACTGCACCTCGTAAGTCCAGTTTGCTGCTTACTACCTTCCTTAGTAAAATATTTAGATGAGGTAGTCAAAAGCCTTCTTAGATACGTGGGTTTTTAAAGAGCAACTTATTATGGAAAATGGAAAGGATGTTGATTGTTCAACTGTCTTTGCATTTGTCATAGAGAACAAAGCAATAGAAAAGAATGAGAGTTTTCATGTTATTATTTAAGAAAATACCTGAGTTGCCTTAGACAACTAATATTAAATACTTAAACAACATGAGATAGAGTGCCAAAGGTCAGAACATAGTATTTACTTCACTGGCCTTGCCCTGGCGGATAATGAATGGGGACTGATTTAATAGTGGCCAAATTCACTAGGCCATATTCACTAAAGTGCTATACAATGGCCAGTTAGGGACAACTGTGTCTAAAATGAGATCAAATCCTTGAGTCCATTCCTTTTAGCAGAAATTATTACAACCATCTTGGCAGGACCAAGTCTTTGCAAAACATGTCAAATGGATGGATGGCTTCATGACAGCAGAGAACCCACAAGCTTGAAGAGGCCTCCAGAGAGTTCACTCAGGATCAATGGGGTGCTGGCATCACCCTGGTCCTCTCTGTACAGTATCAGCGTCACAGCCCTGTGAGTTCAGTAGTAAAGGATCTGGAGTCCACAGGGGACTCCTAAGGAGGTCAATGGAATTGACATATAATGTAGCCAAATACTTAACAATAAGGTAACCATCCTTATAAAGGCTGACTTAGGCAAGTCTCTGCCTTCAGGACGAAGTTCACTGAAACAAACCTGGTAAATCGATGACTGTCTTTCAAGTCTCCAGGAAATATGGTTTCATAATTTTCCTTTAAAACCTAGCCCCAACTTTTCAATGTGTAAAGCATTGTGCCAGGTCTCTAGGGAGTACACAATGAGGAAGCCATATTCTTTGCATTCAAGCATTTATATAGTTATACAAAAGCACTTACTAATGACAATATGAGCAACTAACCTTTGAATGCTTACAACTTTGTTTCCTTTAAACCAACAATAGCCCCATTGGGTGGGTACTATTATTAGTCTCATTCTAAAACCAAGGCTCACGTAAGTTACACAATTTACTAAGGGTCACACAGTTGGAATGGTGGAACTGAGATTTAATCCAGGCAGTTGATTCCTGCTTAGCAAGTTCTGTTACAGAAGCATAAGCAAGAGAGACACAAAGCACAAAAGATTAGATATATTTCAAATATGGGATGATTTTAAAACTGAGAGGAGGTGGTACAGACACAGCCAGGGCCAGGAGCAGCTGGCAGTGAATGGAGAATGGAGAACAGGCTGGTTGTCAGTACAAAGTGAAGAGAGAGAAGTGGGAAATAAGACTGAACAGAGAGCCTGAAGTCAGATCACGAAAGGTTGTCAGAGCTATGCTAAAGGAGTTTGGATTTCTCTCTGTAGACAGCGGGAATGACATAAATGTGAACATGGAAATAATATGCTTTCTTTTGTGTTAAGAGTATTTTGGCAGAATTGATTTGGATGGATTGGAGTGAATGAAGATCAGCTGAAGGAAGACGGGTTCAATGGCTAGGGAATATGAATACTGGTCCTAAGTCCAAGGCCCACATGTCAAAGACATTCTTTCCTATGTAGAGTGCTCTGCTGAGATCTAGTTGGGTGACTTTGGCAAAGTCTGAGGCCTTGATTTCTTCACCTGGAAAATGAAAACATTGGACATGCCCTCTGACATTTCATCCAGCTCTAAAATTTTATAGTCTCTTGAAAAACCTCTTCTTGAATTGTTATCTTGGGTGGTCTTAGATTGTGTGTGACTGGAATTGGGGCTGATTTGTAAGAATGTGCTTGAAAATACCAACCCACAGTGTTTTCTTCTCCTGGGAAGAGAACCAAAACTCTTAAAAAATATACATTGTGCTTTCTATCTTTAACGCCATTTATAAATAACTACCTTTATTTTTGTTGCTGGGTAACTGTGACCCAGAAGAGTTGACTTTGCATAAAAGAAACCCCGAGTCCTCTAGTCCTGGTGTTTTTCCTATAATCTTCTCCTAGTGGCTAGAATAGAGATGATAGAAGAATGTTAAGTCCAAATAAGGTATTTTTGAACTTACGTTGTTGTTTTTAAAGCCACTGTGTTACCTTTTCCTAAGGTAGTACCAAATTTAAAAAGTGTTCCCTCCACCATAGCTCAGTATAAATCTACCATTATAATTTCCAATGGACTTACTCGTTAATGTTTATAGAAAATAACCTTCCCCAAACCTCCAACCTGTATTACAATAAGGATAAGATTTAGGTGGTGTGAAGACAGGGCAGGGCGACCAACTCACCCTAGTTTGCCTGGAACTCTCCCAGACATTGTACTTCAAGTCTCACCTCCAAGGAAACCCCTCAATCTTAGAGCCCAAGAACATCTAAAATCTTACCATGTCTTAATCCTCCAATTCCCCAAGAGGTTCCTGAAAAGGCCACACGAGGAAGAATCAGCAGCAACCTGTAAATATTTTATTATTAATTGTTATTGGGCTGGGCTGATCTTGACACCCCCACAGAGAGCTATAGTTAAGCTGTGATAGGGCACATGGCCCTCTGTATTTGCTCCTCTGATCCATACTTTAAGATCTTAAAAGCTAAGATCTTTTGGCCTGGAGTAAAGTAGAAACAGAAGACTGAAGCAAAGATGGACTTAGGTCTATGTGCAGGGAAGAAAGAAGAGAAAGATGGCTGGCTTGGGGGCTTTGGCTTGGTTCCTCTCTCCTAGCTCATGAAGCATGATGCAGAAGGGAGAGCCACATGTATATCATCTTTTATTGCTGAGTGACTCTTAGTGGTAAACGTGGCCTAATCCATGTCCTGGAATATTAATGGCATCTCTTCTCTAGTGATGAGCAAAGAGTGAGTGTGGAAGATAGGGAAGGACCGCCTTCACCCCCCAATGCCAACAACAAAACCAACCCAAAAGGCATGGAAGTGTCACTTTTGAATGTGTGAAACCTCTATAAGAAATCAATTTTTTAAATGAAGCTTATTTCAAAGTAATAGAAGCCTTTTTAGTTTCTTTAGTAGACAATTTATTTTGATAAACTTGCTCGATAACAAAAATACAAGTGAAGAAAATTATGTTCATTTTATACAGTTGTATTAACAATTTGTTTTGAAACTATTAATTGAAAAATGTTATAACCAATTAGAAAACAATCCTTAATAAAGTTTGGGATAATATACAGACCTTGATCACAAACTTCAAAATTTCTTGAGGTGATACAACTAAAAGTCCTGTGCAGGATCCTACCTACACGGGCCACTTGTTTCCTTCATGTTTTTATCCTTCAAAAATTTTCTGAAAGACAGGTTACTGTTTTGAATTGTGAATGTAAATTTAATTTTTTAAAGATTAAGTGGGTTGATAAAAGTTACTACAATCAGAGTAACTTGTGGCTAGTAGTCTTTTAATAAAGACAAAATAAATGCAACATGTTCTTCTCATGAAGCCCATGATGCAAAATAATAGCTAACAGTATATGCAAAGTTAGTTTCCAAATACTGTATTTTTCAGGGCCTTTCCTCTAAATCAACAGATTGTTTGTCACCAGGACTATTTATTATTTTCACTTAATAGATTAAACAGTGAATTCACAGAACATCAAGTGGGGATATCAAAGCTTCAGGCAAAAGGGTAAAAACCAATAGTGTTTTGGTCATCTCGAACATTAAAAAGAGCCATCCTTCAAAAACAAAACAAATGAAACAGAAAATAGGTTTATAAGAGGTGGAAGAGTCAGAAAAATTACATACACACATTAACAACATAGAACATGGATTACCTTTGGAAAGAATCATACTGAAACGTTTGCTTTTAATGAATTGAAGGTTTTTCATATTTATAGATGTTTAGGCATGTTCAATAGGAGCTTCCAAAAATTTCTAACTAATTCAGTCTTGTGCAAATAAAACCTAAAAATAGTTTTCAGCAGATTTTACAGTGATATTCTTAGGTATGAGAAGAATGCACACACTCTAAAAACAATGTAACAGACAAAAGTTTGACAAATGATTGCACCATAAAACAGTGTTTTATATACAGTTTACAAGATATGATTTCCTGCTATAAATTAATACTGTACTATATAGTACTTACTATAGTGACCTTTTTAAAAAGCAACTGCTGACAGTTGTCTATCTTTTCACTTATAGGATTTACAGAAATTTATACGAATGAGTCCATTTCAATGTCTGGTCTGAAAGAGTACAAAGACTTGACTTCACATACTACTTAATGGGATGGTTTAATCCTGGGTTAGAGCGCTAACTGGCTGGAGGGAGTTTTCCCCCATCAGCCCTGTACACACTGGACCTCCAAGACAATGATGTAATTAAAGACAATTTAATGGTTTGGGTAATAGATACAAATAAAACCTTAAATTTTGTAATCTTAAATGCAATGCCACCATAAGTGAAAGAAGTAAACAATGGGGAAATTCTTAGCAGCTGAGAAACTTTCTCTCCCCATGCTCATGATCCAGTTAAAAATATTTTGAGAAACTATTTACAATACAATTCATCTTTTGGAAGAGAAAAGCTCTTGGTCATATCATAAGTTAATTTGAACCATACTTTGCTAACACTTTCAGTGGTATATAATGGTAACAACCAAAGCTTTCCTTCAAAGTGATCCATTTGACTGAGGACCAATCAAATCACAATGGCAAGTGCAATCCCAAATGTCCACAGAACATGTCCAGTGGTATTCTTAGACTTGACTAGACATCATAATACTTGGGAAAAATAGTCTCCCTCAGGATCTCCCAAAGGTTTCTTTTACTTTGGGAAGGAAAAGTATGACATTCTCCCAGAACACTTAAGGAATGCACCACTGTGGTGGTCCATCTCTTTCCCCAGCTCGTGAGTGAGCTCAAACACTGGGGTTTTCTTTCACAATAAAATACTGCTGAATTAACAGTAAGATGGAAGACTGTCAAATGAGCCAGTGCGAAACATATCAAGCCCCTCCATTTCATAGTTTGAATATCTGAGGAGGTTGCCCCATCTCCGAAGTAATCATTCTATAATTGATAATCTGGCTCTTAAAAAACAGTGCATTCATTTCTGCTTGTGTGAAGCATAGGCCACACGGGACTCTACTGATAGGGACACTTGGGTCACCAGTTCACTATAAAGAGGAAAAACTTAGCTCCATTGCCATGAAACACCCTCCTGTCCCACATTTCAAACAGGAGATTTTCTATAGTGTTCACCAGGAAAAACAAGCATCGATGTGAAGGCATGGAAATGTGGAGAAGAGAAATACTGTATTTTAAAACTATTTTTGAGTTCAAGGGTTAGCTGCAATGCTTCTTTTAGGGAAAAACTTAAAGCTGTGGGTTTAGTACAGCCCTTTAAAGTAAATGTGAAAATATTACCTTTTAGCAAGCAAAGGCATATAACATAGAAAGAAAATATTGTATTGCTCAGGTTTTGGTAAAGATGTATTAATAATGCTTACAGATGTTAGTAATGAAATTAGTGTTTTAAATAGCCAAAATAGCCAGATATTTACTAGTGAACTTTCTATTTATGTAAAGTTGTGTGCTTGAACATATAAAATGCATTATTAATGTAACAGACTAAGCCAGTAGAAAAAGAATCTCTGTACAATAGACAACAGTTGCCAATAATTTAAATAGTGTCAGATTCCCCAAATTATAAGGTTTGACATGATCTTACCTTCTACTATCATGTACAAATAAATTAACCCTACGAAGAAGTTTTAGCTTAAATTAAAATTGCACCTAGAAAGGTATGGGATTATTTGTACCTATTAGAAAAACCTGTTAAAATCAAGGGCTGCTACAAAGAATGAGGTAAACTGAAGACTCTCTCCACTACGCAGCCTTCAGATAAATGGCTTTTTTTTTCTATTGAGTTCTAGGTTTGCACACCACAGTGTTTTGCTAGCAAAGCATTCAGAATTCTCTTCCAGGAACTGTTTGCATGTGTGTGTATATAAATGTACACACACATACACACACACATATATACACACTGTATACTGCATCAGCAAAATATATATATTATATATATTTATATAAATATAAGGAAGATTTCCCCCACCCACCCACCCAAAACATGTGTCTTAGTGATTTTCTTTTTTTTTTTTTTGTACACAGAGAAGAGGGAATTTCAGAATTTTTACATACATTTTAGCAAACAAGTTTTGATCTATTGGCTTCTTGGTGCAGTAATGCATCAGCAATCCATTCTGGTGCCAAAGGCTCATACTATTACAAGGAAGTTGTGAACACTCATTTCTTAGGAGGTGAGGCCAGCCCCACATGAACTTCTCTTGCATCCCTCTGGTCCACCATGATACATAAATACTTAGACCTTTTTTTTTTTCCACTAATGAATCATTAGACATTAAAAACGGAACAATAGAGTCACAAAGGGCCACATGCTTTTCAGTATAAAGCATTCTCCTTTTCTAGGTTGCTATCACAGTGCAGACCTGACTGCCTGAATATGCTCAGGAGATTTAGTCAATATTGTCTGTATTTGGTTATGGAAAAGGCTCTCCTTTTTTTTTTTTTTTTTTTTGTTTAATCCAAAGTGCATAGTGAGAACAAATGAAAGCATTTTTTTTCCTTCTCAGCATCAGTTTCATCTGAGCATCTTCCTATGAGAGGGTTGCTCAGATGTCTCACCTTTGTCCTCCCCACCCTCCAAAAATAAAAAAATAAAATAAAAAATAGTAAGAGTCAAGCAATTTAGACATTCATCAGCCTGGTAAACAAACTTTGCCAGCAAATAGAAGTCCTACTATTGTAAAGAAAATTGATAAGACAAAAAGTACATATGATGACCCAACCACTGTGTTGTTGGGTAATTTATAAGGTTGACCTCCGACTTCATTGATGTAAAATCCTATTGGAAATATTAGGGCAGCCATACAGAAAAGGATCACTGTAAAACAAACCAAAAAACAACATTAGTAACGAGGTTTGGGGATTTCAAAAAACAATGAAAATTTGGCACAAAGCAAGCTTATAAGAAGAGTTGGTCAAACCTGTTAAAACATGGGCCACTTGTCAAAAATTTGTATATATTACAGGTCACATAATATCCCTGAAGCCTAACAATACAATAAAAGCTAGGCTAGCCTTTTATGTAAGTTTTAGGACAATTCTGAACATCAGGATTAAGAAAGTCCTTCTTTAAACCTACTGAATCCTCACAAATATGATTCCTAGTCATTTACAACAGTAATTAAGGGCACTAGCTAGAGTCGGATAGGTGCTCAATTCCAGCTCTACTGCCTACTAGCTATATAATCTTAAGCCTCTGATTCCCTTCGGAAAATGGGTGAAATACTAGAAGGATAAATGTCTAGTCCCTGGCACAGTGCCAGGTAACAGTAAGTGCTGAATGAGTGCTGCATACCATTATCACCATAGTTACTATTCTGACAATTCTCTGTTCCTCTCCGTGTTAGTTAGAAGGAATTGGAGAAAAGGTACATATAAATAAGCACCATTTATCTTACTCTGATTTAAAATCAGCTAGTAGAGGCCGGACACAGTGGCTCATGCCTGTAATCCCATCACTTCGGGAGGCCAAGGCAGACAGATCACTTGAGGTGAGGAGTTTGAGACCAGTCTGGTCAACATGGTGAAATCCCATCTCTACTAATAATATAAAAATTAGCCAGGCATAGAGGCACATGCCTGTAATCCCAGCTATTTAGGAGGCTGAGGTAGGAGAATCGCTTGAACCTCGGAGGCGGAGGTTTGCGGTGAGCGGAGATTGCACCACTGCACTCCAGCCTGGGCAACAGAGTGAGATTCTGTCTCAATAAAACAGACAAATAAATAAAAAATAAAATCAGCTAGTAGAAAGAACCTCAGATCTCTGGAATGATTAGTAAATTGTCATAGTGGTTATCTTTTATCACGGATAATATTCCAAAACATAAAATCTCTGTCCTGTTTCTGAATACCCAGAGAGGTAGATTAAAGTCGGGGAGGGTGGGTAACCTTCTTTGAGTTTTGCATGTAAACATAAAGGAGTATATTATTTGCTAAAATGTTTCTAAAAAGATATCAGAAAACCCAGTGTCCAGGTAAAAATGATTCCATAGCTCAGTGTTTGAGCGAACAGCCTGCTCCCCTGTGCTACCAAGGAAATGCCCTTCTTAGCGAACACAAACTATTTACAGAGGCTACCTTTCCCAAGAAAATGTTTTTGCGTTTTGAAAGTGTATTGCTCAGATGTTCATTGCCCTTCAACTTTCTCTGGGGGCAGAAATATTTCTTCAGTGTGATGTGAGTATAAATTACTAGTCATTGTACATGAAGAGTTGAAACTTCCATTATTAACGGAATGAGAAACCTTCTCCAGGTGAAAACTATCCCCCAACAATGCTGACAGAGCCCTGGATAAACATTTCAGCTGACATTTGTCTCTATTTTTGTGTGTGTGTGTGTTAACCAATCAACAAAAAGTTCAGAGTTTTAAAAAAGTCAGTTAGGAGCCCTTTCCAGAAGAAATAACTCCAGCAATACAATGAAAAATAACATTTGCGTAAGTAAAACATCAGCTTAAGAAACAACAGCACTCTTGATTGCTTTGCACCATGTCGCTGTATTATTTTATATTACACAGACTTACAGCTTACTTCACTTTGGGCAAATGACCACACCAAATACTGTTACATGAGCAAACATGGCTTTTTTCAGATGCCCACTGTAGAACAAAGTAAAAAATTCAGGCATTACGTTTGAAAGCTTTTGGCCTTTTTGTTGCACAGTCAGCAGCAAATACCTATTAGTGTTGCCAATGCCCAGTTAGCAGTGTTGTCTGTCACCAGTTTCTGATGGTTCTACTGCTTAATATGGTCTGGTGAGTAAAATGAAACCAAAATATAGGTAGCTATACACAATCTAATTTAAAAAACAATGAGACAATATTATTGTTACAAAACAATTGTTTTTCTTAATGTTGACTAATCTCAAGAAACAAATAATTTAGAAAAGTACTTTAGGAATATGCAGATGTTAAATATGTTCACTGGGCTAACTTTGTTCCTATCATTTCCTATTTTCTACTGTAAAAAAGATCTATCCTTTATAATGGAGTAATACATTTGCAACTACAGAGTTTAATATTTTCCAAATTTGTTAGGAAAAAGCATAATCAAATTTTAAGGGAGCAAGGAAGCCCTATTTAATCTAATCTTAGATTAAATCCAAGGAAGCAGCTTCTCTATACTTCCTGGGGAGCAGATTTAATCCAGGTGGATGAGTTTTTCTTTTAAGCTGCTGTGAACATGAAGTTACTTTAGATCTTAAAATATTATTAATGCTAATAATATTAACCTTCGAAGACTGAGTTCTGGATCCTAAATAAGCTTGTAAAGACATAACTTCATACTCTCCATGGCACAGATTTCTTGGTGGCAAGAGTCAGAAATCAGGTGCACTGATAGATAAGGCTGGAAATCAGGGTGGCAAAGGAAAGGATAAGGGCCAGACTTGAAGAACAGACAACTCATCCTGGTTTCTCTTGCCCCTATAGGGAGCACGCATCATGTGGGGCTCTTTTCTGAGACATATTTCCCCACTGTGCAGGGCCATCAGAAAATATTATCCTCACGTTACTATAAAAAGTATAGCTTAACTAGAATAGAAATACATAAAATAAAGGACATTTTTCAGGGGTGGAGTGGAAACACTAGGGGGCACTCAATCCCTCTCAGAAGTGCCACCCCAGCCACTTGCTTTGGTAGCAAAAACAATGTATTTTAGGAAGCTAAACGCAAGGCAGGTTTATGCTTAAGTAAAATTAACTCAAGACATGTTAAGTTTAAAAACTAAGGTACAGAATAGTAGAAAAACTTTTATATAAATATGTATGTATGGAACACACACATATAGATATGTTTCTATGCACAGAATACTTCTAGTAGGAAACCCCAGAAATGGTAAAATTGTTGCCTCCAGGAAAGGGGTTATGGGACGGCTGGGCGGCAGGGCCAAATATGATTTCACCTGGTTACGCTTTCACAGATTTTGAATTATGCATCATTTGCACATATTATTTCAAAAAGTTAAATTACTTAACTAAAAAATAAAGGAAAAATACACTGCATTGGGGACAACTACACATACTTAAATATTCTCTGTTTAAGGTGAATGAGAAACAAAGATAATCTAGTTCTTTCCCTTTATTGGGTCATAAGAATCTATAGCTCATGAGAGCATTTAACATTTTGACTTATGCTACCTTGCTTTTGGTATTCAGAGCATATGCATTCCCAAATTTCAACTAAATCTAGAAACTAAATCCTTCTTTGATATTATTTTACTTCTTGAAGACTGAATTCTATCAGGATTAATGAATCTGTGAGTAAAAGATAAAGAATCAAATTCTCTTTAAATTTCTCATCAATATCCTTAACTTTAGCCACACTGTTTCTACAATTGCTTCTGGACCCTCTGTAGAAAAGAAGAGTCTCAGGAGGTCTGTTTGGCAGGGGAAAGAGCACCAACTTCTTTCACTCAGCTTAACCAGAATGGAGAGGCTTTTTTTATATCAAAGGCAACTTGATCTAATTTTAAAAATTAAGGGCAATACAGATTAACAGAGCCAGAAACATACACATTAACGAGTATAAATTTCAGAAAATACAGGAAGAAACAGAGGCTTATGAAGGATTATCACTATCCCACAGCCTTTAAGGATAAACTGAGTTTTAACATTAATAGGGATATACGGGATTGTCCCTTACCCCAGTTGTATGTGTTTTAAATGAAGATATCAAGTGAAAGTGAGCTGTTATATTTATTTTTAAAACCTTATGCAAACCTGAGATTATTTTAAGGTACTGAATTCAAAGTCCCATTCGCACAGGTATGGTTCTCCTGTTTCTTTAGAGCAGGATTTATAAAACTGGCTCTACTGCTATCTGGGGCCAGATAATTCTTTGTTGTGGGGGGCTGTCCTATGTATTTGTAGGACATTTAGCAGCAGCCTCCCTGCCTCTGCCCATCAGCATTCCCTTAGTTGTGACTATCAAAAATGTTTTCCGATATTGTTAAATATCCCCTGGGGTGCAAAACTGCTTTGGAGAGAAAGAAGCATGAAAGCAGAATTGCAGAAATGTCTTTCCTTCGTGCATTTTTTTTCTTCTGTTTAACTTAAGTCTCTGACGTATTTTGAAATTAAACCAATTTTGCAAAGTACAAGAGAATGTGTAATATATAAACTTATACCCTTGGGCTGAGCTTAATGGAGTAAGAAATGTTGATACACAATTATTAAATAACCAAATGTGTTGATTTTTCAGTGGTTACAACATGCAGCAGAAACTCAAAGTCAATATTAAAAAATATATCAACCACCTTCATCTAATTTATATTTTTATGTATTTGTTCTATATCTTTATTTTGATAGATGATACCAATAGCTTCAAGAAGAGGAAAAGACTCAGGCTACTGGTAACTCTGAGTCACAAACCTGGAATACTTATGTCACAATCTGAGCAAAAATAAAATTCATTAAAATAGCATTTCATACAAAGCAAAATTAAAGTTGTGGATGTCCTGGTCCTGCAGGAAAAGTTTTGAAGAAATGATGGGACTGTGTAGAGTCTATCTCACGGCCATACACAAGTGGTGCTCTCTGATGATTATGAAGTCCTTATTACTGATTCTTGATTATCTTCAAGAAAATACCAGTGTGGGTGCCTTCTAGACAAACTTAGTAAGCACAGGTTACTTACTTCCAGTGAATGCTATCCATCGAGCATATTTTGTAGCTTCTCTTCGCCAGTGGGAAGCCACCAGCAAACCACATGTGACAGTCAATGAAATGATTCCCATGATGATAAAAAACAGTGTGGTGACCCACTCCGGGGGAAGCCGGGGAGGGATGCACGTCCGGTCTCGTCCATGGATTGTTTGACACTGTCGCACGAGGCCCACAGTGAGTGCTCCTGTGGAGATGCAAAAGGTGGGAAGACTTTAGTGGGTTTGGACTGCCAGGGAATATTCCTCACCACCCCACCTTTAGTCCTTAAATCTCATTCATCTCTTTGTGGGTCATTCAAGCACTTAAATCCCCTGAGTCCTATTCTTCAGCATTCTGCTGTAGTTCATAACCTAGTAATACCTAGTGTAACATACCAAGTGGACTTAAAAAACAACAAATGACCTCAGAAAAGCCAAAACAGGCAGTTCACTCAGGCATTCATTAAATGCTTTTCTAAGTAATTTTGTCAGGCATTCTTCAAGGCTCCAGGGAAATAACAGTAGACAGGATGAGGTTCCTGCCCTCACTGAGCCTGTACAGTGGCACAAAGAACTGGAATTTTTGATTCCCAGATCCAAGACTCATTGTATATTACTTCACTTTGGCTGCAAAGAAAATCACTTTCCAGGAAATTGAAGACAAACTTGAAAAATGCCTAATGGTAATACAGAAATAAAATTAAATAAATATATTAAATGCTAGAAGCAATATATTTATGAAAGATAAAGGTCTAAGAATATTACAATGTAAGTAGTATTCCATTAAACGCAAGAAAATGTTGGAAAAACTAGGAGGGCCCTCTGCCCCAAATTTGGCACATTCCCCAATTTTTTATAGTGCACAAGTGTTCACACTGCCAAAACCATGGCTGGCATGCTTCACAGAAAATCACAAAGGAAAATTATGAGGGTAATTCTTAAAATGTCTCTCCCCATTTAAATAAAATAAAAATGATTTTGTAAAATACCAAGCATTATTTTTCCATAAATATGTTCTCATGTCAAACCCAAGGATGCTTCCCCAATCAAATTTGGGGTAAATTAATTCATAAAAACAGATTAGAAAGGTGACAGAGTAGTTTATCTTCTTCTCCAATGAGAGAATGTTTGCACTGTTACTTCTCAATAAACACTACTTTTTTTTTTTTTGAGACAGAGTTTTGCTCTTGTTACCCAGGTTGGAGTGCAATGGCGTGATCTCGGCTCACCTCAACCTCTGCCTCCTGGGTTCAGGCAATTCTCCTGCCTCAGCCTCCCGAGTAGCTGGGATTACAGGCACACGCCACCATGTCCAGCTAATTTTTTGTATTTTTAATAGAGACGGGGTTTCACCATGTTGACCAGGATGGTCTGGATCTCTTGACCTCGTGATCCACCCGCCTCGGCCTCCCAAAGTGCTGGGATTACAGGCATGAGCCACCGCGCCCGGCCAATAAACACTACTTGCTTCCCCTTCCAAGAGCAACCGAAAATGGGAAAATATTTACCAAGAATATAGGAATGAAAATTTCTGGAGCTATTACAAACATAGTAGATTTTTGCATTTGGGGTGATTTCTTTTTCATCTACATTTTTTTTTTTAATTAATAGAGACGGGGGTCTCTCTATGTTGCCCAGGCTGGTCTAGACCTCCAGGCCTCAAGCAATCCTCCTGTCTTGGCCTTCCAATGTGCTGAGATTACAGGTGGAGCCACTGTGCCTGGTCAGCTTTATTTTCTCAATATGAACACAAAAATAAAAAAGACATTGATCTCAAAATCATAGCACTTGCCATGAACAAATGTCTTCTGTGAAGCGAGCTGGTGAAATTCCTAGTGCCATTTTGGGAAGCTGCCCTGGTGGGAGAAGACAGGGCAGGGCTGGACTTGAGTGTCCACGTGCATGTGTGGGTAGGTGGGGCTGCTCAAAGGAGGGTACTTTTCTGCAACTTGAGTCTGGCCATTGATAACATTTTTAGAAATACAGCAACTCATTGAAATAAAATAAAACAAGAAATCAGTTCTCTCAAAGTTGAGAGAATGGAGTCTTTGCCCCCATTGCTAACTCTATCTGACCATAACTCCTGAGTAGAAGAAAATAAACAAACTGCACTTTTTCTACCAAGTTATCTAATAATTAGACCCATGTGGTGATCTCTGCCAAGATGCAAGCAACATTATAATTATGGGGCTGTCACAGGCAGGAGGAAGGCAGACCGGATAGAAAGTACATAAATCTTCACAAGAATGCCCCACACTACGCCCCGACAGCCCCACCAGCTTCTACTTGGAGCTGACTGACTTCATACTCCAAACAGAAGTAAATCAGTTAAAAAACGGTGACACTATTTATTGCTAACCTTTTAAGTTTCATGGTAATTGCTTGAAACTAGAAGAGAGCTGAGGATTTGGTAGGGGCGAGTAGGCACCAGGGAATTGCATGACTGTTCTTAAACAAAAACACTAAAAAGTCTCCTTGAAAAAAAAAATTGTGGGAGAGGGAGAGTCATGATAAGGCATTTTATTGTAATTTTGGAAATAAGGCATTCACAGCAGTGCCCAAGAACTCTTAACAGGAAACTACTCCAGATCATTCAGCAAAAGACGTCTAACAGATTATCCTTTTCTAGTCACTGTTCCATTATAAAATATGTAATTGCTGGAAGAATAAACTACAGCAATGAAAGACTCTCTGACAAAATGCAATATTATGGATTCTTTGTTGTTGTTGTTGTTTTGAGACAGTCTCACTTTGTTGCCAGGCTGGAGCGCAGTGGCACGATCTCGGCTCACTGCAACCTCTGCCTCCTGGGTTCAAGTGATTCTCCTGCCTCAGAGTCCCAAGTAGCTGGGATGACAGGCATGTGCCACCATGTCAAGCTAAGTTTTTTGTATTTTTAGTAGAGACGGGGTTTCACCATGTTGGCTAGGATGGTCTCAATCTCTTGACCTTGTGATCTGCCTGCCTTGGCCTCCCAAAGTGCTGGGATTTCAGGTGTGAGCCACTGCGCCTGGCCTATGGATTCTTGTATCAGCAAATTTCTTCTCTATTTAACATACAAAGTCTGTACAGTTGCAAAGGCAACTCTACATACCTAGTGAACTTTTATTTACATTTGTTTTTTTTGCTGGCAAATATTAAAAACTATAGGTTCAGTACATCATAACTGAACTCTCTCTCCTCCAAAATATTTCTGAGTATCGTTATGTTGATACTCTTACTCTCTTGGCATTAGAAATTAAATTTAACTTAACCTTCTGTGCCTGTAGATTCTCAGTGAAATTGCTTTTCTCTTCCTCCTTCGTCTGTCTAGCACACCACACCAAGTGACTACAAACAGAACAAGTATGAAAATTACAGCAACACCTTTTACAAAACTGCAAATAACCTGACAGAGGTTTAACTTTAAAAGAACAGCTATAGTCCTGTATTTATAAAATTACTTATCACAATAAATCAAAACCAAATATTCAGCAGCTCTATTCTAGAAGAAAAAAAGCTAATGCTAATCAACAAACAGAAGGCATACTGTATATAAGAAAATCAATACACAAATATTTTACTGAGTGTCTCTCGTGCTCAGCAGAGTGGCAGTCAGAGATTCAACAACTAATACGCTCACACATTCAGTAAAAATAGACTTTCCTTAAATATACAAGGGCTAATGCCAACAGTGGTCAGTCAACATTGTTGTTAGAATTCATTTTCTTGAGTAAGACTCTAAGTCAACAACATTTATATTTTCCATAAGCTGACTGGGGGAATCTGTAAGGCTAACTGTGCTGTTGCTATTAAATCTTATAAATTCAGATACTGTTAGTACCCAGACTTTCACCAGGCCTTCAAATTTAGTATTTTACCTTCAATTTTAGTCTTTCCTGCCTGTATGTAGCTGCAGACTCATCACCTGCATTGGCAGTCAAGATCTTTTACTTCCTCTAAATTCCCTTAACACATTTAGTCTGTATCATACAACCATGAACTTATTTTAAGGTAGCTTCTTTTTACTCCCAAACAGGACATGAGCTTTTCAGAGGAGGGAACTGTACTTTCCACTCCAATGGAAACCCCAAAATGGTCTGCAGCAGAATTCATAAGCATTGAGTGTATTAAAAACAAGCTAAATTTAAAATTGCACTGCATTAAATAAGTTCTCTCCTAAAGATCTGTTTTAGTGTGATTTCTGTACACTTATTAAGCACAAGCTTAGCCATTCACTAATTTTTGTTTTATCCAACAGGTCTTTTTGCCTCTTGAAGGGGCCTATATGTATTTCCAGTCCCCAAACCGCCAATCCATCTGTACCCTGCAGCTGTTGCCTAGGTAACTAACCCAGCCAAATAAAAGACTGGTACACAATAGGAAAAAGGAAACCAAACTAGAAACTACAGCATCCCACATGCCTCTCAGCATCTCACCTGTGCAGCACAAAAAAAATAACACACAAAAGGAAAGTCATCATGAGTCTTACTCCATTAAGTGGGGGCATCTTAAGTAAAGAGGCTTTGATACTCATCATCTGTAGATCCAGACACTGTTAAAAAGATTTAGTACGGCCAGTCTGAACATGTCTGTTGCCACAGTGAGGATGATTATAAGGCATGTCATCACTACACATAAAAGGAGTGTCACAGAAAATCTGTAACACAGGGGTTGTAAGGCAGAAAGGCGCACACCCACCAGTCTGTTGGAGCAAATCATGGGAGTGCTTGCCAACCTGACCAGAGACAGGGTTTTCCCATACAGGGTTGGACTTGAGCAAGAATAGTGAAGTTAACATTAGCTATTGTCTTCTTCCATCTTCTTGTTAAATTTTCCTACTACTGACAATTTTCTCTTCCTCTCATGGGGCTCTCCCTGTCAGCTCTAGGTACTGTGATCTGGTGTGCCCGATCCCTACCACAGATGTGGATCTCTTGCTCTAGTTTCTCCTTGGGGAAATAGAATCTGTTCTTGGCAAGTCGCTTCACTGGTTACATAGGCCAAAAAATGCTCTACCACAGATGTCTTAATGATTGATACAAGCTTAATATACTGCCTCTCCCAAAAGCATTTGTATTTGAGTAAGGGGCAGTATCCCAATTAAACTGAAATTACAGAGTTTCCTGTTTTAGCAATGGGCTGGCTGTAAGATAGAAGGGCAACAGGAAGGGGAAGGTCCCGATGTATGCAGCCCTGCTTACCTCCCTAGGTAAGTCAGACCCTG